AAGTGATGCTGTGCCAGAAAAAAGGGGGCTCGGGAAAGGGATTTGGAGGTGGCGGCGGGTTGAGGGGGGGGCAGCGTATTATGAATGTGGGGAGCGGTGGTGTAGCGGTTAGCGCTACGCTACGAACCCGGCGACCCGAGTTCGATTCCCGCTCACGGCCAACATCAGGTGACGATTACCTGAACCGGTCCTGGGCCTCCCCTAGGTCGACTCGGCCTCAAATGGGTACCCGGTGCGGTGTGTAAACATCGCCACTGGGGAGACAAAGGCGGCCCGGCGTGGTGCTGGCCACCCACCCCCTCCGTGTGCCGTGCCGGCCTTCGTAGCCACAAACTCGCCAACAGCACTTGCCCCAAGAGTGGCCAGCCAAGGCAGCTGCTTGCTTTGTCTTTGCTACGTGTGTCTCTGTGCGTGTGTCTTCGTGGAGTGTCTACGCCCCAGATCATGCAGCAATTGGTTGGTGACCAGACATCGGTCCATTGGCTCGCTGCGGTTGCGAACTCTCGTTTCATTACCGGCAGCTCCCCCCCCAGCATTCGAGCCCCAGGATCTCAGCCATTACCAGCTCGGCGCTGTGGACTTGCGAGTCGCACGGCCCAGACATAACTCTCTTTGTGTTTTCACTGTGGCAGTGTGCGTGGCTAACTAAACGGTGCCCTTTGTGTCTGTGTGCATTTAAGGTATGCGTGCATTATCTGCGTGTGTAGGTGTAATGCACGCGTGCTAACCGAGCGAGGCGTGGTGTGCGTGAAGGTGCGTTTGCCTGTGCGTGTGGAGGTGTAGGAGGGTGCTGTAGTGCAGCAGTTAACGCGCTGCGCTTACGAACCTGGCACCCCGAGTTCGATTCCCGCTCACGGCCAACACCAGTGACTATTATCTGTACCGGTCCTGGGCCTCCCCAAGGTCGACTCAGCCTCAAATGAGTGCCTGGTGCAGTGTGTAAACATCACCACTTGGGAGATAAAGGCAGCCGGACGTGGTGTTGGCCACCCACCCCCTCGTGTGCCGTGCCGGCCTTCATAGGTGCTCGCTTAACAGCACTTGCCCCAACAGTCTGTTACAGGCTATACAGGGGTTCTTTGTTTTTTGTGCGTTATGCGAGTGTTCACCTGCGTGTAAAGGTATGTGAGAGTTCTTCTGCAAGTGTGTGTGCGCGCTTCTGCAGGTATGCGAGTGTTCATCTGTGTGTGCGAAGGTATGGGAGTAGTAGCTCGTCCGTGTGCATGCAAGCATGAGTGCTGACTCTGTGGCTGTGGTTTGACCTGCCCAAGTAAGCAAGTTGTCCACTCCACCTCTGCACCTTGTTTTCATTGCTTCTGACCACGCTGTGACATTTTTAGACACACTGCAGCAGCCGCAAGATTGGCCTCTGTGTATAATTAGCGGTGTTGGATTGCCGTTGTAAATATTCGCAAGTACCGAGTAACCGCGTTAAGGCACTGTTTATTCAAGTGGATGCGTCTATTGGTTACATAAGAATTAGTTTTCTTTTCACATGAAACATTTTTGTTCACATCAGTTGAATGAAATATATTCCTTTTCGTTCACTGGTTGTTGTGTGGTAATTTGTTTAGTTTTATGTTGTACGCAATAAAACACACCTATAATTAGTTACGTACTTCCATGCATACCGTTCCTACACGGCAAATGTTGAGTTTTTATATATGCATCTTGAGCGAAGATGAAATAGCGATGCGATCAGTTTCAGGCGAACTTGGCGGGGTTGGTATGCGACCGGTGCGCTATATATGTATATCTTATATGTTGATCTTCTTTAGCGCAGTGTGTAGCCAACCGTGCTAATCGGAGGTGTGAAACATGCCTATCTTGGTACATACAGCAATGCAGAGTAATCGTCTCCACAATATAATTTAGACATACGCACAACACCGTACATATAGACACAAATACACTTCAACCAACCAGTAACAACACTGTTAATTCTTACAAAATGTATATAATCCACGCCAATGAACAAGGTGGATATTCGTGACGGTAGGGGCGGCACGGGCGAGATGATGAGTATTGCCAGCCGGGTGACCCACTATCAATGCATCCAGGGGAAAAAAAGCTTCATAGCTTATCGGATTCCTCCCAGTATATATCAATATTCAGATTCTGATGCGGAGATAAAATCCACGCGACCGCGGGTTGAAAGACACGCAAACTCCAAATATACAGCAGGCATCTGGGTCGGGATCGAACCCACGACCTCCCGCATACCAGGCGAGGGCGGTTAGCACCTCGCCACCGAGATGGTTAATCCACTGCTGGATGAAGGCCTTCCAAATCCGTCTTCATCTCCCACGCCCCTGCAGTCTCATAATCCAACTGGGAGCTTGCGCGCACGAGGAGCTGACTTAATCGCTTCGTCTCATCGGTGGACGCCCTCTTGGACCGTAATTCTTTAACCGTCGGCCACTATATCCCTTCTTGCAACGCGTTCCGCCAAAGCCCAGTTGCCTTTCTTGACGGGACCGATGTGCGATGTGCGATGGGGCACTCGTGTCGCGTCCTCTCAGTCTCGAGTGATACACGTGCGCGCACACTCGCACAGAGATTAGTAAACGAGGGAAGATGCACATCTCTGGGTGCAAAGGCCTATTGATTAGAGAGGCTTTTGAGCAACGTATCTGGGGATTAATCATTAATTCTACTGGCACGGAGATCTTGGGTTGGGTGATCACAATGCAAGGTGAGATTATGAATACCAAAAGATCAGTAGTTGTACCACAATGATTGATTACTTTAGGAGCACCGTCCTGACACGCAAACACGGGGAAGGGTTTTAAAATCATCTTCAACCTCCCGTCTGCCCATTCTGCACGGTCGCCTCTTTCTTGAGCTTGAAGCCCCCACAAATATATGCTTATTCAGAAAAAACGTAGAATAAATAGATGTCGGACTGTTTTAATGAAGTGCAATTTTTGTCTAATATTATTGTGGGCCGTGCCTCACTCTCGATAGCCAATCCCAAGAGCCCGTTGCACGTGTGCTACATGCTCCGTCAAGAGAAGTGGTTTCATTCCTTAACCAAAACCACGTGGTCTGAATTCATCACCTGCATTGCCAATTAGATTTTTGGCGGTTGCTGAAAAAGCCTTTAAAAAAAGCAAGGCTTACGAAACGAATGAACAATGTTATACATTATTTGACATTTTACATCACGTGGTAATTGTCGTGCAAGGTGCAGCGAGGTTGTGAAGCTCCATTTGGTCCATCTCTGGGCCTAAGTCGCAGCACTTCCTTGAGTCATTTCTGTCACGCAGCCTCTTTCTCCGCGCTGGGCTGGTACCGACAGGCTGGTTACTGGCTCCTAACGTGTGAAGGTTTATAAACGCATGTTGGGTTTTTGTTATTTATTGCTGCAACCTTGTACTGTATGTGAAGAGGTGGAGCAGTGGCAGATATGTCAGTTGCAGTGCACTGAATCCAGACGCCCGAGTGTTGATCCCGGTCACAACTAACACGAGTGATCACTAAACCGTTTGGAGGTCTCCTTCCCGTCGCCAAACCACCGGCCACCGTGATGGAAGTCATCTCTCTCGCGCCTCGTGACCCACACGGCGCGGATGAGCAATGGGATTGACAACAAACTAAAAAAGGACTGAAAGATTTTTCGATTTAAAGCTTTCGTGACTGCAGGGATTCTTCTTCTTGGTTATTTCGGTAAAGTCACGTAGAAGGGAAATAATAAAATAATAATAATCAAACATAATAAAATACAATTCTCACAACGTTTCGGCCACAATGCAAGCAGCCGTCCTCAGGTGAAGAACAGGTCTGTCGGAAAGACAGCGTCTGAAAGAATGACACGAGGAGAGTGAGCAGATGTTAAACACCTGCACGTTCACGCGTTCGCACAAACACGGATGCACCACGTGACCACCGATGGTTCTCTAGGTAAGCCCGGTGGGAGTAACGCGGTGGAGGGCGGGCTGCTCCAGACAATGCGTGTGTGTGTGAGAGAGAGAGAGAGGGAGATACTCGCCCGCACTGAGCAGCAGGGGCCCAGCAGCTCCGATAATATCTGGAGACTCCACATCCAAGCAAACACCAGAGCTGCTGACAGATGGAGAAGGCGGGGGGGGTGGACGGGTGGGGCATCTCACAAAAGCAACTTTTTAAAAATATATTCGGCTAAGCAGGCATTCGACTGCATTTCACTTTAACGGGTTGTGATTGTTACCGTTTATTGCAACAATTATTTCGTTCGTGTGATCTTGTCCTTGCGTTTCGGATTTTTTTTTAAGATGCACTTTTTTCCAATCGCGGACGATCCCAACACATTACATTCCCCACCTCCCCCCCCACACTTTCCTCCCGCTTAGTCAAATCGGTAATGAATCACGAGAAACCCCGTCACAACAGAAGAGCACTTAGTGTTATATTTTGGTTAGCTTTTGCCGGGTTTATGTGCAGCATTGATTGATTGATTAGTATATACATTCCCTTCGGTATTAGGTTTTTAATTGCCTCATTTGAAGTGTGTGTGGGGGGGGAGAAGGAGTAATTGTGATATCGTTCTCTCTCTCTGCTCATCTGTGTGAAAGGTATTGAAGAGTTGTCATGGTTTGAGGGTCGTGGTCATGATACGATCTTGTTTGTATTGCTTAACGATTGTTCTGTCAGATTTTTGTGACTGCTTGTTTTGCTCCATTGGCCTAACTCCTAACAGGAACCTACATCTCTTGCTCCTAATTTGCATAGATAATACACGTCGGACATTCTGACACGTACAGTTCCAAGCATTATTGTGTTAGTAATAACAATAATCGATGTATAATGATGCATTTGTGTGCCATTACAGCACTTACATGCCTGGTGCTTGACAGCCAAGCGAAATTTTCCGGCGACGTTGTCTTTGGAAATATATTTTTTTACGAAACATAGTGCCCGCAGGGTCAAGCGTGCGTGTGCGTGCGTGCGCTGGTGGTTCACGATTGCGCGTGCGCTGGAGGTTCACGATCGCGTGTGTCCGTGCACCGTTTGTCCCGCAGCCGCACTGCAGAGGCCGCCGCTGGCCTCTGCAGAGCTGCTGCTACCAGTGGGCGAGGCCCTGCACCTGCGCTGCCCGGCCGCGCGCTACCGCTTCGATCCCGCCGTCGGGTGGGCCAAGGACGGCGCCGCGTTGGTCGCGTCCAACCGCACGCGCTTCTCGTCGCTCGAGCTGCACATCTCCGAGCTGTCCCTCGACGACTCGGGAGTCTACAGCTGCTCCACGTCCGGCCCGTCGGGCCCCGTGCGGGCCAACTTCACGGTCGTCGTCTCGGGTAGGTGGCGTGTCGTCCCCCCCACCTCCCTTATTTTCACGTCGCCATGCGCCAGCGTCGCTCTCCACACCACCCCGCCGGTTACATTGGAAACGGCCACCCCACTCTCTCTTCCGAGTCGGTTAGGGCCCTGCCGTAAGGATTCGCACATCTCCGCAATTAGATGAATAGTCACTATTAGAGGTAGCAATTCGACTTGCATGAGTTTTTTTGGCGTCTCGTCTTTTATCGCTCGTTTGCGTTGTCTCTCATTGGTTCTTTCTCTGTTATAAAGTATTGTTCATTCGCACCGTCGGTGTATCCTAACCTTAGCATGACATTCCCGTCTAACTTTCTTACGTCATAAATAAGCGATTCTCCAAATGGATGATTCAATGCGCGTATCGCGAGCGTCAGAACTGATTTCAATTGACGAGGCGACGCACCTTAACGCGCTTACTTCGCGCATGCACGACACGTGTACACACACACACGGGGGGGGGGGTGGGTGGGTTCACACGCGAGGTAGGCCTAAGGCTTCTGGCGTGAGGAGGAGCAGGTAGGTGTCAGTGTGAGCACGTCTGTGGTCCTGATTGGCCGGCGCAACCTCCGGCCCCAACGGATGACCCCGTCCTCGGCTGCACGTTCAGCGGGTGACGAATAATAACGCGTCTGTCCAGTGTGAACCTTCCTTCACAAAGTCAGCTCCGTTTTAGAAGCTCCTGATCTGTTGTGTATGACAATAGCTCCGTGTGCAACAGGTGCTCGTGAGCTGCACTTTCCTCAACAGTCTTAACGAAACGACAGAAGGCATCTTTGAGTGCGTGTGTGTGTGTGTGTGCATGCATGCATTGCAAAGCCATTACACTTTGACGAATGCTGCATCGCTGTCGCATCTGCAGTTCATTACTCTCATTGGAGATACAGTGCTTGTGCTTTTCATTGAAAAATAATTTCCGTACTTTGAGGTTTCTCTTTCATTCTTTCAAAGAAACGTAGCCAATATACGACTGGAAAATGGACGTTATTGATAGCATCGTGAATATTTTGTGGCAGTTTATCGGGAGATATCGGGAGATAAACTATTCGTAATTGTATACACACACATGTAGGTGTGTGTGTGCTTGCATTGTGTATGTAGCTTGCGCTCCCAGATACTCCATGCCACAAGCAGCATCTATTCGGCCAGATAGATGGTACAGAAGGATGTTGGAGCTGACTGGACTCGCCGATGACTGGTACCAGCAGTGTCAAGATCAGCCTCTGTGGAGGAGGTTTGTGAAGGATGCTGCTGGGGAGTTGGAGGCAGTCCTCCTCCAGCAGAAACAACGAAGGGCAGAGGAGCGACGCTCACAACAACGAGCAGAGCACCGGGCGGCTAAAACGCAGGGAGTTGCCACAGTGGGGAGCACAGTTGGTGCATCTGCCGGTCATCTCAGTCAGTCAACCCATGGCACCCGGGTCTTTTCCGTGACCTCTTGCCAGCGGGCCTTTGACACTTCGCGTGGCCTAGAAGTGCACCTAGCATGGCACGAGCGCCGTGGTAATGTCACCGCCGCTTAGTCGTGAACGGTGGTGGTTGTTGTTGCTCCGTGTATGAGTAAAATATGTGTATCTATGTGTGTATATTTACTGTATCTTAACTTGCTTCATCGCTATTGTGCCACATGCATAATTCCTAACATTATTAAGCTCATTCATTAACCCTCAATTGGAGATCATAAAACATTAGCCAAACGACACCACTCCACTGTTTGCCAATGCATCCCTTTCAATACACTTTGTTCATAGGGCCGCACAGTTACATGCATATATATGACGCAACAGATGATTCACATTATTTTTGTAAATTAAATGAGCCGATGTAGCGAGTGCACCTTCAGTTAATATTACCTTTTACAACAAAAAAAAATCTCAAGCACAGCACGCGGGGGGGGGGGGGGGGGTAGGGGGTTACTTATTGCAGTGTAAGTTGATAAATAGCTTTACCTTTTAATAGGACTAAATATATTCACGGTGGGATGCAGGCGGCAGTCCATTGAAGAGGAGGAGGTGTGTGTTCACGACGGAGGACGTCTTCCGTGGGGAGAGGCCGTCCACTCTTTAATCTGACTTAAACGCGCGTTGCGTGCTGACAGATGGACAGATTAGGAGCAGATGCCATTTGTGACGGAACGATGGGGCAGATGGCTTCACGATCGAGGGCAGCGGGCGCCAACTGAATGGGTTCGGTTCCTTCTGGGGGTAGCGCCCGCAGAAGAGAGCGGGGACATCCGGCGGTGGTTACTCGTCACCACTGGAACCATAGCAGCCTCCGTGAAGGGCCACTCGCACTTTGCAGCTGCGCGGAATGTTAGAAACCCTGTCTATGTTTGATCTCTCAATCTCTCTCTGTATGTATGTTGAACTTCTTTTGCACCATACGTAGCCAACCGTGCTACTCGAAGGTGCGGTGGGGGGTGAAGGACAACAAACTAAACACAAAAAGCAGTTGTAAAGAAATTAGATTTCAATCTAGATTTAAAAGTGCATAGCTACAGTGGATTCCTAATAATGCAACGACCACTCTCTTGATCGACTGATTTCGTTGATTTGGCACGGTGAGAGAGTCCACGGAGTCATTGCTGTTTGTCTCTTGGGTCGCGTGCGTAATGGTTGTTGTGTAGAGACGGCTGTATCTTACCCTTGTTCTCAATTTTCATTGGGTCATTTTCAAAAATTATCGGCACTGTGTGTTACTACTTCCACTTTGTCGCTTCACTATTGTGAATGGTGGCTTCGTAGGGGGGGGAGGGGCTTTAATGCCAATGTGGCACACTGTGGTGAAAATTCCACGTAGAACTTGCCTTGCGGCCTTGGTACTCGGACCTGCTGAATCGTGCGAAACATTTATCCCGTAGCAGAACACAGACCACCAGGTTGTCCAGCTGAACAAATACGTTAGTTAATGGCGAGTAATCTCTTTGCAAACAAACACAAGGCGCATGGAATGTTGAAATGAAGCAAGATTCACAGGTTCAGTTGCCATGTCCCAGCACTCGCTTTACATTGCATTGAAAGTTCTGTTCATCAGCGAGGTTCTTCATTACTCTGGATATTGATGAGATCCCTTGGCCAGCGATGATGAATGCCTTAAAATGTCACCGACTCCGCCTTGCAGATTAAAAATAACATTGTAAAAAAAAAAAGACACTAAATATGCGTTGTAGCAGCATCAAAACTCGCGCTTGTAAAAGAGCAATCGTAAGAGCGCTGACACACGAGGTATGAGGTGTGAAGATTGATACACGTGTGTGATTGGTCCAAAAACAACCGGCGTGGCCTTTATGCGGCACACATGGGCCCCCAGTGTTTGCCTTACAGATGCATTCAGCAGGACATTAGAAAATACCACTGCCAACAGCGCAGCTCTTTGCTGTACTAACATTTAAAAATAGCACTCGGCATATGTTTGCCAGATAAACTCCCTTTGACTCTCAATCGTTCCATTGTCCGGAAAAAAATAATATAGCGACCCAGAGTAGGGCGTTGGTTGAGTGGCTTCTGGTGACACCGGCTCTTGGCTGTTGTCACTGGAGACCACCAAGGCCGATGTTGTTGATGCTGCGCAGTAGAAAGTCGCCAAAATTCCACCTTATCGTTTCTCCCCGCGCAGAGCCATTAACAATTACTTAAAAACGCAGAGCATACACATTCTAAATGGCTTTTTAATGCGGCTGCAAAAACGGGTAGCTTAGGAAGGAACTGCAGGCTTGTGCCTATTTTCCATTGAGCCCTGTTGGTCTAAATGTCAAAATCGTCCTCTATGGGAGAATGGTGCGTCGCTTCTTACACAGGTGAAATGTAACTTGTGTAAAACAAATAAACGGGTTCCATTTTTAAGGATTTAAATTCGTAAGTTAACGTGGCACACGGGTTGTCCGCCTGCTTCCCTGCCCCCTCGGAGCGTTTTTGGGGAACTCATAGTCGGTGGCTGTGGTACTTGGGCAAGGAATAAATCACTGGTTCATATTCTTGGTTGATTTGGTAAAGTCACGTAGATAGAAAGGAAAATAAAAATGTAAAAAATGTATTAGCATTTATTTTATTTTATTTTTTATTTTCTATCTACGTGACTTTACTGAAAGAAACGAGAATATGAATTCCTGCAGTCGTGAAAGTTTTAAGTCCATTTAATTCACTGGTTGTTTGAGGTTGTATTTGTTTTACTTTGATAGTGTTTTATCTTTGCCATCTTCGAGAGCTCCATTGTTAGAGCAGGCTAGAGAAGTGCGATTATTCAAATTTGTAAATGAAGAGCAAACCCATCGCGACAGAACGATTAGTGCGGGCTGGACAACACATCGGTTTAACAACACACAAGGACGTGCATTGCTTGTACAAAAGTTGTCTCGGCCTTCTGCGGACCACTGGCTCCGAAGAACTGCATGCAGGGGCATTTTGTTGGTGTAGACCACCGACTAAAAAGTATTTTTGAGAAAATGTGTCCATTTGTGTTTTTGGTTACATTTTCTCAGTTGGGCTGGCGGTCGAAAACTACTAAATAGCCACAAACATGCAAGTTCTTTGGAGATGGCGGTGGTCGTGATGGTAGTGTGCGTACGGCGGGAGAGGCCGAGGAAATCTTTTGTCTGTGTGTGTGTATGTTACACCGAACAGCGTTGATCGTCCGCTTCGTATGCCAGGGTGAGGGAAGCTCGAAGCAAGGCAGCCGTGAGCCCGGCAGTGTCGTAGTGTGGAGCCAAGCGCCTAGCACCTCGCGCCTGCGCTGCCGTGCGAGCGTAGCGCTGCCGCTACCGCCGCTGCTGTGATAGTTCTAACCAACCCCGCCGCTCGTTGCAGAATCCCTTTCCTCGGGTGACGATGAGGGAGGTGACGATGGCTCGGATGAAACGGCCATGGACCCTGATGAAGGGGGTGAGTGTTTTTTTTAATGGAGGGGGTGGGTGGGGGGTCCCGGGGGTGGGGGGGGGGCTCCTAAAAAAATCGTAAATATAAACACGCGTTTTATCGAACCTAGTCCTTAAAATATGAACGTTCGAAGTGTTTTCATTTTAGAATATTAACTTCAGCCCTCCTGTTATTTTATAGAAAAGTCCTTGTGAAGTGGGAGTATGGGTGGAGCTTTGTAGGCATTGGAGCTATACATGCAAAGTATGATTGATGTCCCTTAAAATATATTCGTGATAAATACAATGTAATTGAATAAAAACATGTATTAGGCAAATGCGATGCATCCCTACATCTTGCCGTTCAAACGTTTAGATTCCCGGCACGATAATCGGAAGTATTTTTTATGTCCTAAATGTTGCATTCAACTGTGTTTACCTGACGCTCCGTGTCCGTGTACCACGTGTATTGGTGTGCCCCCTGTGTGCCCTGTGTGTATTTGATGCGAGACGTCATCATGCACTCTACGTTAACAATTGAATGCGTAACGGTATTTCATGTAACTTTGGTTGAAATGACGTGACAGTTATTATTTAAGTGTTATTGTCCGACCTTATATTTTTAGCTTCCTGTTGCCGAACAAACTATTCTTCTTCATTGGAAACTTTAGGCAGTAGTGAACACGCACACATCACAGCTGCTAGACCACCAACCACCTCATCACCGCCTGACTCTTGATACTTAAACTTGCATTTCAAACGTCATTCTTTACAACAATGTACTTTGTCACGAAATTGACGCGTGCGACATCGTTAGACCTCCTATCATTCATGTATGTTAGGAGATCGGCTGGTCGCTTGTGGTGGGATAAAGTGTGGTTACTCCCAACTCTTCCAAGGCATGAATGGAAGAGGAGGCCAAATACCCTCTAATGTTGCTCGCTAGAGCTCCCTCTAGTGGAGGCCCTTCCGCCAGCAGTGTCGTGAGTGAGCAGTTTACTTGCTGCACCTTTACCTTGATTAACTTCTACGATTAGGCCCCTCGCTTATATCCGTGCAGGCTGCCTGCGGCTCGATGCACGTCATCACTATAAATAACGCAGAAGGATTTGTAATTGCATCGTTTGCTAATTCACTTCACGCACGCACCTCCGATTAGCAGGGTCGGCTACGTACGGCACGAAAGAAGTTCAACACACAAGATACATACACACACACAAAGACTGTCCCATATAGCTTTAACAGACTGTTGGGGCAAGTGCTGTTAGCGAGCACCTAATGAAGGCCGGCACGGCACACGAGGGGGTGGGTGGCCAGCACCACACCCGGACTGCCTTCGTCTCCCCGGTGACGATGTTTACTACACACCGCTACACCAGGTACTGATTTGAGGCCGAGTCGACTCTCTACGATCGAACCCCTCGTGCGAGCCAACGTTGATCGCGAGCGCATGAACCCGCCGACCACTCCGTTCGCTGGCGATTGCTTTCGAGCGTACGCCGCGGTTGGCTTTTTTTTGGCGCGTAATTGAACCGTCCTGGTGCCGGAATTCGCAGCAGCAGCAGCGCGGTTTGTGCTCGCAAGCGCACGATAACCTAGGAATGCGCATAAAAAGGCCAGCGACGGACGGAGCTCTCGTGCAACTCTAGCGCCCGGTGCGTGCTTCGCATTCAGTGCCAGCCTCTGTTTCATCGCGCAGCGCAATGAGTTATTGCCTCGTCGGACAGACAAATGCTTACCAGATTTCTGCAGTCAGCATTCAGCGCCTGCCGAGCATTCCCTGGCAGCTGCGCGGCATACGTGGCAGACGGCATAATCAAGAGGACCTAATTCTGAGAGAGGCCTTATCTGGCACACGCCCGGCATGGAGAGGGGACCACAAAGAGAAGAGGGAAATGGACGTTGCACTTTTAGAGTTTACTCTTACGTTTGATAAAGTGTATTTTTTTAAATCTTGACTTAAAGCTTTCGTGACTGCAGGAATTCATATTCTTTGGGTCTTTCGGTAAAGTCACGTAGATAGGTTCAAAGAAAATAACAAAAAAATACGAAGTTTCGATCACAACACAACGTCATCAGATTGCTGTTTTCCTTGAACCATCGATGTGACTTTACCGAAAGAACCAAAGAATATGTATTTGTCTGATAAACCCATCGCCATCCAATATCGTACTACAACATGTGGAACGTGATGCTCAAGTCATGAAGTAAATGTGTAAATATTGTTAAACTTGTGAAGCAACTTTCACGTTTTGGAATACAGTTTATTTTTTTTATTGTAATAGTTGGCCCTTTGTCAATCCATGACTTCATCAAGACCTCCCCATGCTGTGTTAGCCATAGAGGGGAGGGTTGACCATACTTCACCATTCTGGTCAGTGTGGTTTGATGACTGTGTTGTTGGGGAAGAGCGGAGGAGGCTGCGCGATTATCACTCGCCACTGACTTGAGCCATGGCCAGGAGTCGAACTCGGATGTGCGGACCCACACACGTACCATTGCCATGAGCTTTTCACTCTCGTGCCATTTCAAATTGTCTTAGATCGTCTCTGCATTGCGAGAATATCGCAGCATGTTTTTTTTGTTTATCCACTTCCAACAGACTCGCCATCGCACGCCGCGGTCATTGGGCATTGTTTGGCCATACTGATCGGGGTGGATTAGCAAAAGAGGGGGATCCAGGACCATTTGTTTAAAAAATATCACTCGACCGCCGTTGCCAGCCGTGGCGAGAACACAACCGCAGGTTCATGGCGCGACGCATCCATCGACTGTATCGGCCACAATCTTTGTACGTAACAACCGTGTACGGCTAGGCTCTATCTTGTGTGCACGAATGTGGATTAATTATGCATCTACCGAGTTCTTTATGCGACCTTTGTCGGAACATATGCCTTTGGTTGTTTTCCCCGAGCCAAAAGAGGATGCTCCGTAGCCCGCGCGCGCGTGGTACGCGCACCTGCACATTGACGCACGCCCACGTTACTGTGCCGTGTTTCTCCTCCTCCCTTGCGCGCCAACAAGTTATTATTATTAGTGTACATTTTTTATTCTCGTAAGTGGCAGCAAGATGAATTGGCGGTTAGAGTCCCCGTGGGCCCATGCCCCGTGGCCCACCTAATAGAGAGGCTTTTGTGGTGCTGTCGGGCGCGCGAGCGAGAGGGGGGGGCCGTCACCGAGTCGACCCCCCCACCACCGCTCGCGGCGTTTCGGTGTGTGCCGAGAGGAGGCGACAGCAGGAATTTGAAGGGGATCAACATCGGGGTGGCGGCGGTGGTGGCGGCAGCGTCTCTGTAAAGGGCGGGCGTTTACCTAGTCTGGCAGAAGTGACTGAAAGCAGCCTTGAGTTTAGTTTGGGCAGATGATCTCAGGTGGGCTTTGGGGTGGGGGGCTGAGTGTTGGGGGTGGGGGGTGGAGGGTGGGGGTGGAGGGTGGGGGGTGGTTTCAGGGGCGAACAGCAGCCAGAGAGTTTGTACACCACGGGGCTGGGACAGAGATTACAACGTCGCAACCGCAAGGTGTGCGAGGGGGAGCGGGTGATGATAAATGATGGGTGTGTGTGTGTGTGCGTGTGCTGCTTGCCTAGGTCTCTGTGGGTCACGACCGAGAGGGAATGGTCAGGGATTTAAGGCTAAGAGCTTGACGACCCCTTGGGCACTTAAAGATAACCCACTGACCTGTCCCGGGGCATGTCACGTGCACACACACACTCGCACTCACGGGACTAAGCGTGCCGCCACCGCGCATGAGATAACTCCGCGACCCTTGCGCCCACATTCTGGGCCGTGAGCCCTGCGGAGTGCTTTGTAGGCGCCGGTGTAGGTGTCCGTACTCCCAGACGGGTGACGCGTGGAACGTCGGTGCAATGGTGAGCGCACTGCACTTTGAACCCTGATGTGCGAGTTCAATTCCTGGCCACGGCGAACATCGGTGGAGTGATTAGCTAAAACTGGTTCCCTGGCCTCTCCTTCACCTTTTCTTCAACCTGCACTATCCAGCGTGGTGAAGTATGGTCAAACGTTCCCCGTGACCAACACCGCGTGGTGTGGCCTTCATCCAGCAGTGGATTGACAAAGGGGCTATTGGCAACATCTGTCCGATTTTGTCGAACAGCGAAGCACTAAGTTAGCCGGTCGTGATGCTATGAAAGTACTGCGTGCGGGAATATGTTTTTATCTGCTCGGTTACAGCGCTGTTTCCTTTCTATTCGAGTGAAAAAACTGTGAATCTCTACGAATGATGTCAAAGTACACAGTGGCGCTGTGCTCATCCGTGCACGGAAGGAGCTATACAATCTTGGTAACCTAGCTGTCGAATCTTGGGCGTTTACACCGTCGGAAATTCGCATCTGAACCCCCACGGCGGCGGGGACCTTTTGTCTCCGTGCCGCAAGGGGGCGAGGCTGCTAATAAATAATGTGGTGGCCCAGTTGGCACTTTGGGGCTTTGCGTCCTGACAAAAAAAAGGTCATTGGCATGAGTTGACACGAAACATTTCGCCCGCGTGTGATCGCACGCCCTCCGATGGCATGCGCTGTGATGGAGAGAGACTCGAGTTTGACGAGTGGGCCCCGTGGTGCACGGACACGTGCGAATGTTCCACACACGCCCGAATGTTAACTCTCTCGCGCGCGTTCATTCTTACTGTGAGCTCTCATTCTGTGCCCGGATCCTAAAGGCAAAGTACAGCCACGGGGCCTTACATCTTCACATCCTGAGCCGGGGAATTGGAAATGTCCTGAAGAAGGAATCGCATTGTGATTTATGACCAATTCACCCAGAACGTGCCCAATCTCGTAAGCGATGCAGGGTTCAACCTGGACAGTGCGATTTTAGCGTGCATAACAGGTGTTATAGGGTTGCGAGGCTACCCAGAGATCACTTCTGTGCACATCTAAGTTCTCTGCCCATACAAATCCACACTGACCAGCGCGGCGAAGTATGGTTAGGTAACCTCCACAAGCGGCATGGCGTCTCGCAGCGGATTGACCAAAGGGCCGTCCGTATATGTGAACGTAATTCTTCGCCTCCACGCGTTTGCTCTGCTCGTTCACGTAACTTTTCAAGCTAAACCGCAGTGCTTTGATTGAACCACTCGTAGCATTGCAATGCATGTACAAGTCCGTTCCTCTATAATGCCGCGTGTTGTTGTTCTCATGACGCGAATTGGATCTAAAGCGTTGAATCCGTTACCGAACACAATTTTTCCAACGTGGACGCGAATTGGATCTAACGCGTTGAATCCGTTACCGAACACAATTTTTCCAACATGGACGCGAATTGTATACGACGCGATCGAGCGAACAGCCACGTTGCGCGATGAGGAATGAGCGGTCGTACGGCTGCCTCGGCGTAGCATCACGCAAGGCGGTGGGATGCTGCTGGATGCTCAGGCTGCATGCGCATCTCATGTGTTATCACGGACTGTGCTTTTACCTCCATGTTAATACTTTATTTATTCTAACGCGATTTGTCCATAACGCGGTGTTCTTCAGGAACGCAACTACTGCCGCGTTGATAGGAGAACAGACTGTCCACCCTGTACTGTACTGGAAGTTACAGGGAGAATGTCTACAGAAGTCTGAGGGACTACCAATTACTCTCGCGTGCGTTTACTCCTGCCGAGGGCCTGCGATTTAATATGTAGATTTGCATTATAGCACTGAAGCTTAATTCACAAAATATAGCAGTGGGCAAGTGAAAATAAACTCATTACTGGAGTTTGATGCAGCTTGAAACAAAGCAATGGAGGTTATGTTTAAACAACAAAAAAAATATATGGCACACGGAACAAACCTGCTTTGATTACCAGGTGGGAGTATTTAAGATACTTGTTTTTTGTTCCGGGCATGAATTATGCTTCGGCACGGCCGTAAGTGTCCCTTTGTATATTTGTGTTGGATGGACACCATAGGCTCGGACTCATTTAGATAGGATGTAAATATTTACCCAAACCCGGGAGCAAAGATAGCGCAAAATGAAAGGATCTTGGCTGCTGAGTGGTTGCGATGATCCCAGGAGCCGTTTTGTTTGCGGAGCCTCGACTCTCTGACCGCTCGCACCCTCGGCTCCTCCTCCTCCTCGCGCGCCCTGCGTTCGGAGAAACTCCGCTGCCGATGGCACTCGCGGGCGGACGGCAGCGAATTTCCCCCAATTTTTCAGTGGCTACAGCTGCGGGCGCTTGGTGTACGGGGGGGGGGGGTTGGCGATGGGGTGGGGGGGCGTTTTGATTGTGGAAGCGCGCGAGGCTGGCGACCGCAAACGCGGCCCTGCCAAAACTTGCACGGATTTGTCGCGTGGGCAGACCGTGACACGACCTTTTCAGGAACGACGCTGTCCCCCCGGGCGTGAGAGACGGGGGCTAATCCGAGGGTCGTGTCGCTTGCCGGCGGAGCGTGGATCATCGCGGGATGTGAACCGTGAATTGGAATCGAATTTCGGCGCCCGTCGTAGGCCGCGATGGGCTCGGGTCATTGCTGCAAAGCGTTAAGGAGTGTTTGCCAACGCTGTGTGGGCGTTGTATTAAATTTCACCCGTGTGTTCAGAGCTCGGTCAACCCGAGATGTTCCTTGCGAACGGCAGACACGCACGTTAAGTGGACGTTGGAGGCCGGGCATTCTCTCTCCCCACGTTACGGCCACGGCGGCGTGAGGAATGGAGAAGTTTGTTCGCGACCGTAACGTTACATTTTTGATCTAATCCATGAGGTTTCGTACACGGGTGGGTGGAAGGGGGGGGTGGTGGGGGGTCTTGATGTACATGTGCAGAGAGACTGCTCGTCTCGGCGGCTTGCCGAAGCACTGAGCAAAATTGTTTAGAATTTTGTTTTTACACGTGTGTGTGTGTGTGAGGCCGTTGGGGTGGATCAGTGTTTGAGCCTGAACAATCTGCTCTGTGTGCCTTGGGAGTTTGTAAGTTGTAGCGCTGCTAACCACGGCCGCCACCGCCACCCCCAGCTTCTTCCCCACTGGGCTCCGGAGAGGTCTGTCCGATGTTCACATGGTTTCCTCTTCTGTATATTTTGGTAATTGAGGTTCAACGTTGAAGTTGACTTTGAACATTTTGGTCACGGTTTGCTCTTTTTGGTGCGCGTATCCTCCCGGGTTAAAGCACTGGAAGAGAAATCGGAAGGCCGTTAGTTCAAATCCTGGTCGGAGATCGAGTCGGCCTTTCAGCCCTCCTCCCAGGGGCGATTAAAATAAGTTCCGCTTTTGTGGCAAGTCCGCTATGGTTCGTCTCTAGATATACTTGCCACTGGAAATGTGGAATTCTCACCAGTGGCTCTGCGCTGCCAGTGATGACGAGCGCAGACGTGAGTTCGATTGGGGAAGGCGATTTTACACTGGGCGCTTGAGAATTGAGTCCTGTGTGTGTGTGTGAGCACCTGTGTGTATTGCGCTCTCTCATTTCCCAGATGCGGATTGGGAAATGCATGTGCAGAAAAAAAAAATACGGCGAGAGCACATCTGCCGAGCTCTTAAAATCCTTTAGACATTTCCTTATTGGCGCTTGCTGTCCTTGAATAAATATACGGAGACAAAACGCTTCCCGAATGTAAAACACGTGTGAGATTAGCATGTGCGCGTTTTACCCCGTGCGTGGGGGAAAAAACACTGGCAGGCGCGTGACCATTGTCTCTTGGTCTGTGCGCGACCCATGCGGGAAACGATGCACTCTTGCCAGCCTCCGGTACGTTGATGCATTACGGGATGTCCCTTGGAAATGCGTGACTCCTTGCTGTAATCTGTTCCACGCGGTGGTCGTCGACGACATGCTCCGGAAAAGGTACGGATGCGGAGCGTGCCAGTCCATGGGTGACACTGCGGGCTTTTCTTGTGCGTTTGAGTGAATTACGTGCGCACAGTCCTGCTAGCTGACCAAAAAAATGACCCCCCCCCCCTGGCATCTCGCTGCAGACGGGGGCAGGGTTTTTGCACGAGAGCAAAACGATCGCTGAGCTTATCCACTTGGATGTTTTTGACCCCAGCATCGCAGGTGGGGCCGGCTGAATCCCTCGGTGCCCTCATGGCAACTCTCAACATTGCCGCGCGCTCCCACCATGTGCTTGGCAGCAGTGGCGTCTCAAAAGCCGTCGCCATGGACCGGCTTTATTGTCATTGTCCTGCCGACAGTAGAAAAGGAGAGTGGGGCCGTCTTGCCTTTCCAGCAATGTAGCAGTGGAATGCTGAATATGACATACCGGAGTGTGTGCGGTCAAACTCGGCAAGCCACCCAGACCAGTCCAATGAGCGAGCATCGCCGTTTATTCGGTAAATCCTCGTGGGACACGAGCAGAGACAGAAATGCGTTGTGTGCGCGATTTTGAGAAGTTGTTCTTTCACGGAGATTTAATTCCAATAATTCCTTTGGCAATTGTATCCTTGCGCGTTGTTCAAGGTATTAAAATGCGTTTTTAAACGGGTGTTAAACTATCATGATCCATCTATCTGCTTGGCAGCGTCTTTTTAAATCCACCTAAGTTCAATCGTGCAAATGAATTTTGCCGTCGCAGAACAAATTTGTTTGTGATCGTGCGAGCACGAGCGTGTGAGGCTGGCGGAGGACAGCCTTCGCCGTTGTGTGCGCAGCCACGGACGGTTCCAATCGCCACGCGTGCCGCCCTCCTTTTGAAAGCTGATTTTTAAAAGGGGTATAAATTCTGGATTCCAGCAACCCATTTGTCAGACCTTGGATTCCAGACATGAATGGGCAGAAGGCTCCAATAAAGAGACTTTACAACGGTGGGGTCCATGGGCCCAATGGGGAGCACCCGAGTGCTGCAAGTGTTGTCGATATGTTGAACTTCATTGGCACCGCACGTAACCAATTGTGCTAATTGGCGGTGTGGGGGAAGGACAAGAAACTAAACACAAAAAGCAGTTCTAACGAAATGAGCTTTCAATCTAGATGATGCAAAGTGCATAGCTCCAGTAGCTTCTATATACAGGAAGGCAAAAGCGTTCCAGACGGCCGCAGAAGCGCATCAGAAAGCGCGCGTCGTGGTGACCGTCTTTGTTCAGCGGTTAGCCAGGATGACCGGAGCTGGCGTGACGGTGAACGCTCCTCGACAAGATCGACGAGGGTGTCGCGGTTCGTTTGTGGCGAGCCTTTTGTGTGCGACGAGCGTGACCCTCACACGCTACCCCCCCCGTTTGTCTCCTCCCCCCCCCCAGCAAGCGCGCCCTACTGGACCCATCCGGAGAAGATGGAGAAGCGCCTGCACGCCGTGCCCGCCGGGAACACCGTGAAGTTCCGCTGCCCCGCCGCCGGCGTGCCGATTCCCTCCATCGTGTGGTTCAAGAACGGCAGGGAGTTCCACGGAGAGCACCGCATCGGTGGCATCCGGGTGAGCGGTGGGGGGGGGGGGGCAAGCACGAGGTGACGTGCGCGACGGACGAGCGGCTTTCGCGCGTGGCCCACCGCGACGCACGCTCGGCCCACGCTTACGGCACACGCGTGACGCACGCAGAGCACACGCGTGATGCACGCAGAGCACACGCGTGACGCACGCAGAGCACACGGCGCACGCAGAGCACACGCGTGACGCACGCGTGTGACGCACACGGCGCACATGGCGCGCACAGAACGCACACGTGACGCAAACGTGGACTGGCGAACACACGCGTGACGTTCAAATGCAAAACACACGTGATCACGTACGTACTCCATTGAGAAGCACGTGTACGGTGATTGCACGCACAGACCACGCACCCGGAATTGAACACACGTGACTGGGCTGTACGTGTATGGCCCACTCAATGAATTTGGAAGGCGAGGGGTTTCGTGTTTGAGATAGTGTCGTGTTCAAATAAAGGATCTTATCCAGCATAAAGCCATAGATTCGTGTTTTCGTGAGAAATTTATGTAAGTCTTCAGATGAATAACCACATTTAACAACAACTTTGGACGTTTTAAATATTAATGCTAAGCTGTCACATGTTGCCCACACGTAAAGCCCTTTGCCGAACGTTCACACGGGGTCCGAATGCTTTCATTGAGTTGTCCGTGAACGTCAGCGGAAGCAGTGTTCATCGCGACACTTCGCCGCCAAATATTTTACGTGGGAATGGCTTCTGAACGATTTTTTTCGTATTTTTTTTTCTTTTACTTTTCCAGCGAGTGAGCACTTGCTGGCTGACGGACGTGGCCCTAATCCCGCGGCAAAACAGGTCCCCCCATATGATCTAGAGGCACATATCTGCACGCAGAAGGGATTTATGTTGTGGTTTGACAGGGCCCGGGGCAGGTGACAAAAAACCGAGCAAGTCCTCGCAACTCCCAGCCACCTCCTGAAACGGGAGAGAGAATTTCTTCAGCTTTACGTTCGGATTATTGCTGTTGATTTGTTGTCAGCGTCGCCTGCCTGTCAACAGCACTTGTTTTCGAACAAAGCCAGTTGAATTGTGGGATAATATTTTCGGAAGGAAGCATTCACCGAGCGATGTAATAGAGATTTACTTATTCTTTTTCCGTGTGGGTTATACCGACGGAATTTGAATACGCTTATCCGATAGTCGTAGCTGCCAAAATGTGTCACTTTTCTAGTGGTTTTTACAAAAAGTATTGTACCAAAGCACTCATGTGCTCCCATATTTTATCACAATATAAAATGTTCACAAGTGAAATGTTTTATATAAAGAATATATATAAAGAAAAAGAATGTGCATTCTTCGAACAACTCTTTTAAGTTATGGCTATAGAGGAGTAAAATAAAAACAAACCTAAGACAAAGTAAAGTCGATTTAATTTCCACGAACGGTAAAAAAAAAGACAAAAAAAACCTGATCCCAGCTGCACAAAAGTAAAACGATTGACGGCATTACTCCCCGGCTCAAGAAATCCATCAGCTCAACAGCCCCTGTCTGCCTCTTTACTCGGAGACTAAAGGTTGCCACGGTAACTACCCGTTGATTGAAAGTCCGCAAACCTTAACATTCCAGAGTGTTATTTTGGTGGAGGTTAGAGGTCGGCCTTGCAGAGCGATGCTGTGGAGGAGGGAGTGGCGGCGGTGGTGGTGGTGGCTGTGGTGGGGGAGACCCGAGCTCTCTGTTCGCCTTAGTCTTGGGTTGAGCCCACGAGAAAACCTGGCGCCTTCGGCTTTCTCTCCCCGCTCGCTTTCTCTCCATCTGCGAGTGCGACTCGTGGGTGAAAAGCACGGGGAGTTTGGTTACTCGGTGCTGCGCGGATGCTGGGGCTGGTCATAGCTGGTTTGCAGCTTCGGGCATTCGTTTTAATTTGCAGTTCTGCAGTAAACACACAGTTTCGGTTGGTTGCTTTTTAGCTGCGCCAAAAATGTTTGATTGAGGTTAATTATATGAGTTATTGTGCTTCGCCAGGACCTATTGTGGAGAATAACGACAAAAGTTAAGTGTTTGCCCTGCAAAATAATTAGGTTTTTTTTTATATACCGTCCATGAAAAAATGGCACAATCAATCGTATACCTTTTTAAGTGATATAATCCGTATACGCATAACGCGTATTTATCGTATGTCATTTTACATAAAGGTCCAAAGACCATCTCTGTTGGTCACGGTGATACTTGGATGCACGCTTCTAGCTCCCGGTTACTCGTAGAAAATCCAATTACTTACTTAGCCAATCTCACACAAGCTCACGCTCCCACAAACACAACAAACAAAACCGTTGTGACGCGCGGGGGGAGGGATTACACGCAGAAACGCACCCATAGTCTCCATCATCTTAGGCCCGACTAATTGGTTCGGGCCAATTAGTCGCCTGCTTTGTAAAACACGGAGCGTCTATCATCAGGCTGCGCCTCTTTTGACGTGCGGCTCTCCACCGGAGCGAGCTGCCGGCGTCTGTCGTCGGACGGGCGCGGCAAGCGCGGACTGACGGACGTGCTGATGACAGAACGGTGGCGGCGGAGGGCTCTTGCCCTCTTGCTGCCCCCCCCCAGCCGACTGTATGTGTAATTTTTTTTCGCGTTTGTCCTCTGCGCACACTAGACACGCCGGCGGTGCCCACCGCTTGTGCGACGGCGCGGCTTTTGGCACGCGGTTGTATTAATTTAGAGCGCGGTGGGGAGCGGTGGGGAGTGGTAGCGTCGCGGCTAGCGTGCGCGGCTAGCGTGCGCGGTGGGGAGCGGTAGCGTCGCGGCTAGCGCCCGCTGCTCTACGAACCTGGCAGAGAGTTCGATTCCTGCTTGCGGCCAACGCCACTGACGATTATCCTGGGCCTCCCTTAGGTCGACTCGGCCTCAAATGAGGACCTGGTGCGGTGTGTAAACATCGCCACTTAGGGAGACGAAGGCGGCCGGGCATGGTGTTGGCCACCCACTCCCTCGTGTACCGTGCCGGCCTTCATAGGTGCTCGCGAACAGCACTCTTCCCCAACAGTCTGTTAAGGTTTTGTGGGGAATCTTCATCTTTGCAGTGCACGGCTTTTGTGGGCAGAATTGTGGGTTTTTTCGCGATGCTACCCTAGTTGTAACTTGCGGTGGACTGAGGCATCGACTAGAAAAACTAGTTTAAGTACAAAACCTTATTTTACTGATTTACTACTCTTCCGTCGCACTCCCAACGAGACTTTGTTAAAGCAACAGAGATCGCAGTGAGGCTACGAGTTTCGTTCTCGGTATCAGTCGAACCAAAGATTGAATTTTCTCGATTCGTGGAATTATCTCCAATGGCAGCCCCGGAGGCATTGGTGGAAATTCCACATTGCCACAGTTGGGGTCGGTCTCTCCCAAGGATGAGCGCTGTTTCTCACAAAGCGATAATGTTTGCATCGATTCCGGAGCGATGATGGGCTGCTACCGAGAGTAGAACATGGGACAATTAACAAACGCAAAGAAACGTGGTGCATGTTTAAAGCAAAACGAAAATATTTGCAGCAGAGACGGAAGATTTATCCAAAGTTTTGCAATTATTAGAAATGAATTAAATGATAACTTCGGTGCACGTACAAATTGCAGCTGATAAATAACTAACATGCCACAGATTACATTTTTTTTAGTTATTATACTCAACTTAAAAGTACAAAAAAAAACATGGAAAAATACAAAGCATGACAATGAAGCTGTTTTCCGTCCCAGAGTATTATTATCAATGTGACATCTGTGTCCGTGTTTATTTGGAAAGTGTTCGGTGCCGTCCCAGAGTCATCGTCGTAGTCCGTGTTCTGTAGCGGCGTCGCTGCTGCTGCTGGTCTCAAGGCTCTTGCGAGTCGTCGCGTCGCTTCTCGCCGTGGCTCAGCGGCCGTGGAGCATTGCTCGTAGTTCCCAGAAGTTCGGCGCTTGCTTAATGGATCCCACCGCTCCGGACGGCCTGCTGGAGCTCGGCCCTTTGCAGTTCGTTGAGCTCCGGAGAACTTATTCAAAACAGAGAGCCGGTCGGCGTCGTAAGCATTCTTTCTCTAAACGGGGGTGAAAGCGTTAAGGGCCTGCCGAGCGGAGTGTTGTCTTAACCGGGCCGCCGCTACGGCGTGACGTTGCTCCGTCGGGATTCCAGACGAGTGATCTCAGCGCCGCTGCGGGTGAGCTGCGGGTGAGCTGCGGGTGAGCTGCGGGTGAGCTGCGGGTGAGCTGCGGGACGCGCGTGGGGGCACGGCGGCGGCGGCGGCGCCCGTGCCAAACGGTGCTCCCCGTTCGCTTGAGTTACGGCGCGAGGCCCCCGGAGTGCGGCCCCATAGGGGGCTGGTGTCTTGAGAAAATGTATTTTCATTGCTCCTCGCGGCTCGGGGCTATTCGCTTGAACATCGAGACACCGTCGGCGTGACTCGTGCCAGGTGAAGGGGACCCCTTGCGCCGGTCGCCGCATTGCGAGGTCGGCAGCGGAGGGGGAGCCGAGCGGTGGGTCAAAGTGGTCCAGATGCCGTTGCTGGCTTGAAAATCCAAACTGGATTTTTGTTCGGAGTCCGCAGAGACGCACGCAACTTTAACACAAATGAAACGGGCTCTCATGCATGGTTGCCACAGAGCGTAACAAAGTCGCAGTGAAACAATGGAGAGGGCAATTGAGAGATTTCCAGATAAACTTATAAAAGAATTGTCAATGCAATGACCTCATTGATGCTGTGCAAAGTTTAAAGGGAGAAAGTTAAGCGCTTGGGATTTTTTTAATCGGGGCCAAAACAGAAGCATACTTCACCATGGTGGGAAATGCTCACCACGACCGTAAATTGAACTCGGGTCGCCGGGATCGAAGCGCAAGTGCGCGCCAGCTGCTGCGCCAGCGTGTACAATCCGTAGCCACACGTGATTATAATCGTAGGTGCCCAAGCGAATTACGAGAAATTTCGCTTCTTTGCTTTGCGTGATGCTTTTCCAGCGCGGTTTCGCTCTGCCCAGCAAGGCGAGCCGGCGGCGCTTTGGAGCGGACCGGCGTGGGTTACAGGTGGTGGGTCACGTCGCGGGCCGAAGGCCCCAGTGCAGGAAGGAGGCGGAGGAGGAATGCTGCTGGGTAACGGTGTGTGGGTGTGGTGCCCGAGTGGGTCCGTGGGAGGGGAGGGGGGGGGGGCGGCAGGTGGGGCCTGTCCTCACTCGCCGCCTCCACCATACCTCCAGGGCAGAGCCGCCTCTGACCGTAACGCGAGCCCTCCTAAAGCCGGCGGCGGCTTATAGCACCTGTGGGACCCCCGAGTCGTGGAGGTGATGCTGAGCGAGGATAAGGGTTGCTGGAGGCCGGTGTGTTGGGGGGAGCGGCGGGGGGGGGGGGCATTGAGGGACAAAGCGGTGTCTGTTAGCCCCCACTGGCTCCGAGGGGGTGTGCTGTTAGGCCTGTGGGTTTTTGGGCCGACGGCTGAGGCCAGGGTGCTGTATACAAATTCAGTGAAACTATTTTATCAACTCTTCGAATGAGCACACTTCAAAATGTTTGGATTTGTCTTGAAGTGTTTAGTTTATGAAGGCTCTTAACACACACACACAGAGTATAGTTTGTTGACTATCGCGGCAGTGGATCGCCATTGACCGCCCAGCGTGCTGGTGATGACTCGACGCAGTATCAGCCGGTGGCTGTCTGCACCGTGAAGGGCGCTGCAGAGCCACCCTGGCACCGGTGGCGACCCACGGTGGGCCCAGGCTGGGCCTGCAACCCAAACGCGTCCGTCCGTAACGCGGCACTGAAACGGAACCATTCCATCACCGGTGGACGTTCCGGCCATCTACGAAGAAGAAGATCCATGACCCCAAACGTAGTACATTTCTAGGTTTTCCCCCCCCCCCCTTCCTCTCGGCCAGTGATATTGACAAATTAGTTTTTTTTTTATGTTTGCATTCGTGCACCGCTGCCAACGCACGGATCACGCAAAGAAGCTGGAGTGGCCAGCTGCGTTTTTATATAGCCACGCACATGCAGTCTTGGAGTGTTAAAAGTACTTCCACGTAACCTTTAAACGATATTTTTCGGAAATATTTACAGATCGCCCGGTCCGCCCGTACAGGTGTGACCGTGTGAGAGGGTGTCTGTTAGTGCGTGCCAGGATGCAGGCTTCTCCACACGGCCTGCCTGCCGCGTCCTTCCTTGGGGTGCGCGAGCGGCTTGCGGTGTTGCGGTTGAGCCGATGGAGGCGTGTTTGGTTTAGGAAGAGAGGGGCACGGGCGGGTGGGTGGGGGCAGCAATGCGTGTAAAGAGGCGATGTAAAGTAGAAATTAAGAAAAAATTGGGATTGCAAAGGGACGCGGGTGACAGTGATTCCTCAGTGAAGGTAACGGGGAGGCGTGGTGAGGCGTACACCGCGGTGAACGTGAACGGTGCGTAGCCGGCTGGCCCGTAATTACACCTTTGGGAACATTGCTCAGACGCCAACGCAGGTGGAGGCTTAAGGAGTCGCATTATCAACGAGCTGCAGACAATGGGCCCCACTGTGTGATTTCATCAACTGTTCGTGGCCATCGAGGAGTCCCCTGGTCGCTCGCATTCTTTTCACCCCAATGAGGCGGTGGAGGTGCCTCTTGTCGTTCGCATGGGATTAGGTGTTGGATGAACTGGACTTGTCTTGTTGTGAGCATCTGCCTCCCGACCCGAGGTGTAAACACTGGAGTTTGCGAATCGTCATTTTTTTATAATGTTGTGTGTTGTGTTACGAAGAGGTGAAAATGGTGAGATATATAAACACACGCTGGACCTTTTTGCCAAGCTGGTTTCAAAAAGGGTCAGGAACATATTTATTTGGAACTAAACCATAACAACAAGACATAATAAAGAATGACATCACTTGTGTGAAATTGATTTAACTCGTTAATCCCCGTAGAATATACTTTAATCGTCCGGGCTTTAAAATAACATTCGGATACCTCTGTTGTGACTTTCCAAAAGAAGACGACATAATCTGTCAAACCATGTGTTTGGACACGTGTTTTTTTTTAAGGATAGGCAGGCATGTACACTATTGTATCTTCTATCCAACCACCACCTAACCCCCCCCCCCACCACACACCCCCACGTACCCCGCCCTCCCCCCACTGGCTGGAGCAGTGGAGATGATGACGACGATGACGACGACGACGACGATGGCTGTTTGAATCGTGCTGCTGTTGCGCTGTGCGTGTGGCTGCAGCTGAGGCACCAGCACTGGAGCCTGATCATGGAGAGCGTCGTGCCCTCGGACCACGGCAACTACACGTGCGTGGTGCGCAACCGCCACGGCACCGTCAACCACTCCTACCAGCTCGACGTCGTCGGTGAGCGCCCGTTCGCGAAACGTTCGTGAAACACTCGCGACCCGCTCGCGACCCGCTCGCGAAACACTCGCGACCGGCCCGTGACCCGCTCGTGAAACGCTCGCGAAACGCTTGCTGACCCGCTCACGACCCGCTCGCGAAACACTCGCGAAACACTCGCGACCCACCCTTGACCCGCTCGTGAAACGCTCGCGAAACACTCGAGAAACGCTCGCGAAACACTCGCTGCCGTTACCTTGTCTTTTTTTCACAAACGTTCGTCGCGATGTGAAGGATACGCGTGGTAATCTCACGGAGCGGTGCGAGATGACCATGCAGTTCGGGGATGGACCGAGGAGTCCTTTCAAAGAGGTCCATCAGAGATTGCTACAAGAGACGGCAGGTTATCATTGTCCCAGACTCTTTGCACACATTTAGAGTGTGCGGGGGGGGGGGGCGGAGCTTGAGAGGCTGTCATCGGTCTGCGAAACAAAGGTCGTAATATGCGTGAGATTAGAGGTGTGTGTACGATTTGTGTTTTTGTGAGACACACGGCTCCCAGACACGCGTCGGTGTTTTGTTGCCCACTTTCGCGATAATTGCGGCGACATTGGACACTGCGGCAGCGGCGGCCGTGGTCCTGGCACCAAAGTGACGGGGAAGGGATGCGAGCGGATTAACACCACTGATGGTTAATGTGGTCAGGTGGGGCCCACATAGTGGCTGGGTGTTTGTACGGCGGGGATCGGTGTCACCCATCGCCAGATATCCCGTCCTCCCGTCTGTCTTCAACACAATGAGCCATCTTTCCTTCCCTGCCCATCTCTCATTATTTAATTAATTTATAATTATAGTCTTTTTTGTTTACACCGTATATAAATGTGAAAAACACCCATAAAGTTTGAGCCAACTTGTACGAGACTAGGTCCAATGCAGCAGTCGGTGACGTGTCTGAATTTCGGTGAAAATCTGCTGCCACCCTTCAGTGTGAGCGATGAAGAGGGCAAATCACACCGAGGTCGTGCGTTTCATCCGTGTCGTCGCGACACGAATCTGGCCCTTGGTCCGTTAATGTAACGTAGGTCTGCTGAACGTTAAATATTTAAACAGTGAATAAAGAATCAACTTAAAAATAGAGAATCACCTCCGTCGCACGTTTGCTCCTCGTGCACGTGTGTTTGTTCCCCTCTTTTTGGGAAGATGACACGAAATCGACGTACGGTGCAAAATAAGTTCTACATGCATACAAACGTGTACGTTCAGCTTCTTTATTATGGTACGTAGCCAACCGTGCTAATCGGAGGTGCGGGGGAGAACGACAACAAACTAAACCCAAAAAGCAGTTCTCAAAAAATTACTTTTTCAATATAGATTATTTGAAAGTGCATAGCTCCAGTGGCTTCCTAATATCGGAAGGAACAGCGTTCCAGACGCCCGCAGAAGCGCATCTGAAAGCGCGCGATGCGGTGACCGTCTTTGCTCGACGGCTAGTCAGAAGCCGCTGCTGCAAGCATGACCGGAGTTCGCGTGATGATAGTTTATCTATCTTGAGTGCATGTGCTATGTACCAAGCTGCAGTTGGATCACGGAGCTTTGTGAAGTGTACATCTCAACACTGGCTCGGTGCAAATGAGCTGCAGCCTCAGTCACTTGATACACGCACGAACACACACACACGCGGCGTTTTTGTTTGAAAGTGCCTTCCCTCTCTAACTGCAGGCGGCGTCGCTGTTTGTGCAAATAGATATCGGCTTGCTTTGTAGGCACACACTTTGCAATCAAAATGATATAACGCCAAGTGCTGAGCCACCGCCTTTGCTCAAGCTCCATGGAAACATCACTTCCAAGGTTGTTTCATTACAGTTATGAGGAACGTTTGTGCCGTATGGGGAGCGGTAGTGTAACGATTAGCGCGCTGCTCTACGAAGCGGTTACCCGAGTTCCATTCTTGCTCATGGCCAACACCAGTACCTGGTGTGGTGTGTAGACATCGCCACTGGGGAGACAAAGGCGGCCTAGCATGGTGCTGGAAACCCATTCCCTTCATGTTCCTTTCCGGCCTTCATTGATGCTCGCTAACAACTCTTGCCCCTCCAGCCTCTTAAGGCTGTATGGGGGATTTTCGTCTTGTTGTCTGAACTGAGCATAGACCGGGACAAAAAACATTGGTCAAGCTGGAAATTAGTTAAGCAGTTTATAAAGTGGCTTTTTGTTATTAGTGATATAATCACAATTAAGTAGGTTAGGTCTGCACTTGTTTAGATGCATACCACTTATGACGGTCACCGATTTAATCAGAATTAAAACATTCGCGCCTGCACCATGTCGGATTTCTTACACGGACACGCGCTACATGTCTGCCGCAAAATATATTCGTAACAAAATGTGGAATCTCAAGAAGACCACCCCATCAGCTGTGAGCGGAACGGAATCCGCATCGTGTTACTTGTGTTTATATCGCCCGAGCTTGTACACGCTTGGGCGTCCATGGATACACAGCGCTTTGCCCAGGGCTCGCCTCGCCATAACACAGGCAAGGTGCGGTGGTATAGTCTTCGTGCATCGCAGCTAGAGGGGCCCGGGTTTGATTCCTGACTCGGGCAGCTTTTTGTGCGGAGGTTCTACGTTCTCCTGATATTTTTGCATCGGTATATTTTTTTAGGTGTTCTCCTGTTACCTACCACAAGTAAAACAGACGTACAATTTAACTGTTAGTGGCCAATTCTAGATTTGAAGCTTTCGTGACTGCAAGGATTCATACTCTTAGGTTTTTTCGGTAAAGTCACGTAGGTAAAAAAATTCAATTAAAATTAATACAAGTAAAATAAAAAATCACGACGTTTCGGAGGCAACACAAGCTTCCGTCTTCAGGTGGAACCGTCACAGCACGATTGCTGTATCAAGTAAAGTCTTTACCGAAAAAACCTAAGAGTATGGTAGTGGCCAAACATCCCGATGCCTAAATATTCCCTAAAAAAATTACGCAGTTTGGATTACACAGGGCAGCAGCGTTACGCCTCCTGCCGCTTGTGAAAACCTGGCAGGACCCTCCTGAAAAAGAATCTCGAGACTCGGTGAGGCTTTCCTCGATAAACGAGCAGCGTAGTAATAATAATAAGATACAAAATGTCTATCAATCTCTTTTTATCTTCATCGCCTGTGATGATCCGTTTGATCAATCATCTTCACAGCCCATTTTTAGGTCATTGCAGTTAATTATCTGCCGTTGCCAGGGATGCAGACTTTGAGAGATAGCTACGGCTCGGGGTGGCTTTCATCCAGCAGTGGATTGATCATGGCTGATGGTGATGATAATAGAACGATTGAGGATCGGTTTGGGATGGCTATATTTTGTTCAGGAGATTTTGTTGTTGTTGTTGTTGTTACAAAAGCGTTCTAAAAACCTGCACATGACCGGTGTGGTTTTGCGGTTATGGGGAATTGGCCAGTTTATACCCAAATTTATGGGCGAACTTTAGCTTTGAGAGGGGGAAAAAAATCGTAAACAGCGAAAACGCGCAGTTCGAGCGGCCGCGGTGGCCGCGAGCGCCGCGGCAGGGGCCTCCCACGTGGCGGGCGTCGCGACGACGGCGGCGGCGGGCATGATGATTGCCCGTATCCCGTCCCGCCCCGCCGCTTTCCGAGGGGCCCCTCATTACGCCGGTACGCGGCCCTCGCCGCGTGCCAGTACGCGACTTCCTGCCCCCTCCCCCCCGTGTGCCAGCACGCGCGCTCATGCACGCACACACACTCGCTCATGCACGCACACACACACGTGCGCTCATGTACACACACACACACTCGCTCATGCACACACACATGTGCGCTCATGTACGCGCACACACTCGCTCATGCACGCACACACTCGCTCATGCACGCACACACATGCGCGCTCATGCACACACACACAAACACACTCGCTCATGCGCACACACACTTGCTCATAAACTCACACACGCGCGGACGTCGACAACTAAGATCCCCTGTATAGCCTCAAGAGACTTTTAAGGCAAGTTCTTTGAGCGAGTAGCACCGATGAAGGCCGGCACGGCACACGACGGGGGAGGTGGGTGGCTCGCAACACGCCCGGCCGTACTTTGTCTCCCGAGTGGCGATTTTTACAAACCACACCAGGTGCTCATTTGAGGCCGAGTCGACCTGACATGGACTTTGGCTGGTGGGTTCTGTTTTGTTTCATTTCAAATGAAGCCATCCAGAAACGCTCCAATACAGAACACTCGCAACGATATACCAAGAACAACATTTTACCAGTGCAACTTTTTTTGCTCGTTCCATTAATAACATTCGCTGAGGCGATGGAGCTACGAAATGAGCTCGTGTGCAGTTGCCCGGTGGATTATTACATATCGGGATCGCGAGAGACGTCAGCAGCTTGGGGAGATCTTCATCCAGCAATGCATGAGCCATGGCTTCAATGACGATGATGATAGTCCGCCATTTTCTCACGGCGCTTGTTCTCAATTGCTCCGGATCGGTCCCTCACCTCCTTCATCTTTCAACCCTTTGAACCTCGCCCCCTGGAGAACTCGCTTATCCTGACTCGCGCAACCTCGGGGCCCCTTTCCCATCCCCGCCCTGCAGAGCGCTCGCCCCACCGGCCCATCCTGCAGGCCGGCCTGCCGGCCAACCAGACGGCCGTGGTGGGCAGCAACGTGGAGTTCCACTGCAAGGTGTACAGCGACGCGCAGCCGCACATCCAGTGGCTCAAGCACGTGGAGGTGAACGGCAGCCGCTATGGCCCCGACGGCTCGCCCTACGTGCAGATCCTGAAGGTACGGCGCGCTCGTTGTGTCGAGGGCGATGGGGCGGCCCGGTCAAGCGAGTTGAATGCGCGTTCCCCAATGGCCAATTGGGATTGTTTTTTTTTTAAACGTTCAAATGGAATGTGTATACGGCTGTTTATTAATAGATGAATGCGTGCCGTACGTGTTTATTATTGGATGTCCTCAAGTTACACGTGTGTGTTGTGTTTTTATGGAGAGAAGTTGTGCAGCGGTTAGCGCGCTGCACTGTGAACAAAAGAGATCCGAGTTTGATTCCTGCTCATGGCTACCAACACCGGTGACGATTATCTAAACCGGTCCCGAGCCTCCCCGAGGTCGATTGTATAAACATCGCCACGAGGGAGACAACGGCCATTCGTGGTGCTGGCCACCCACCCCCTCGTGTGCCGTGCTGGCCTTCAAAGGTGCTCGCTAAGAGCACTTGCCCCAACAGTCTGTCAAGGCTATGGGGTTAGGCGGTCTTTGTGTTTATGGATATAATATTGATTTTCTTTTATGTTCAAGAGTGTGTGTGCGTGATGGTCCCTGGAAGAGTGATCAATCTCAGTCTGCGACATCTGTGCAATGTGTGACATTCGCCATTAACCCCCCTCTTTTTTTTAAGCATCCCGAGCCGGCTACACGCACATAACTTAAATTGCCGTCGGCGTGAAACGCATCGCCGTCCCCTCGTTGGCCCAGATGCGGCGGCAGTGCCGGCCTCTGGCGGGGGGGGCCCCCCGCTGGCCCTCTCGAGACAAGAGAGTGAGGAGGCTTAAACCGAAGCAGACTTGACTGACGCTCGGATTAATCCTAAAAAGCGGCGCACGGAATCACTCGTGGACACCACCCCCCCCACCACCCCCCGACTGCTTCCTGAAAAGAAAAAAAAAACTTAAAACAAGCCAACGACAAAAAATATATATTTTTACCGCCCCGTCCGTCGGATTGAATGGCGATGGAGACATGGTGCGGGGTGCGGCCCATCTTGCCCGATGGCTGGCCACCCCCCCCCCCGCCCGTCCCGTACGCTGCGTCTCCGCCGTGGCTCACGGTCTCCTGTGTGTCGGTGTTGTTGTCGTTGGTCGGTCTGTGTGTTGTAGCGATCGGGGATAAATAGCCCCAGCCTGGAGGTGCTGACGCTCCACAATGTGAGCGAGGCGGACGCCGGAGAGTATGTGTGTAAAGTGTCCAATTATATAGGCGAGGCTAATCAGTCGGCCTGGCTCGCAATACGAGAAGGTAACGCAACAGTCCGACCGCCCGTCCGCCCGCCCGCATGACCGCCACGGCCGCCCTGCGTGTTGCTGGGTGCATGAGGGGCTCCCCCATCCCCCCCCCCACCATCGCTGCCCCCCCCCCCTCCCGGTGCGCCCGTCCGCCTCCTCTTCGTCTGCTCCGACCCTCCCTGCGCAGGGTGGCCGGGCGCAGGGCTCCGATGGGCGGTGGGTTCGGTTGGATTCCCCCGCTTGCAAAATAAGGTCGACTCTTCCCGAAAAGCGACGTTATTTTCAGTGCACGGATCAAAGGCCATGGAAAAATCCCCACAGTGCGGCTCATTACAGCTCTCATTCCTCCTGCCGTTCACCGCTGCTCTGCGACGATTCAACCACTCTCGCTCTCTCTCTTTTCTGATATTCGAATCGTAAGTTTGACGTGTAACTTTTTAATGCAACATTAAGAATGGAGCTTGTTTAGTATCTCTCTTTTTGCTATTTTACCTCTTAGTCGGTTTTAATATAAACACGTTCTGTTATTGCATAACTGTTCTTTTTTTAAACGATACTTGATTAATCCACTTCACGTGACAAAACTATCAGTCTTTACCTGCCTTGTTCTAATACCGCTGCTTTATAGAACTCCTTGCATCACATGGCTTCGGTTGTGATCCTTCTCCTGCTGTTCTTGCTTCTGCTGTCCTCATCACTCACCCTGTGCCTTGGCAGCCACAGGGTGCGGGCCAAGGCAAGGCTGCGATGAATGAGTTGCACTGTGGGCCAATTTCTCCATGCCGAGGTGCCTGGCATGGCCCTTAGAGAGGGTCTGCCCTGGTGGTGTAGGGGTTAAGGTGTGTGCGTCCTGGTGCAAAGGAGATGGTTTGTTGTTGGTGCTGTAGATGTTGGTTGCATTTACCCCTCTCTCTCTCCCCGTTTACCCCCATTGCCATTCCCCTGTCTCCCCACCCGCCCTTCCCTCCCTTCCCACAATGCACCCTCAAAAAACTTCTGCAGGGTGATGGGGCTACGTTAGAAACCCCATACGCTGTTGGAATTTCAATGGAGTTTTTTGTTTTGTGTCTCTCTCCTTCCCTGTTCACCTTTCTATTGTGCTTTTCCGTTTTTTCTTTCCATTGTTTATTTTTTTTAGACGGCCGGAGTCAATACCACAGACAAGGAGATAGAGGTCCTCTATTTACAGAATGTAACATTTGACGATGCTGGGGAATATACTTGTTTGGCGGGTAATTCCATTGGGATCTCTCACCACTCTGCATGGCTGGTTGTCATCCCAGGTATACATGGACAAACTTCAGGAAGGCAGCCACTAGTCACAACGCTGCTTTGAACAGATGGTCCCAAGGCCTCGGGCCAGAAGGCTTGCACTGAAGCCGCTTAAATGAGCCGTAAAAAATGAAACAAAAACCCTACTGGCGTGTGTGTAAAAGCCAATGCGTATCAGGCAAAATCTTGCGATGGCTTCTCAGCTGAAGCGTGAATTTGCGCAGTCTTGGTTTTCTGTGTTTTAAGTTAATGTTTCTATATGTTAGCCGTGGTTATCATCACAGTAACAATCGGTGGAGCTTCAGTTTACCGTTATCATCGCCATTGCCAGCAGCTCACCGTTAACTTCATTGCATCTTGACGTCTGTCATCACAGAGAATTATGATGTTCATCGCACAATTTGCAAAATTGCAATTTCCACTGTCAGGTCACGTTACCCTGAAGAGACGTTACGAATTCTAAATTAAAGTCATTATTATTGCAACTTACATTTTTTTCAATGCCAAACTGTGCCAAAGTCAGACAATGCCACCCCCTTTTCTCCGGTCCAAAACCCCCCCCCCCCCCCAACATTTCTTTGGCTTTTGCACACGACCGTCGAGTGAGAGCTAAGTCACGATCCTTAAACTCCGACACGGCCTTGTGGCTACCAAAGCAGCGTTTCTAGTGGTAACGTCACATATTTTATGTGCGGTGTCTTCTTTGATAAATGCTATACGCGTGCAGTTTCCTACAAAGTGCTTCCGATTCACTGAAACTTGGGAACACGGCGTCGCGAAAAACAAACGGCAGCGGAGCCCTGTCGCAGGGGGGGTCCTTTCAGTGTCTGCCATTGTGGCTCCTCTGGGCACGAGCAATTTGCATCGGGTGCACGAAACGCAAAACACGGTTCACAAAGTTGGCGGCGAGGCGCGTGGGTTCGGTCTCCAAGGACAACTCAATCCCAACCTCGTTGTGTGAAAAGTTATTATTACGTTGCACATTTTTACGGACTTAAAAGAAACTTCCATCTCGTTTTTGCATCGTGTGGTGGTGGTGGTGTATAATAATTGGCTGCTCACGCTCAGCAGTTGGCTGGCTCCTTGTTGCTAAATAATGTTACACTTGTCGAATATCTTTATGCTCATCGAGAGATGCGCACTAACACAGGCACATTACACCCAGCGGTTCTGCGGCTTAGCGCACAGCTTCCATTTGTCGCTCATTTTTAGAACTGCTTATCCACGTCACATCAGAATGTGGGACATCGATTTTCAGCGTTACTCTTGAGAATTGCCGCCCAATCCGGCGTTTATTACGTTGTTTTGGCCCGTGAGACGGCGGCTCGCATTTCCTTCAACGGCGCGATCCGCACGGCTTCAAAACGTCGGCGTGTTCCTGCAGTTGCGCATCTGCGTCTACGCTCAAATTATCTCCCATGGTCCGGCATCCCTCCCGGCCCCCATTGACTCCCAAACGCGACGCTAAATCCGCCGACGAATTTAATTTAAGAGTTGCTGCTTTGGACCAGCTTCGGGGGAGCAGGTTGCCCTACGCGCAGCCACTGAACGCAGCAGCTGAGAATCTCTGCATCCAGTGTTTGGCGGGGGGTGGGGGGGCGGTGGGCAGGGGCAGAACTCTCAAGGGGAGCCTCCGTGTGGGCAGTATGCGCGCGCACACGCGCTCCTTGACCTCCGGGTCAACCGTTTGGCGGTTAACGATAGCATTGATTCGTCAATTTGGAATGATACGCGCGCCGAGGCGTGCGTGAGGAGGGTTTACAATTTGTCCCAAGTTGTACGCGAAAGGTCGGCCTGCTGCATCTAGGCTAATGGAGTGGACAAAATTGTACAAGTGAGACACATAATTGGTCTTGAAATTAAATCGTATATCCCGATTCGTGTTTATACCTTATCGAATCGCTTAAGGCGTGAACTATTAATAAGCCTGTAAACTCTCGGATTAGCCTCATGACGTGCATTTATTGTTTACAAAAATAATTTACTTTAATAATATAGATGTAGATGCTTATTTAGAAACATACTTTAATTGGCAGTGGATTTAGGTTTATTTTGTTATTTTTGGGATTTGTGCCAAATACTATTTGAAGAGGCATCTAATCGCTGGCTGTAGGTGCTCCCTTGCAGTCATAACAATGAAGCATCGGGTGGCCAGTTTAGCCCGTGACATGAGAGGCTTTAAAAAAAAAACTTTCTCCGTACACACGAAATATAAATTTTTACACACATGCTTTTTTGTCATCATTATTACTTCACGGATTTCAGAGCAACAGAAATCACCCAGGTTAGGTGTGGGACAGGCACTGGCTGCCATTGATTCTTGCGAGAAAGTCCCCATTTGACTTTTGAGCAGAAAAGTCGCCGCGAAAACAACAGATTGTTCATGTGCTTGAGCCGCCATCCCTCGCCAAGAGAACCAACGAGATGGGATTTTCTTTTAATCAGCCACACTCTTAAAATACATTCCAAGAAAAGGACGCAACAAAAAAAAACCCCAGGAAAACGTCCGTAGAAAGCCTGTGTGTCCAGATGGGTTCAGATGTAATCGGAAGCACTTTGTAATGTCGTGGAAAGTGTGCAGTTTGTATCCATTCGCGTGTTTTGTTTTTCTGCATGTGGGTGTTGATGCCTAGCAGCTGATGCCGCTGTCTTTATTTTACGAAGCAGCGGCAGCAGCAGTTGTTCCCTCTCGGCGCCTCGATAATAAACGAGCCTCCGGTTTGGGCAGATGCTGCTCTAAACTCGATTATCTGGCCGAGAGGGACTGCTAGGAACTGAACCGGAACTGCTTTAGCTGACAAAAACACAAACACTTGATCCAAATACGGCTCTTTTACAAGTCAAGTGTATTTCTTAGGGTTGCATAATTGACCACAGTACTGGAGTACAATTGAATATTTTTTTCTATTGAAATGTTAATTTTGCATATGCATGCATGCTAAATTACGTGAAAAAATGCAATTTTAAATAATCACAAAGGCTATTCAAATTATTATGAACATCTCACATGCAATGTTGGCCTTGAGTTACATTTAAGTGTGATTTAATAATTCATTTAAATAGTATTGGTACATTATTTAGGTCTTGTGAAATAGATATTAGCCTAGCAATTAGGGTGGGTCTCACTGATTAAACTTAACATTGAAAAAATCATTAATATTTTGAAACATGTACACGAGGGGACTCATCAAAATATTTTCACAAATTCTAACGCATCTTTGACACATTCCGCAGTCTCAGTCCGCTAAAGCAGCCCGTGTTTCGGTATTCCTGATAATGCCATGTTCACAGTTGAAAGTTTGAGATATTCAAACTGGATTATCAGGAAAACATTGCTGAGATATTGAATGTTTCTTTTACTTTGTTTTAATTTTGTGTGTGCAGTCGGCGCGTTTAGTTAAGTAACTAGCGATGCTTATTAATCGCATTGAGTTCAATTTCGATTTAAAGCTTTCGTGACTGCAGGGATTCATCTTCTTGGTTCTTTCGGTAAAGTCACGTAAAAGGGAAATAATAAAAATAAAACATAATAAAATACAATTTTCACGACGTTTCGGCCACAACGCAAGGAGGACGGCTGCTTGCGTTATTTCCCTTCTACGTGACTTTACCGAAAGAACCGAGAAGACGCATTGAGTTCGTTTAGCAAACTTAACACGATTAACACACAGTACAGTTCTAAGGACCAGGTGCTCCTACCTGCCATAATCAAATGCATTGTTTAATCGTTAACATTTAGCACTTATTTTATGCAGCTTATCAACACAGAAGTGCATAATACTTACATTGCGTAATTACCGGACGGCACCGTCGCGTCGTGCGTTTTCTTCACACATTTCGTTGCTTGACCTCGTGCCACCGTGACCCCCCCCCCCCTCCCGACAGCGGAGAGCACTGAGGTGAAGGTCGGCCTCGCTCCCCCAGATTATTTGGAAATTGGCATTTATTGCACGGCCGGCTTGCTCATACTCATGATGATTGCCGTCGTGGTATTTTGCCGAATGCGGACGCCTAAGGCGCAGAAGCCGCCCTTCAATGAGCCCAAACTCTGCAAGCTCTCCAAAGGCATCCCTCTCAAGAGACAGGTGATTGTGATGATGATGATGGTGTGTTGTGTGTGTTGTGTGTGTGTGTCAGTGGTAGCGTAGTGGTTAATAGGGAGCGGTAGTGTAGCGGTTAGCGTGCCGCGCTTCGAACCTGGCAACCCGAGTTCAATTCTCGCTCGCAGCCAACACCAGTGACGATTATCTGAACCGGCCTTGTACCTTGCCTAGGTCGACTCAGCCTCAAATGAGTACCTGGTGCGGTGTGTAAACATCGCCACTGGGGAGACAAAGGCGGCCGGGCGTGGTGCTAGCCACCCACCCCTTCGTGTGCAGTGTCGGCCTTCATACATGTTCGCTTAACAGCACTGGCCCCAACAGTCTGTTAAGGCTACACGGGGATCTTTGGTGGTGGTGGTGCCACCATTTGCAGTCGCACCATGTGTGTGTGTGTCAGTGGTAGCATATTGGTTAAGTGCACTGCGCTACGAACCCGGCAACCTGGGATCAATTTCCACTTGCGGCGAACATCGGTGGGGTATATCGAAACTGATTCTGGGCCTCCCCTTTGTCGACTCAGCCTTAGATGAGTTCCTGCTGCTTACTGACTCCTCTTCGCTCCCCGTGGAGCATAAGGCACCAAGAAGCCCACAACATGCCGGACGGTCTTTAGCAGCGGTGTGTTAACAAAATGCCCGGGGAGACAAAGGAGGCGAGGTGTGGTGTTGGCTAAATTACTTTCATGCGCCGTGCCAACCTTCAGAGGTGCTCACTAACAGCACTTGCTGTGCATGGACAACAGGTCTGTGCACTGAGGAATTTACACATTTTTATCTCTGAAGCCCTCTCCTAGACTGCTAGAATAGTTCGAATAGGAAATCGACAATGTCAAATGTCTCAGTCTGTGTGTGTGTGTGTGGCTGTGGGTGTGCGAGTGTGTGCGAGTTTGTGATTGTGGGTGGGCATGTGCGTGGCTCTCTGGGCATGACGTGTGTTTGTGGGCATGCCGTGTCCATTGCGTGCGTTCAACATCGACGTCCATTATTAACCGCATGTGGGGATCCCGCTGCTGCCGCCCCCAGGTATCGGTGGAGTCGAACGGCTCGATGAACTCGAGCGTGCCGCTCGTGATGCGGGGCGGCCGCTTCTCGTCGGGAGACTCCCCGACGCTGGCCGGGGTCTCAGAGTACGAGCTGACCGAAGATCCACGCTGGGAGTTCTCTCGGGAATGGTTCGTCACCCGTTATCATTCTCGTCACGACCATTGCTCCTACTGTTCTTATTCCTCTTCGCTTGTTACTCGGCAACGAAGCAATGATGAGGCGTTTGACGATTTTACCCCACCCTGCCATCGGAGGTAGAGCCGGGCAAACCGATGCACGTGTACATAATAGTTGGGCGGGGGGGGAAGATTCCACCGTTGGCCTCTTCACGCAGGGCGTGGCTTGAAGGGGGTTTCCCACCTTCATGAGGATGCAGGATGCCAGGGCAATCACAATTGATAAACAGTCCCGAGTAATCCACCACAAAAAGTAGCCGATTACTATTTTTTGTCGCCTTAATAGACGAATCACTCAGCTGTAGTCACAATCTATTACCCAGATTCAGTTCGAGATTATGTATATTATATTTTTTTATCTTTAAATGATTCGCCTCCAGTTCCTGCAGGAATCGGCTGAACCCATGCTGTTCGGTAAAACGCACGAATTGAAAAGTCGCTCCCAACGCACGCGATGAATCGTGTCGTATCGTGAGCTAGCGAATCGATGTGAATCAACAAATCGATTCTTCGTCAGGTAGCCAGCGGTCGCGACATTCGCCGTTGCCCCAACAGTCTGTTAAGGCTACGCGCCTGGGATCATTGTCTTTATTGCGTGCGCGTCTGCAGGCTGACGCTCGGCAAGCCGCTGGGCGAGGGCTGCTTCGGGCAGGTGGTGATGGCCGAGGCGTTGGGCATCGACAAGGAGAAGCCCAACCGCAGCCTCCGCGTCGCCGTCAAGATGCTGAAGGGTGAGCCGCTCGCTCCAGCACGCCGCACGCTCCGCCCGCTGGCGTGGCGGCCGTGGGAACGCTGAACCCTGACGTCACCGTCAGTTGGCCGTCGACACCATTGTTATCGTCGTCGCACACGATCGATTCGCTGCCGGATGAGGGCACCCACCCCCCCCCCCCAAAGTCGGCGCCACCTCTCACGATCCAACGATGCAACAACGCGTCCAGCACCGGCACACGAACCGTTGCCGCTGACACGCGTTGACAAATATTAAATCGTAACTGCTTTTATAATTCTGTGTTTTTGTCTGAACGATCGACTTCATCCATGGGCTCTGACAGTCCCGTGTGTCTGTTCGCAACGTACTCTGAAACTGCACCATAAATGCACCGACGTATTGTTACTCAATTTACGTACCCTAATGGCATAGCTCCCTTGGCTGCAGTGATGTGATGCATTCGCCCTTTTGTCCGATCTCCCACACGCAGAGGACGCCACGGACAAGGACCTCTATGACCTGGTGTCAGAAATGGAGATGATGAAGAACATCGGGAAGCACAAAAACATCATCAACCTGCTGGGGGCGTGCACGCAGGGCGGTGAGTGTGGAGCGGCGGCTCCCTCGTGATGGGGATTTGCACGGTTTCCGTTATTGCAAAGGCGACGTGGACAAATGCGGTGCAGGAACAGAAGCCGATCGCTCGTATGCATGCATGCATGCACGTGGAACTTCTTTCACACCTTACGTAGCCAGCCGTGCTCATCGGAGGTGCGGAAAGTGCACTTGGTAACGAGTTGCTGCTCACTCAGACGCACACACCATGTGACAGATTACGTAATACATCACACACCATGTGACAGATTACGTAATACATCACACACCGTGTGACAGATTACGTAATACATCACACACCATGTGACAGATTACGTAATACATCACACACCATGTGACAGATTACGTAATACATCACACACCATGTGACAGATTACGTAATACATCACACACCATGTGACAGATTACGTAATACATCACACACCGTGTGACAGATTACGTAATACATCACACACCGTGTGACAGATTACGTAATACATCACACACCGTGTGACAGATTACGTAATACATCACACACCGTGTGACAGATTACGTAATACATCACACACCGTGTGACAGATTACGTAATACATCACACACCGTGTGACAGATTACGTAATACATCACACACCATGTGACAGATTACGTAATACATCACACACCATGTGACAGATTACGTAATACATCACACACCGTGTGACAGATTACGTAATACATCACACACCGTGTGACAGATTACGTAATACATCACACACCATGTGACAGATTACGTAATACATCACACACCATGTGACAGATTACGTAATACATCACACACCGTGTGACAGATTACGTAATACATCACACACCATGTGACAGATTACGTAATACATCACACACCGTGTGACAGATTACGTAATACATCACACACCGTGTGACAGATTACGTAATACATCACACACCGTGTGACAGATTACGTAATACATCACACACCGTGTGACAGATTACGTAATACATCACACACCGTGTGACAGATTACGTAACGGATCACTGAAGGAGAAACATTGAGAGGCGGGCGGCAGGGGTTTCAATCTTCATTGCCAGTCCTACTTCAGCAGATGGAATTCCCGTGCCAGTTCTATCAGTCCATTCATGTATGTTGAACTTCTTTTGCACCGTACGTAGCCAACTGCGCTAATCGGAGGTGCGGGAAACCGCTTCGTAGCTCCCGCAGAGTGATGCACGTCGACCCAGAGGCACGATGGGCCGAGTTCATCCACGTCCGCGATTCGACATCTTGACCTTCCGGTTGCAATTTGGATTCATAAGTGATTTGACAACCTCAGCATCAAGTCGTCGTAACTCGGTCTCAAAATGTGGATTCTGATAATTGCCATTCCCAGCGCTTATCCGACCACCTCCATTCCCCCCCTCTTAATCCCCCCCCCACTCCACCCCACTCCACCCCAGGGCCCCTGTACGTGATTGTGGAGTTTGCGGCGAAGGGGAACCTGCGCGAGTTCCTGCGCGCCCGCCGGCCGCCCGGCACGGAGTACACGTTCGAGGGCGCCGCCAGCGCGCAGGGCGAGCAGCTCTCCATCAAGGAGCTGGTGTCGTTCACCTACCAGGTGGCGCGGGGCATGGAGTACCTCGCCTCCAAGAAGGTTCGCCGCTCACGCCCGACGACGTTGTTGCTTGCGTGCCCCCTTCACCTTTCTGACGTTGCCGTAAGGAATCGGACAAACAACCCTTTTCCCGGATTTTGCTCGAAAATGCATCGACGATAGTTTTCGTGACAAAGGGGTTATTATGAGAGGAGTACAGGTTTCCCTCTCTTTATACGGTATGTGCGTTCCACAAAGCGAAACCGCGCGGCACGGCTGGCTGCCGAGTAGCGCACATGGTACATACGGTACAGTACACACACAATGTTGCCCCACGTCCGATCGCATCGCCGCGTTATGGGTGAATTCGGACCAGATAGAGAGAATTTTGGGGAGAAATAGGATATACGGGAAACCACACGGACCAAACCCGCATAGAGCGAGTGGAACCATTAATATTTATCATAATTGGTACTGCCGTATATGAACGAGATGATGCCACTTACACACGCGGTTATTTTGGATGCTTCCAAATCCCTACCTTTGTCCACCCAGAGGCATTAACGGGCACACCACATTACATTGTGCTGGAGGAGGTCACGTGTGGTGGGGCAAACCGCGGGTACACTTCTGCCCTCTTTCTTCCAAGATGCTTTAACGAGCATGGACGAGTTAGGCCGACGTGCCCTCTGCAAGGGCTCTCGAAAGCGCCTTCGACTGCGAGGCCCCTCCCGTCCACAGTGGCGTGAGCGAGCAATTGCAGGGCTTGCACATTTTTGCCTCCAATCTTCGTTGATTCGCATCGCGCGCTCTCTCCGCGACGATGCTTGTGCGACGCAGTGCATCCACCGAGACCTGGCGGCACGGAACGTGCTCGTGACGGACGACAACGTGATGAAGATCGCGGACTTTGGCCTCGCCCGCGACGTCAACTACATTGACTACTACAAGAAGACTTCCAACGTGAGTCTCGCGTGTTCCGTGGCCTCGCGCTGCCTCTGGCATCACGCGCCGTGCGTCCCGCTTTGTGCCGGCCTCCCGCTTAACCGGGAGAGCAACGGCAAAGGAGGCTGCGAACGTAACGAAGAGGGACGACAATTAGATAACGGGCGTGATTCACGAAATAAAAAATATTGAAACGGATTTGGGCAGGGCATCTCGCGAAGACATCACGTGACAGATGGGCAGTGTGAACAGCAGAATGGAGGCCGATGGAGGGAGAAAGGGAGGTCGATAGAAAATGAGACGGCGGTGCGAGGTTAGAAGATTTGGAGGAGCGCGCAGGATGGAGGCGGTGGGGGATCGTGAAGGGTGGACGGCATTGGGTGGGAGCCCCTTGGCCCAGTGGTGGCTAGGAGATGTTAACTCCCTCGCCTGGTATGCAGGAGTTCGTGGGTTCGATCCCGACCCTGACGCCTGTATATTTGGAGTTTGCGTGTCTCTCCCAGTGGTCGCGTGGATTTTTCTCCCGGTCCTCTGGTTTTTCCTTCCACATTTAGAAACGTGCGTTGAGAGTATGTGGCTGCTATAAATTTCCAAATGATAAGTCGCTTCGTTGAGCTATCATTTGTGACCAGATCGCTGCTGAGAAAGATTTAGGTAGCTCAGGGGGAGGGCCTTACCTGGTCAAATAAAAATAGTTTCGTTTTTAATGGTTTATGTTTGTGGTTCAGAAAGAGCGAGGCTGCTTTCTTGGCTGTTTGCAGCTCAGAGCCACCATCACATGAACCATTGAGCACTGCTGAAGCTCACGGCTGATTAACGCAACGCTTATTATATTATTTTGCTAAATGGCTGCAAGGAATTGCCACTCTCATGGGGTAGCGGTACAACCTCCCGTGTAGCGACTTGGTGAGTTGTCATTGGTCCAATTCAACATGGGATTAATTTTTAACTTTGGTGAACATCACTTGACAAAACATCAGGTGGATTTTATGCAGTCATTTTAGCCGTCGGCGTGCATACGTGTCGTCACAGATGTTTTTACGAGTAATGAAGCCGAATTAAAATTAAGCGGCAACCCAGTTAACCGTTGCAAACAAACTTAATTCGGGTTTTCTCCAAAGTAAGTATGGTTAATTGACACCCAGTGACAATATAATTCTGCTATTAAATTATTTCAGGTAGTTAAAACATCCACTTGTACTATAGTTGCGGTTCTAATTGCTTTAGAAAATGTGCTTTAATTACAATTTAAAATGTAATTACCATAACATAGCCTTATGTAGCACGTGTGCAGTCGGGCTTTTACAGTAGCCGTAGTAACGCCCAGCTTCATAACCAAGTACATTTAAGCCAAGCCAGCAGTGCCAAGTGAGTGAATAACATTGTCGGTTAACTTAATATTGTATAAATGTAGACATGTCTAATATTTCACGTGAATATTTTGACATTTAGGGAAAAACAACAATTATCAACGTATGGCACGGGCAGGTTTTGTTTTTTCCCCAACTCGCCCTCTTTGCACGATTTCCTCAACAAAGGCTTCGTGCAATTTTCGTGACCGGTTATTTTTACAGCTACAGGTCAAGCAGATTGGCTTACGCCCTTTGTGTGCAGGCATTGGAGAGCGGGCCCCCCCCCACCACCATGCCCCCCCACTATACCCCCCCCCATCACTCCCTCCCCTTTGTCACTGCGGTTTGTGGAGGGTGTAGAGAGGGGGCCGGTGAGGGGAGTTTGTTTTGCTTTCGCCGGCGACGTTCGACACGACACCGGCGTACAGAATTTTTGTCACGGTCATGAAATGGTGAAAGGAAGGGAAAGCACGGTTATTTATTTTTCTTGAACATTTTATATTCGAAGAATAGGAGGGCAGAGACCTTTGAAACCGTTTTGTGTAGCTCATGGGAAATGAATTATTTTTTTAGGCTTGCTGTGGTCGGAAAGGATGAGTTTGAATGTTTTTATTGGGTTGTTTGGATATGATTTTTTTGGTATATTAGTATATTAACACGATCAAAGGCCGTACATATCACAGTGCCAAAACCCAAACCAGATTTCCTTCCATAGATATCTTTATCGTGAAAATGTGAGCTTTTTTTTATAATAACTTGTATTGAGATAAAGACAATTCCTAGAACTAAATTCTTTAAAGTTTAAAATATTTGACGTAGGATGATGGCAAGAATATTCCTTACATTTTAACATGAGAATATTGCTCGTTCTACTTTGCAGTGTAGGGTATGGTGCTTATTTTCCAGATCGGCATGCAATGTTCCTTCACAAGTTAATCATTCTTGAGCCTGATCTGTCACATTGCCTCCTTACAGATTGGCCATGTCTAATAATGAAGGTGCACTTCATTAACGCCGCTCAAATCCCAAAAAAAAGAGGGTATCTAGGCATTTATAACGTCCAAGTAAAAAGGAACAGGTGCGCTGCATATACAATGTTGCAATGAAAACGGAGACTTGCGTTGCGCCCTTCCCCAAAAGAGACGTCTGTTAACGGCATCCCTGCTGCAGCTGAGCCAGGCTGCTTGGGTAAATCGTGCCGCTTAAAAGGCCCCAGCAAAGAATAAGCACGTTCGGCGTTGTAGCCACAGCACGGGTGGCTGACTTGACTTGGGAATCTGTCGGCGCTTTTGGTTGCACGCACGCACGCACGTATACGCAGTCACGCACACACAGAGGAAGACGTAACTCGCTCCGGAGCGGCAGACATGCTGCTGCTGCACGTGGTTTTGCCGTTAGACGGTAGACGCTGGACACTAAGTGCAATTTATAGAAGCACGCCTCCGATAAAATCGAGACACGTGCTTACATTACGCTGGTGACGGGAGGGAAGGCAAAGGGAAAAGTTCTGATATGAGCACACTGCTTTGGATATAAGCACAGCCGGCCTTGCCCCCAAGTGAGCGTGCTTTTACCTGGATTCTACCGCACGGCCGACCGGATTGCAGCCGCGTTGATCGTTGCGTCGCTCTCGCCCTTCAGGGTCGTCTGCCGGTGAAGTGGATGGCGCCGGAGGCCTTGTTCGACCGCGTGTACACGCACCAGAGCGACGTGTGAGTACACCACCACCGCGGGTGGGGGGGGGGGGTAACTTGTGAGTACACCACCTCCGCGGGTGGGGGGGTGGTAACTTGGCTTTCACTTCTTGTTTCTTTCGGTAAAGTCACGTAGAAGGGAAGTAATAAAATAATAAAAATAAAACATAATAAAACAATTCTCACGACGTTTCGGCTACAACGCAAGCAGCCGTCTTCAGGTGAAGAATGAGACACTACCAAACTAGGAGCTTATATATAAGCTGCATTGGGGGTTGAAGAGCGCCTTAACAAAAAGAATGTGCATGTGAAGAGGGATTTAGCATATTCATAAAAAATGCGTAGGCGTTGGGCGGGGGGGTGTCAAAGTCATATTATGCCCATGCATTATGCAGGATCAGCAGCAACCAAGGGGGGTGCAGGGATTAGCAGTAACAAAGGAAAGGAATGTTAATGATATGTAGCTGCAGTTACTCAACAACACGTAGAAAACTAAAGTATAAACTACATAAAAAACTAAAGTATAAACTGCATCGCACCATCAGTATACTTACTATACTCTATAATAAGCTGAGTTACTAACAGCAAGTAATACATTACAATTTTACCTCGTAAAAATTCTATAATATGCTTCCATCTAAACCTTATTCTCTTACATCACACGAGCATATACCGTACTATATACTGCCATAGATAAACCCAACATTAAATTATATACTGTATTGCTGTAAACCAACCTATATCTTATACATTTAATATCACACTATGTATTATTCTACACACCCTAATGTGTATCGAAATGGTTTATTACGTCCTTCCAATGATTGCTGAGCCAGAATCCATCTTCTCGGTTAAAGTTGTTAACCGAGAAGATGGATTCTGGCTCAGCAATCATTGGAAGGACGTAATAAACCATTTCGATACACATTAGGGTGTGTAGAATAATACATAGTGTGATATTAAATGTATAAGATATAGGTTGGTTTACAGCAATACAGTATATAATTTAATGTTGGGTTTATCTATGGCAGTATATAGTACGGTATATGCTCGTGTGATGTAAGAGAATAAGGTTTAGATGGAAGCATATTATAGAATTTTTACGAGGTAAAATTGTAATGTATTACTTGCTGTTAGTAACTCAGCTTATTATAGAGTATAGTAAGTATACTGATGGTGCGATGCAGTTTATACTTTAGTTTTTTATGTAGTTTATACTTTAGTTTTCTACGTGTTGTTGAGTAACTGCAGCTACATATCATTAACATTCCTTTCCTTTGTTACTGCTAATCCCTGCACCCCCCTTGGTTGCTGCTGATCCTGCATAATGCATGGGCATAATATGACTTTGACACCCCCCCGCCCAACGCCTACGCATTTTTTATGAATATGCTAAATCCCTCTTCACATGCACATTCTTTTTGTTAAGGCGCTCTTCAACCCCCAATGCAGCTTATATATAAGCTCCTAGTTTGGTAGTGTCTCATTCTTCACCTGAAGACGGCTGCTTGCGTTGTAGCCGAAACGTCGTGAGAATTGTTTTATTATGTTTTATTTTTATTATTTTATTACTTCCCTTCTACGTGACTTTACCTAAAGAAACAAGAAGATGAATCCCTGCAGTCACGAAAGCTTTAAATCGAAATTGGCTTTCACTTTTAAGCGCCAGGTGAGCCAGTGGCACCATCACCGAATGCCAGACGTGTTTGCGACGTCGCCGGTTTGTCGGCTATCGGCGCTCGCTCGCCGGTGCCGCACGGGGGGGCAGAGGGGCTAGCCCGGTACGAGACGCAGCAAGAAGCGGCCGTTGCCGTACAGCGGGCGATGACGTAACCCGCGTGCGTAACTTGCCGCGTGCAGCCCGGCTAAGGGAACTTCTGTTCAGTCTGTAAATAACAAAAAATGATTGTAATTGTAACGACTGACAAGTTTAAAACTCATGCCTATAGACTGCAAATCTATCGCTGTTAGTGTGTAAGATGCTATATCAAAGATGATGATGATGAGGGATCATCATGTGAGGTTGTTGTGGTGGGTGGAGATGACCACCAGGCCACACACATCTGAGTGGGAACGCATTCTCCCAGAACAAATTGCATTCGTACAGCGTCGCCGTACAGAACAGCGTGACCATCAGTTAGAGAGTGTGTGGGCAGTATGGGAGTGTGCGAGCGTGTACCTGTCTGCTGCTCGCTCACGTCCGTTGCTCCACGTTCGTCGCATCCAGGTGGTCGTTCGGGGTGCTGCTGTGGGAGATCTTCACGCTGGGAGGCTCTCCCTATCCTGGCATCCCCGTGGAGGAGCTGTTCAAACTCCTCAAGGAGGGACACCGCATGGACAGGCCGGCCCTCTGCTCCACCGAGCTGTGAGTAGGACCCGTGTCTTGCACAGAGCACCCTTGCCAATAACGTCTGGCAGTTCACTCGGCGTTGGTTCAAGCGAGCCCGACTCTGCTGATGAAACATTTTGTGTTAAAAACTGATCCAGAGCTTTGCTCGTATTGAACCGATGCTGAGAAATGATGCATTCCCTGAAGGTCTTGTGGTTGATGGGAAGTGTGTTGTTTTTTATTTTGTTACGTGGAGGGACAGTTTTGTGAAATGAGATATTGTGTGTTTATTTATTCCGTACGTGTCCGTTTGTGTGGCTCTGTCATAGCAACAGTAGGTGTCAACCACAGTTCATAAGCATACACCTGTGCATCAGTTCATCGGCTTAAAATCCACAGCTTGTGCTCACGAGGCACGCGGCGTCGAATCTTTCCTGTGAGCGTCGTGCTTCTTTGAGATTTGCACGAGGTTGTATTATAATCGGATTGCTTGAGCGCTGCAGCCACTCAGAGCACTACGTAAACCATAACTGCAGGAGAATTAGCAGATCACCAAGCTGGTATAACAGCTATACCAGGCCCAGTCAAGAATCCCAACAGTTGTTTACTTGTGTGCTTCATTGCTGCTGATTGTTCACTTGGTCCAATTCCTATCAATGTAGCATTGTTGTTGTGCATACTGCATACATTGAACTCACAATCAGGTGTTGGTTTAGCAAACAGAGAACGTTATCGTTTAAAAAAACATAAGAACCTGGCCAAAGACATCATCACATTCATTGGACACTGGTACAGCAAAATAAAGAGCAAATGGGCTGCTACTCATCGGTGCATGCTCCAAGCAACAAACAGCATTTTATCACAAACACTTTTTCCCCCCAATTAAAATGGATAACGAGAGAGCATCGTGAATTTCCCCCCCGAAATCCAAACACAATGGCAACTTATTGACGGCACCCGCCCCCCCACCCCCGATCGATGTCACGATATGCCGGACGTGTAGATCACTGCCGCCGTATGTGGGGGGCAGATTGTTGGGCCGGCCATTGCTTGATCCATTCCAAACTGTCACTTGATGTTGCAGCTACAACATCGCAGGTTGGCCATCTCAACCGAGCAAACGACTCGATGACAGCCCCCACAAAACTAAGCCATGCAAGATAAGCTTTCTAACAAAAGCATTTATCCCAGTCCGCGGACACGGTCAGTCACGTCAGTGTTCACAATGAACGGGCTGCCCTTAGCGATACAGTTTATTTGTCTGCCCTCGTTACCTTGGACACGGCCAAAGCGGTGCCACCAAGAATTGGTTTTATGGCCAACGACGCCGAATTTCAGCCGCTGCATAGCAGGGGAAATTGTTCGGCTCTGCAAAAGTGATAATAACGATGATGATTATGGCGACGATCATGAATTGCAGTGTAAAGCCGAGCTCTTAACGGCAGAAGTAATTTTTCTAAGCTCCCTTTCTTGGTCTCTCGCGATTTTCCTCGACAAAGTTTTGGGAATGACCACAAGCTACCCCGAGACCTACCGGGCTATCCCCCCCCTCCTTCTGCAGCGGCGCTGTCCCTCGCAGAGTTTTGTGGAAACAAACATGGAATGGAATCGTGGGCACAGAGACAAGTCGTTGCATGACTATGAGTACATAACTACAGCATGACAAAAACAGCTTCCCCACGACAGCATGACAAAAAAACACCATGCCTCACAGGAGGAGTTGCCTTGAATAGGTCCTGTGCAAAATCTGGCACGTATAAAATGTCATAGTATGTAGGCTATTTGAGATGGTAGGCTATTTTTAAGAAGGATGTTAAACATTTATCAGACAGACAAATATGCGTAACATAAATGTATTGCGGACAGCAGTAGGATACCCACCAAGAATGGTATTCAGAATAATTAAAGCAAGGCAAGTACAATTTCTTGGATACACAAAACGAGACAGCAAGACATTTAATATCGTGTGGACTTTATTAAATATACTGTATAAGCAATTGGATACAATTGGGAGGGGTATCCAATGCAAAGCTCTCGAGTAAATATCATGGACAGAACTAAATGTAGGGAAGGCGCCACGCCTCTGAGAAAGGACGCCGCACAAAGAGAGAGAAAGTGTTTGACACTTTCTCCTTTAACTGATTTCACCTTTGCCAATTTGGCTTTATTGTAATTAAAATTATCTTAACGTAATTTCAACGTGAAGTGCTACACTTTGGAAACGTCACTTCCTGCATTGTGTACCTTTTTTTTTAACAAAGTGACTGCCGTATGAACATTTTGGGTCTTAAAAACAACCAACCCTTCCCCTCCAAGGTGCGTGCACATACGTTTTTCGCTGGCTTGGTGCACAAAAAAGCGAGTAGTGTTTAAAAAAATCAGATCTATTACTCCAATATTTAGCAAATATCAACTTTAAATGTTTACTTTGGCTTATTTAACAATCACGTGTGTCACTCAACGAGGGTCTTGCACCAACACAAACAGCGCCGGGCCGCCGCGGCCTTGTGTAACGCAGACATAAAACAAATGGCCGTCTGTCCACAGCGGGGTACTAATCGCGTAAGCACCGACGACATGGGAGCATGAAGCAAGGCAGATTTTGAAATCTCTTGCGTCCGGTGATTTATACACGGCGGGGAGCAGGAGAGGAGGGGGGGGGCGTTCGGGGGCACTGTGTAAACACGGCAGTGAGTGAGCGTGAGGAATGTGTGCTGTAATATGCAGGCTGCTGATAAACAGCATTGGCCTGAAATGGCATGATAATGGACTGATTGAGAGATGGAATGTTATACAGTGGGTTGGCTCTGGGTGATATGCTAGGTTGGTTCTCTCTGAACCTTCCTGTTGAACTCTGACCCTGGCATACTCAGACTGGCTGGCTCGGTGACACAAGCAACCTGTGTCTGTCTGGAAGATGGCCTATCTTGCTTTATCTTCAGGGCTGCGATCAGATGCCAGTGTCCACCCCCAAGCTAACCCTAGCCCTAACCTTACATCCCTCCTCCCTCCCCCTTCGCATTCCAAACTCCTCGACCACCCTGGCGTGAATTGGGATGCCGTAGATGATTTACTGCAAGTGCGTGCAGGTGTGAAATATTAAATTTGGAGCAAGCAAAGTTCGTGCAAAGTGACACGGCTCAAACCCTCGCGTTCTTTCGTCTGCGTCCGTGCCCCCCCCTCACTCCACCGCGGCCACTTCGCGCCCCTGCTCCACACCTAAAGCGAAGGATGTCGGCTACTAAACGAAGCATTACCTGGGATTTTTTGGTTGGCAGGAATGTGCATGTGTTTTAAATGCAGAAATCCAAGAGAAAAAATGTAATACACGACGTTAATGATTAGGGAGGGTGTAGTTTACAGTTATGTACGGTCGTTATTTATAAGGGGAGGGGAACGCTGTAGAAAATTGCGTGCAAAGTTGTCAAATTTATATCACATTGTATTATATTAACTTTTATGTGCTAAGCTGAGGAAACCTTTTCTGTGCCTAATGGAAACTGATTTAAGTGTTTATGTGAACAGGGTTAAGCATTACGCTAATTTGCCACTTAATTAATTATTCCCCAGTCACTTGCTTTTAATCAGTGTGAACAATGATCGGCCAATTAACAACCATGTTAAGCGCTGACATGTGGATATCTTTATAGTCTCGTAACAAGTGTGTTACACATTTAACGAGTCACCGGGAAACATGATACAGCTGTGGGAAGTCCTTCTCAACGGAATCGTAAAGGCAAACGCAGAAGCCTCTCGTAGGCCGCTATCTCTCAGGTGGCTTCGCTCATCTTGGTCGTTCAGAAATCACGTTCGCAAATTGCGTTCGTAAATCTCATTCGGGAGAAACCGCATTCTGAACTTGCGTTCAGGAGTCACGTGGGCCGATGCTTTAAATCCCCCGGTCGCCGCTGTGGCGCGCGTGCCGCGGAGGCCGGCTGCGAAGTAACGAGCCGCGCCGAAACGGGAAGGGCGTGAACCCGGCGCGGGTCGCCAGGGGTCGATGCGGAGATTGTGAAATTTTGCGCGCCGCTTTTGACGCGTTGCGGTTTCGTGTCCTCCTCCTCCTCCGTTGGTATTGCCTGCTGCTCCACGAGCGGCTGCTTTTATCGTAGCGACTGAAAAAAAACACGTACCAGCGGTGTGCTCTTAATCTGTCTAGTTTAACACTAAAATTGAGGCATGAAAGGGATATGAGATATGCAATTTGTACTTGTGTGCTTAATTTATGTTTTAGTGGCTTGCTTAGCTTTCCTATACTTTGCAACCCTTTCGGTTTTTGTATTGTTTTGTTTGTTGGAACTGTATGACCTCTGCTTCTACTTGGACATCTGTGAAAAAGAGCTGCATAACTCATCATAATATTCTAGTCTAACTACAGATTCAGATGCTGACTTGTAGCATCTCACTTGAATGCCGGGTGCTTCATTGCTGCATTGCAGTAAGTTACGTCCAACAGTGCCAAGGCGCGTGTGTGTACAAGCTGCATGACCCAGGCCTTTATGTATGTATGTTGAACTTCTTTCGCACCGTACGTAGCCAACCGTGCTAATCGGAGGTGCGAGGGGAAGGACAACAAACTAAGCGCAAAAAGCAGTTCTAAAGACATGACTTTTCAATCTAGATTTAAAAGTCCATAGCTCCAGTGGCTTCCTAATATCGGAAGGAAGAGCATTCCAGACGGCCGTGGAAGCACGTCCGAAAGCGTGCGATGCGGTGACCGTCTTTGTTCGATGGCCAGCCAAAAGCCGCCGCTGTGAGGATGACCAGAGTTTGCGTTATGCTCCTTGATGAGATCGGCAAGGTCTTACAGTTCCTTTGTGGCCAGCACTTTGTGTGTATAATGAGTGTGACCTTGACGGCTGCCCGTGCTCTGTGCGTACACAGGTACATGATGATGAAGGACTGCTGGGCAGCTGTCCCCTCGCACAGGCCCACGTTCAAGCAGCTGGTGGAAGACTTGGATCGCATCCTCACCATGACCGCTCAGGAGGTATAACGCAAACGCGCGCGCGAGCTGCCGGGTCCATGAATGCAGCCACGCTTTGCTGATGACGATCTTGAGCTCGTGTGCTGGTTGTTTCAAGGAGGTGAAAAGTCTTAAGGTTACAAACGAGTTTCCGAATCGGGAATACATTTACCAATATCAAAACGTTACTGGTTAAGTTGCTTGTTTACTTCTGTGGCTGTTGAGCAATGACGATTTAAACTGTACAATGTCCCTTTTAAGTTTTATTTTCCGGTAATGTTTTTAAAACAAATATGTACCAGTAAACACCACCCTCCCCTTATAAGTTCCCCTGTATCATTTAACCACTCTGCACCGAGAGATACTTTAACGGCATCAACGAATGTTTGTTTAACACGTAGGCTTTCGCGACCAATATTATTCATAATTAACGTTTTTTGGGTTTAGAGATTTATAAATGTGTCGTAACCCTCCACCACCCGACATGGCCAATCAGTAAAAAAGTGTCACGTTGACAAAAGACAAATAGTTCACTACTTTAGCCCACCGGTGTGTTGAAGCGTGAAACCACAACATTTACAATTTGAGTACGACGTTTCGCTGGTAATTGCATCCAGCATCCTCGGGCAATTCGTTACTTTCACCGGGTAAATGTCAACCCCTTTTGGTACTGTGTGGCCCTCTACGTGCGTGCGTTAGGAATACCTGGACTTGTCGGCCCCATTGGAGCAGTACTCTCCGAGCTTCCCCGACACTCACAGCACCTGCTCTTCCGGCGACGACTCCGTGTTCTCCACCGAGCCCCTACCCGACGAGCCAAGCCCGCCTCCGTATCTACCGCCCACCCTGGCACCCACCCTGGCACCCACCCTGGCGCCAACCCTGGCGCCCACCCTCGCGCCCACCCTCGTGCCCACCCTGGCATCCTCGATGCCAACCTCCCTGTCGCCCTCCCTGCAGCTGTCAACGTAACGGAGGCGCAGCAGCTGTGCCGCCGCCGACCCAACTGTGTACATACGGGACATTGCTAGCGCCTTCAGCGAAGCGAGGTCGAAAGAGACGCTCGGATATGAATGAGGCGCTGGGAGAATTTATTCAAAGGGACTCGATGATCAGCTATTGCAGGCATTTGCGAGCGCTGCCTGCCGCGTTGTTGTTGTTATCGAATCTCGGTGCGAGGGCCCCCGCACGACAAGCCAGCCCTCCCTGACCTTGAACGAGGCCCGCTGGGAATCCGTGAAGGATTTAATGCCCGTGCGACAAGCGTCCCAGTTTAATCACACTTGGCAGAACGCCAGCCCAGATGCAACTCCAAAAGCCGACCCGTGGTTAAGTCGTCAACTTAGGTTCCTGCAGTCGCCGCTTTGTTGAAGCAATCGTGAGTGACAGCCGAAAATCCTCCACGCAAGCGCCGTGCGATCCTCTTGCCTTGATGCTGGTCAGGCCTTAACGCGTCTCCCAGCCCGGCTCATCCGTGCGTTCGCCCCCTCTCCTTTTATCACCGAACGCAAAGGATCTGTGCATTGCGGGGTGCCTGTGTCGGACCCGAGTGGACGAGCAGCGCCTGCAGAGGTGGCCTTACTTCCCGGTGAAGCTTCCGACTGCATGACAAGCGACGGGGGTGGGATGGGGGGGGGCTAACAAAATGATCTTCAAAGCGGTGCCTTGGGCTATGTTTATACAGTTCATTTGGTGGCCAGCGGGACTGAATGTATTTTCGTTGCCAATTGACTTGTGGCCTCAGGTATGTTTCTTGTAACCCTCGGGGAGCCTGAGGAGCCAATGTGACGGCACCCACACAATCGCTTTTGGAGTTTGAAAAACTGCAAACGGGAGCCGTAGTGGAGTAGTATCGTCTCCCGTCGTGCGAACACGCCATCACCTGAACGCGTTTTGAAGCAAAGCAGTCGTCAGCCCTTGTGCGTTCGTTATGCCTGTCCGCGCTTCTCATATCTCACAGCAATATACCATACGGACTGGACTTGAAGCGAAACACCAAGAAAATATGTACGCATTTTTATTGCAGTCACCTTTGCCATGGTCAACAGCTGGCGGGGGGGCTCAAAGTTGGATGCAGCGTCATCGCTTGATTGGCCCCGGCGTGAAATAATAACACAGGTCACATTATATTCCACTTCTTTGGATAAATGACCGCCGTAGATACCGCTATATTTTGAGAAACGACTCAACATGCAGCCTACATTGAACACATTCTGTGTGGGTGGCCCATCACACCTTATGCCTCGTCATCAGACTGATTGTTGGTGGGGGCAGCCTGCTATTATTGTCTCTTCGTTAAAATATTTGCAAGTGACAACCCGTGGTCTGGGAGAATGAATGGTAAATCGTCCGCCTCCAAAAGAGCTCCTTAGAAGAGCCACCGAAGGAGAATCTTTTTTCCAATGGCAGTAAAAAAACAAAGAAAGCAGCGCCACTCTGGTGTGCGATTCACCTCGTGAGTGAGCAACAGACGGAGGGAGAAACGATGAGGCTTCTGTGAAAACATGAGGAGGGGAGGGGGGTGGTGGGCGCTGCTGCAAGCTCTGGAGAAATTTCATCCACCACAGCGGTTGTTGTTGGGCGTAGCGTCAGACTTCACTCATTTGTACACGTTTGATTCCTTGAAACATTAAATGGCTGAATGTAGGGAAACTTGCAACACAAATTTGAGAACTGAAATGTCCGAACTACAGTAATTTATTTATTTTTTAACAAATACAAAAACGTGCTAAATTTTTTGCTTAATTTAAACTTTAGTGACCGGTGTAATATCTATTTGCCAGATATTTTATCTTTTTTAAAATGTATTTTTGCATTGCCTCGGTTTTCACGGTACATCTGAAATACCTTTTTAATACTAATGACACTAGATATGTACATTTAAAAAAGTATTTCTTATCTGAATGAACACTCGACTTTGCGGACATTTGTGCTCTCAAGACAATTGCCACTCGTGTGTGGCGCTGGAAATAAGATTAGTCAGAAGAAGAAGACAACAACAAGATAACAGGGCACTGCAAATGAGTTAGGACAATGGAAAAAAGGCACACACACATTTATTCTGCAAGACTCATGCCCTTTGGCCGATTGTGAACCAGGAACACAAGCCATTTGTGCGGACGCTCTCAGGGTATCAACCTTATCTGCCTTCCGGGAGCCGGGGTGTAACAATATTTACATATCGCTTTCGCCGTAAGAAAGCGGCAAGCGGTAATACAACCCGCTTACAAAGATAGGTACAATCCGTTGGCGAGTCACGATGACATAGAGCACACATTATACTGTATATGGATTTAAGATGCATACGTATGGTTGTGTGTGTGTATACATGTTGTAAATGTTAGGCCAGTTTGCATTAATGATGAAATCTAACCACGATTAAACGGTCAAGGAGGTTTTTTTTTTTACAACAAACTGAATGCATGTTTAACAAATTGTATTGTTTGAAATTGACAGCTCTCAGTTTTGTATTATGCACAATTACAGGCTTATTGATAATTACTAATACAACGCTGCAAGTGGTTGGTATATTTGACATCTAAAGCGCGAGGCTTAAGAATACACACGTAGCAGTAGAGGCATATTCACCACGATGGCACAGTTAAGAGGCTCCTGAAATCTGAATGCTAACCGCATAATTCCTCGTGTTGGTGATTTGTAAAATAAGATTGTAACTCTGATCGTGTCTATAGTTTGTACATTAGTTCGTGTGGACATTCCAGTGCCTGCTGCCCCCCGACAGCGTGCCGAAATAAGAAGTGAAGTTGAGGAAGATAAATTGCAGGCTGATCGGCGTTTTGTGTTTGTCCGTGGACCTCTTGCCGACACTCGTTGCGAAAAGAAGATTGTGGCTGCCTGCGGCTCTTTGGTGGACTTTTCAAGAGTGCAAGCACGTGGACCTGAAAACTCAACTCTCTGCATATATGTACCAGTGACAATTTTTATATGGAATCCAGACAAGCCAAGCATGTGCGTTTCTAACAACTACTTTATACTTTGAATGGCAATACTTTGGAGATGGTGGCGCTTCCAAGAAAAGCCTACATGGGATGTTCTGCAGGCTATGGTTTGTTGCCTTGTGATTGTCAATTTGCAGTGCCAACAATACACAGATCTCTTGCCATTGTGCCTAAAGAGCAAAGCTGTACGTACACTTCATACAATATTACGCAAGTTTGGTTCATATCAACGACCAATTTTACTTTTAATAAGAACTATATCTGAATATGTATATTGAAATAAATTTTAAAATAATATTGGCTCTTAGATACAAAGAGCATACATTTACAATTTCCTGTGTAAGGCAGGGATATACTCTGTAACACTATGGTTTAGATTTGTACTGGAGCATTCCTATATATAAAAAATATATAAATATATTTACATGTAAGTGTCTGCCTTCTAAAGAGCAAAGCAGTTATTACAGTATGGTTTATGGCAGAATTTACAACAAAGATTTATTAGATTTATTAACCTAATTTATTGATAAATTTTACAAAATTGTTGGATTTGTAAACAATCTTGTAGTTAATTCCTACTAAACGAAGGTGTATAATGTTTATTGTTTTTCAAGTTTGAAATGTTGCACAGGTTGGTTGCGTTCCTGCATCCGTTGTCCAGGAGCTGTTGTGGTTTTCCTGACAGCCCTTCGAGACTACCATGAGGCTTCGCCAAATAAAATAATTCTGTTCAACTGGGTACCGAGGTCTGCGCTGCCCCAGTTTTACTTTGTCCTCAAATGCAGCAGCAGCATCTCCACCAACAGAGATGGTGGTTGTTGCACACTGCCCACAAAACATCGGGAATTAAGCTGCGACCAATTCCAAATTTTTTTGGCGAAATAATTGTGTTTTTGCTTCGGCATGTTAAGAGTAAAGTGGTTTGAATAATGATCTCCGAACTGCTGTTAGCATAAACCATGCGAGCGTGAAAAAAAAAACTCGTGACCATTAAGCCTGTGTGATTTACTCACTCCTGCATGGGATCAACAACGCTTTTGTGCATTTCAAAAATAAAGTTAAGCCTGTCTACTCATTGTCTTCATTTTTGGCTTCTGATTTAATTGCAAGGAGTTGGCAAGGCACATCAGAGTGTTGCCGAGGGATTAGGGCGTAATCTGCAAGAGCCGCCGAGGCAAAAGCCAAGTCACATGGGTCCCGTGGGGCCCCGTGGCCTCTGCCGGCGGATTTTTTTCTGGCAGCGATTCTTGCTGCAAAACGAACGTCGTGGAAAGAATACTCGACCGCTGTGACCCCCCCCCCTCCATACCTGTTTTTTTTGCGGCTGAACATTTTGCATGCTGCACTACGAGTCCGATGACCCTAGTTTGATTCCGTGGCCACAGCTAACAGCAGTAGAGCGAGAAGGGCTTACGCTAGAGGGCTGTTGGGATGGGCTCTGCACCATCGAATGCCCCTTATGGCCCTTCCATGTTTACTCTCCAATCAACAGCTCTCCCGGCCACCCCCATCTGAGAGGAACTCGAACAACGCTTGATGTTGAGTGATATCAGAACCAGCTCCAGGCCCCACCAGCTGACATTGACCAGCGTGGTGAAGTAAAGCCAAAACTACCCTGACACGGTAATAGGTTGTTACCCTTTCAACTGGTACAAAAACTGACACCTTTATACAAGGCATCATGTTTGCAATAACCACAACACAAGCAGTCAAAATGCAAACAAAAATAAACAACTCTGATGGTGATAATGATATGCACTGTCCTTGAAGTTGATTGGTCCACACCCGAGACAGCTTTTCTTAGAGCCTAGTCTCCATTGGTGTTGGACCAGATGACGCCCAAAGGTGTATAAAGGTGTCAGTTTTTGTACCAGTTGAAAGGGTAAAAACCTATTACTATATTTTGCCACTGGTAAAGGAGGTCTCATAGTGTATACCCTGACACGGTGCAGAGAGGCCTTCACATGCTGCAATTGATTAATGAAAGGGCCGTCAATTCTTTTTCGTGTTAATTTATTGTACTAGGAAACATTTAAACTCGTGGCGAAGATGAATGAATGAACGTACCAGGTGGCTTGTTTTCTCTTTTAAGCATTGCAACAGACGGGGTTGAGTCGCTGGCTGGCTGAGTCAAACTTAGTGGTCGCCTTTGCTCGGTGCAGGGAACAAACGACAAATACGTGGTTGTCAGCATGGCTGCGTTTCTTCTGAAAGTTAAACTCGGTCCAAGCTGAGGCTATGAACAGCCTAATGAACATTATTTTCATGTTACTCATAATAGTGGGTCTTTGTTCACTAATGAAATACAATTATGAATGCACCTGCACATACCAGCTGGCTTGTGTGCCATAAGACCCACAAGTTCGTGAGATTCTGTGGACTGGAGCCACTTTGCATAGGTATACAAAAGCGAGCTCGAAATTTCCACTGTAGAGGCTGGAATGAAACCGTTAATTTCAAAACAAAAACAGCCAAAGGCACAGAGCATAATCAGTGCTGCTATACTGCCGGCTGTGGCCCTATGAAATGTGAAAAAGATCTCCGAACAAATTATAAGTGTAAATACATTGCATCTTGGCAAAGGGAACATTTGTGGGTCTCACATCAACTTATTTTTAATGCAGTGCCTGTTATGTTTCTATAAACTACAGCATTGAATTGCACACATGAGTGCATAGTGCATTTATTTCCAAAGGCAAGTCGTCAAATAAAAAATGTTATTCCAGTATTCATTCTCAACAAAAAGAGAACGCAGCTGTCGCCCCGGATGTTGGTGCGATTTAATATTTGCGGTGTGCTGCAGAGGTTGTTGTGACTGGTTATGGCTCAGGTTAAACGCACCCTTGTTGGTCACAATCACATTTGGAGAAGCCAACCCAAAAGAAACACTGGGGTCAAATTAGCGAAGCAATGCTATGGCGGTCCTGCAACATTTTGGTGAAATTGCAGTCGCTTTTGTTGAAATTTTGGGCCAGGTCTACATTTGCGATTCACATGATGGGGATTAGGGTAGGGGGGCTTCTAATTCCGACCTCTGGAAGGAGCGCCAGAATGGATCACGGTTTGGCAAGGTTTAGGGTCGGCCTAGGATCGAAATTCGGGCAAGAGCCAACAATAATTGTCAGATGCTTCTGAAGTTGCTTTTTAAAAGGTGGGAGGAATCGCGTGGCCACTCACTGAGCGGAGAGCCGTCCACTACCATCAACCCCGACCCGTGCTCTATTCACCGCGCGTGCAATGGCACCTGAAACATCGCAGAGAGGGGTCGACGTGGTGGAATAGACACTGACACGTACAGGAGATGTCCTCTATGTATGTAAAACTTATTTCGCGCCGTGCACAGCCAACCGTGCTTAATTGGAGGTGTGGGTGGAAGGACAATGAACCTAGCACAAAAAGCAGTTCTTGAAAAAATTAGTTTGATTTGTTGAGAAAAAATGTACGATCTGTAACGGCACGGCACCACACCCATTTATTCCGGAAAACTGGTGGCAAATTATGTTAGTGAATTTGGCAGAATGACTTTTCCAGCAAGAAAACAAAATTGTCAGCAGATTTTATGAAAAAACTTTAACGAAACAAAAACGAGTTCATAAATTGGGCTCCGCATTGTTATTTTAAACAGTGCCACATTTTCTGAAGTGCATTTTGCTGATTTGGAATAACACAATTTTATGAGTGCTATGATTGCGATCACATGTTTCCATCGCCAAGTCGTACGAGTTTCTAAGCCTTCCTCGTGTTAACGTTGCTCAAGAATATAACAAGGCAGTACAAGCACTGTAGTGTGCAAGCACTTGCTTCTATATTCACAGAAATTTGTTCCAATTTAGTCAAAATTGTGGCATGTTAAACTTGGCAATGTTTGGTATCACATTTGTATTCAAGTGAATCTTTGTATTCTAATTAGTCTGTATATGTTACAACTGCTTTCAGATATACTTTCTTATTGTATGATAGTGGTATTGTGGCTGGGAGCTGCACCACAGATTTCCAAAGTTCACAAAGCTCTTCCATTAACCGACCCTCACCACCGCAGCTCCTTCGCCTGCTGCTGTTTCTGAAGATTCTTTACCCGAGCCGATGTATTTCCCTGCGACTGTTTATGGAGTTTCTTCTCAAGCTCCTCCTGCTCTGGAAACACAAATCCCAGCCACGGCGGACGTCAATGCACGTGGTATATGGACCAGTCCCAGGTCGGCTCAGCCTTACATTTACACTCCGTGTAGTGTTGTGTGGTCTTGAGTGATCCACATAGAGGATAGGGCACAGTAATGTGCATATCGAAATGATCTGCAAGGTCAACCATGCTTGAAGCAGCATATGCTTAACGTGTTAATATAGTGGGTTTGCTTGCTAAACTGCGAACTACTTTGCTGCTGCTAGGAGAAGACTGCTCTCACACGTGGTTGCAGTGGGAGTTGAGGAATCCAGATTGCATTGTCCTCAAGGGCCGGCTTATAAAATGTGAAAGGTTCATTACCAGTGTTTTATACCTGGGAGGTGGTGGCCTCCCCTAAGCAAATACCAAGGTTTCATTAGACCCTTCCAAAGCGCAAGGGTGAGATTCATCACTCTGGTTACTGCTCTGGCGTATTGCAACGTTGATAATTATGGCTGATTTTATTAGCCCACCACAGAATTAAAACATTGTTGCAATTCATATCTTCGCTTCTAATCGTGACTTTTTTCTCTCTGTAGTGGTCTCTGGTGGCTGGAGGGTTCACGTGAATCCGTTCCACGAATACTAAATGAATAACATCGATTGCTATTCGCGACATTTGATGTTTGTACCGCAAGCCTACGAATCAATATTCATTCCTGAATCGTTACACCCTTGATAGATTATACAGTGATAATTGGTTTTTTACCCTTTTATCTGGCAACAAAACTGACACCTGTTTTACGAGGAGTCATGTTTGCATAGACCACAATACCTGCAGTCATAATGCAAAAAAAAACATTATACAGTACTTGCCAATGGTATTATGCGATTTTGCTCCAAAAAGATGATGGTACAATATCTGCTTAATCTCTGCTCAAGTGTGTTGGTCTTGTTCGTCCCATGCATCACCAAACAAGCATACACGACGTTGCAAAATACAGCTACATGATGAGCAGATTATTTTTTTTATATTGCAGGAATCCGATGAGCGATAAAGCTCTTAAATTTCAATTCAAAGCTTTCGTGACTGCAGGGAATTCATCTTCTTGGTTCTTTGACTTTACCGAAAGAACTATAAAGTTATTTTTTACAGGTGTCCAGTTAGGGGCACGCGAATGTGTAAACAAACAATAGAAAAACACGATAGGAGTTCAACGTCTAGGTAAGGTCAGCGAATCGACGAGTTTATTTTAATCTTGTCAAATCACCCCTTACTGACAGCCTAAGTGGGGCAAAAACAGGAATAACAAACTTTAATTCGAGATTTGAAGTTTTCGTGACTGCCAAGGATTCATACTCTTTGGGTTTTTTTCGATAAAGTCACGCAGGTAAAAAAATAAAATAAAATAAATCACGACGTTTCGGGCGCAACACACAGGTCCTTCTTCAGGTGGGGACAACTTAGCGAAAGCACAACCGCTTTTACCTACGTGACTTTACTGAAAAAACCAAAGAGGAGTAATAACAAACATCGAATTCAAGTTATATGCGTGGCATCGGTTTTATTTTATTATTCATTTCTGTTTTTCTTGAGTAAGAGTTTCATTTTTATCACATTGGTATTTTAAATGAAATATTAAAAAAATGTCCTAAAAAGTGGAAAATTTTGGAATTTTTTTTCACGAAAATGAATTGTTACGCACACCGAGTCTGTGTGCAAAATGTCAGCTCGATTGCATCACGGGAAGTGGGTTAAATCGGGTGCAACCGCAAAAAACAAAAACATGAACAAGAAAACATCTTAAAGTGAATATGTGCAAACAGAAAATCCAAGAAAAGACAGCAAACATCAGGATGAGAATAGCGGAGATCAATGTGTGATGATCTCCATCTATTGCGCTCTGCTTTGCACTAAAAAGTCACTCATTCGATCACACGCTCGTACTTTAATCGCCATCAGTGTCATCATCATCATCGTCTTCATCATCATCAGCAGCAGCCACGGGGTCAATCCACGACCCTCTGATGTCAGCGGTCGACTACGCAAGGGCTGATGATTGCATCGCTCCATCCCTTCGCTGATTTCGGGACTCAATGCCCTGGCAGTGGCCCAATAAACACCGACTCGACACACATCACCCATCCCCGGGGGGTGGTGGTCAAGAAGTCTGTGGTTAAATGATTCCCCGCCAGGAGCTTGGGCTGCGTCTCCATCCAGCGGCACGCGTCGCCAATTGCAGTTTGTAATCTATCATTGGGGATGTCGCCACAGGACGGATTTTGTTATTTTCTGCCGCTGCGTTGACAGTGGCGCACACGCACAATTAACAGAACAACAACACAAACGTCAATATCCGTAAAACACATATATAATAGGCGACGTTTCGGGCATTAGCCCTTCTTCATTGTACATGTTGCAAGGGCAGCAGCAACGTGGATTGGTTCCCCAGAGCCACGCGGCTCTCTCGGCCTCCACCCCGCTCGCCCCGACCCCAGAATCAGAATCCGTTTCCATGCGGCAGGAATCCGATGAGCTGCAAAGCTCTTTTTGTGCAGTCGCCCCCTCCCCTCGCCTCGCCCCTCCTCCCTACCCCTCCCCCTCAACCCCTCCCCCTCAACCCGCCCCGCCCCCCAATCCCTCCCCCCCACACCCCCCACTCCCCCCAATCCCTCCCCCCCACACCGCCCCTCCCCCCACCTCTCCCTCCCTCCACTACGCCCCTCCCCCCACACCGCCCACTCCCCCAATCCCTCCCCCCACACCCCCCACTCCCCCAATCCCTCCCCCCACACCGCCCCTCCCCCCACACCGCCAACTCCCCCCAATCTCTCCCCCCACTACGCCCCTCCCCCAACATAGCCCCTCCCTCCACTCCGCCCCCTCCCCCAGCCACGACCCTCCCCTCAACCCCGCCCCGCCCCCTACACCGCTCCTCCCCCCACACCGCCTCTTTACCCCCAATCCCTCCACCCTACACCGCCCCTCCCCCACCCCGCTCCTCCCCCCAACCCCGCCCACTCCCCCCAATCCCTACACCGCCCCTCCCCTAACACAGCCCCTCCCTCCACTACGCCCCTCCCACAGCCCCTCCCTCCACTACGCCCCTCCCACAGCCCCTCCCTCCACTACGCCCCTCCCACAGCCCCTCCCCCCACCCTGCCCCTCCCCCAACCCCGACCCTCCCCCCCCAACCCCGCCCGTCCCACAAAAAAAAGCGCGCGAAGGGCTGCCGGAAGTCGCGGGTGGGAGGACAGGAAGTGAGCGAGTCACCGCCGCGGAGCCTGTCGGGAGGGGAGCCCCCCCGCCCCTCCCCCGCTGAGAGAGATGGCGGCGCATTTGAGGCTGGGCGCGGAGCTGCAGACGATCAAGGGGGAGCTGCTCGCCGTGGTGCAGCTCTGCCGGGACAGGGGGCTGCTGCACAGCGCCAAGTGGTACGTGCGTGCGGTGGGGTGAGGCTGTCCTCACCTCGAGCTCTTGGGAGCCGTGAGTGTAAGCCGGCTCGTGTGTGTGTGGTGTGAGCGCGCCGAGGCCTAGGCTGAGGCCTTGCGGTAGAATCGTAATTTTAAATAGTTTTATTCGGTTACTCGAATCCGACGAGCTATAAAACTCTTTTTTTGTATGTTCACTGATGTGCATGCGGTCAGAACGTCGCAACAACAACAAACAATGCAAAAACTAAAAAAACGATAGGAGTGCAAAGTATAGGAAAGGTGATAAAACAACTTTAAAACATGTACAAATAAAACTATAAACTCTTTGTATCTTACCAGATGAAGCTCACAGACAAATTGAGACGCACAAAGCGACAGTGACGCAGAAGCACAGATTTAGAGATGCAGACAGGGGACACAGGCCCTCCGCTGTCTCCCCCTGTTGAAGGCACATGTATTCTGATTTCACAAAAACGTTATCTTTATGCTTCTATGCAGATCTGCCAACGCTGTAACCTCGTGTTTTATGTGGTTGGCTATTAACGTGAGCTCCACCCAGCACCTTCCCTTAAATTCGGCTTGGAAAAATCCCGCGATTTTTAAATCCTTTATATTAAGTTCGCTTGCTTGCTTAGAACCGTGCAAATCTTTCGGTCGTTTTTTAACCCACTTCCCGTGATCCAATCGAGCTGACATTTTGCACACAGACTCGTTGTGCGTGACAATTAATGTTCGTGAATTTTTTTTTCAAAAATTTCACTTTTTAGGACAAATATATTTAATTACCAATTGCTTAATGGTGCAATGCAATCATCTGACCCATAGGTGGCAGCCATCTCAAGCCAGAGGACGAGATGACTCTAGCCGCCACGCATATAAAGGATTTATAGTGAAAAACTTAGTTTTTACTGGTTATACTTATTATCGTCTCCGGCGACTGTCGGTCTGGCCTCATTCCGTCTGTGTTCATCTACTTGCATGTACTCTCGTCTGTAACACGTTTGACTCGCACGCATTGTGGTGCTCCTCTAACTTTTAGATTTCTCTCGACAGTGTGTGGAAGTTCCTAATTCTCGTAAAGTGCAGCAGTGCACTATATCACAACCACTTTTGACTTCTCAGAGTGCGCTAGTCTAAACATGCGGTGCTCGTCTTATTACAACCAGAGCAATACTTGTGATGGCAGGCTGAGTAGACACTTGTTGAATGATAATGACTGAGCTATCTACCCTACTCGTGGTTCTTTGCAGGTCCGCTGAGCTTGCCTTCTGCTTAGACCCACTGAAAGCAGAAGATGGATTCCCGACCCCTGCACCCTTTACTGCTGTAAGAAAAAAGTGTTCTGTAACGTTTATTTCAAAATAGAAATGTGATCGTTTTATTAACTTCATCTCTTAAACGCACGTTTTTTTTAATGATTGCATTTTTTTTTCTTTCTAGGAAGACTTGGCTGACTTTGATGTGTATACAGTGGCCAAAGCATACTTTGATCTGAAGGAGTTTGACAGAGCAGCACACAGCCTGAAAGACTGCCGGAGTCCAAAAGCATATTTCCTGCAAATGTATTCACGATACCTAGTAAGAACATGTATATTTTCACATGCCATTGATGTGGAGTTTGGGATTAGTTTCATGTTTTTCTGATGATATTGTTTCATAATTGCGTTGCTTGTTTAGACTAAACACAATGCAGATGTTACTTGTCAAGATTAACATGTCGTTTGTTTAATTTAGGCTGGAGAAAAAAAGAAAGAGGATGAATCGCTCGACAGTCATGGTGAGAATTCACGTTGGCTTCGTGCGGTGCAAACTTAAGCTCGACATACATACTTCATATTTATTTTTTAAATACAGTATTCATTAAGTAATGTAATCGGTGTATTTTCCTTCATAGTGTATGTTAAATTGTCTGGAATTCAGGGGTTCTGGAGAAGGAGGTGAAGAACGGGGTGCTGCGGAAGCTGCGTGTCGAACTTTCCAAAAAGCACCGTGAAGGCCAGCTGGATGGGTTCGGCCTGTACATGTGCGTACCACCTCTGGGATGCACCTTTATTTCCATAGACAGCTGCTTGTAATGGCTTATCTTGATCATCCAAGAGCTTAGTCTGGAACTGAAATCACAATTACTGCATGTGTGATGATGTTCAGAATCACGTCCTTCTGGTTGCTTACTGACCTATGGGGAGGAACTGGGGGGGTACATTAATTAAGTGTATTGGAAGAGTTTCTTTAACAAGTGATTTTAATCGGCTGCACTTCTGAGTAATTGATAAATTATTAGAACTGGAAACTGTCACCACATTAGAAATGGAGCACATGGTACAGAATGAAAGGGTATATGTTAATACTTGTTTGCAAATATAATAGATTATATTAATCGGTTCATGCTCAGACCTGGCTGTCGTAAGAGTTTACAAGCATGATTTTCGTCCTCGCTATAATATTTGATTCTGCTATAAATACTTGCATACCATTTGAATAATTGAAAAACATGTTTTCTTTACAGGTATGGTGTAGTGCTGCGGAAGTTGGATCTAGGGTCAGAGGCCATTACCATTCTGTTGGAGGCCACGCACGCTACCCCTTTGCACTGGGGAGCCTGGCAGGAGCTCTCTTGCCTTATTACAGATAGGGACAAGGTAAATAGCCAAAACTACAGGGTAAAGGAGTCATACGTGGTGTTGGTAGATCCTGTGACTAATTTTTTTTCTGTTCAATGTATTTTTCTATCACTGCTTTATGTTCCGTGTGCATACCATCAGTAAGGTTCTCGGGTAATTTTATGTAATACTGATACATTGATTTAGTCCACTTAACTAGTGCACTAAAACATATATATAAAACAATCAAATCTGGTGGTTATTATTATTGGAGATATAATCTCACATGCAGCATACTTGCGGATGACTGTTTCCAGCTCAAGTCGCTCTCTCTGCCGGACCACTGGATGCGCGAGTTCTTCCTGGCCCATATGTACACGGAGCTGCAGCTCATCAGCGAGGCGCTGCTCAAATACCAGGCGCTGCTGGACGCTGGCTTCAGCAGGAGCACCTACATCGTGGCGCAGATCGCCGTGGCTTACCACAACATACGAGGCAAGTGTCGGCCAGCACATGAGAGAAACACTTTTAAAATCCAGTTTATGTTTTATTGTGTAGTCTTCCCCGCAGGTGGCTGCAGAGTTAACTTAATAACTGTTTTTGTATCCACTTCATCCTGATACTCTTAACAAGGCTACTTTTTCTACAATGAGATTTTATCAAAACCTGACTAACTCTTAAGTTATGAAAATGTAATCCTTGATGTGTTTTTTTTCTTGTAACAGATATAGACAATGCATTGGCTCTTTTCTCCGATCTGAGAAAACGCGACCCATACAGGATAGAGAACATGGACACGTACTCTAATTTGCTGTATGTGAAGGTGAGTTTCTTTAATTTGTACTCTTAGGTTTTTTCGGTAAAGTCACGTAGGTATAAAATAAATAATAAATAGTGCACTTCTTTCATTTGGTCCCGTTATTTATTTTTTTAATCCTCCCAAGCCCAATGACATTCTGCTTCATGGTCATCTCACAAATCAAAGTTAGGCCTGACAGCTTAGAAATGTATTCAAAGTATGTAACCCTATTGAGGGTGTTACATCCAGTCTGTTGGCACAGCAATAGCGCTCTTCACCTTACTGGGGTTGATCAAATTAGTATCGTTGTGGGGAAGTCAACCCTGCTTTTTGCATGGGAAGTCGTCCCTGTCGTGGGAATGTGGACTTTCCACCACTTGCTCAGGGCTCTGAAGAGGAGGTGAGTTGCCCATGCTCAATTTGAGTGTGGAACCATTTTTACTTTTTTTGTAGGTGCTGTTTATTAACCCAGATAAATCCCTGAATTTCCAGTTCACTTAGTGCTCATTATTTGATTAATTAAAGAGACAGTCACCAACATTTGGTGGAATGTACAATCGCATTCAATTTTGACTTAAAACTTTCGTAACTGCTAGAATTCATATTCTTTGGTTATTTTGGTAAAGTCACTTTACCGAAAGAATCAAAGAATATAAAATCACATTGTTTTGTGTTCGACCATTACTCGGTTCAATTACACAGCAAATGCATGTCCTGTTTCTGTTCCAGAACAAGAAGCCGGAACTAAGTTACCTCGCTCACAGTCTTTGTGAAATTGACAAGTATCGTGTGGAGACCTGTTGTGTCATTGGTAAATTTCATTCTTGTTCCTTGGAACTGTACAGTTCGTGACACCTCGTACCTTTATACATGTTGCATTTTATCTATTTGACAGTGAACTTCACATTTACACCCAACTCCCAACCTGTTTTAACAGTGTTAACAATTTCACTTTGATTTACAAGCGTTATCCCCCCCCCTGCCATGGCATAAGCATTGTGTAGCGTACATCCTTCACTGAATTACGAACTTAGAAAGCATCTTTCTCCATGTGTCAACATTGTGGAGGTGCGTAATATGATCGTGTATATAGTGTTAATTACTGAACTTTCATCATTTGTAGGAAACTACTACAGCTTACGAACACAGCATGAAAAGGCCGCGTTGTACTTCCAGCGTGCGCTGAAGCTTAACCCACAGTACCTCAGTGCATGGACCCTTATTGGCCACGAATTCATGGAGATGAAGAACACCTCCGCTGCCATTCAGGCCTACAGGTGCTGCACGCGGTATCGGAATTCCATCTATAACCTGTATTGCATTGTCAGTATGCTTCATAACTAAAACAATCATACGTTCACTTGAACATTATTTCACTGTTCATCAATAATATTTTCTTAATATTTTTGTTCAATGCGTGAATATTATCGGTGTTTTTATATACTGACACATTTTTTACAAAAGCTAAAAAAATGGTGCAACCAAGCATGGGTCACGGATACTGTGAATTACGCTGAGATAAGGAATACATAGATCGGTGAATAAACGTAAATTATAGACATTGCATTAACTTGTGAAAAGTAAGTGGGCTTGAGTAGGACACCGCTGGAAGGTATAATGCTTGATAGACTAGACCTGATGATGAAGTGGTCGCCAAAGGGGAAAACGTGTCCCATAGTATGACCACCGTGGAGGTGGAGTGATTAGTTTGGGCCCACGTGGGATGGCTAAAATGTGAGGAGGCCTTCGTCCTGCAGTGGATTGATCTAGGCTGGTTAATTATTCACGTAATATAAATAAATAGTTTATCTTGATTGGAAGCTTTCGTGACTGCAGGAATCCATACTCTTTGGTTCTTTCGGTAAAGTCACGTAGGTAGGAAAAAACTAAAAATGTGTTTTATTTAATTTGCCTCAACTCAGCCAATGACTATCTCGCCCCCTACTGGCCATTGTATAAAAGGCAGTTGCCGATTCGGTTATGTTCAATGTAATTACGCGAGTTTCCGAACAATTTGGATTTTTGATGCACGAATTGTTGAGGGGTTTATTTTCAGTATATTATGCGACTTGGTGGTATTTCAAATGAACATTATATCCAGATATGGCAGTGCACTTTGTAGCATTGTAGTTTGTAGTTTTCAAAGAGGCTTCAGCTATATCATTGCCCGAGTCACGGTATACAGTGTTCCAAAATCAGACGTTTTCTTTAAGGTTAGGAATCGAGCTTGAGGTAAATAGTCACTGGAAAAGCAACAAAAATAGGAAGGTCGCCTATGTTGTTGCTGGTTGTCTCTTTGTTGATAGGCGTGCAATCGAAGTGAACAGACGGGACTATCGTGCATGGTACGGCCTTGGACAGACCTACGAGATCCTCAAGATGCCATTCTACTGCCTCTACTACTACCGGCAGGCACACCAGCTCAGGTATATCCACTCCCTTTTGAATGTGTGAACATTCGTTTCTATCCGCTTGTTACGTCTTAACTTTAACCACTTGTAACAAACCGTTATCTCTGCTATAAGGATATATTTCTTAAAATTGATCAGAGTATTTTCATCTTCCATTACAAATATTCCTACCTTTGTGGACTTGGTGTAATGCGACTGTAGCGGTCCTGTGTTAATTTTGAAATGGAATTAGATCTGTTAATATTCATTTTCATTTAAAAATATTTTATTTCTTCCGCAATGAAGATCCTGCTTTGCAACAGTGATTTAAAGTGTTGTACGCTCGCTAAATTTGTGATCTTTTTAAGGCCGAGCGATTCTCGAATGCTGGTGGCTATGGGCGAGAGTTACGAAAAGCTGGAAAAGTTAGTGGAAGCTAAAAAGGTATGATTTCTTCAGCATTCACAATTTTTAATAAAATGGTGAATCTTCCAAACCAATGTAGCGCTATAAATAATTTCCTATGTAAATCATGCAGCGCTGAACTCGTGGGTGTTGTTTGTCTGTGACAGTGCTACTGGAGAGCGTTCTCGGTGGGAGATGTGGAAAAAGTAGCCCTCATGAAGCTTGCAAAGTGAGTGACCAATAGCATCACGTCAGAAATTGCTGTATGTCTCTTGGTATTTGTCAGATATGGGAATTGTTATTAATTGTTTTGTGCGAAGTGCCTAGGACCTGGCAAAATAGACTAAATGAAAATTTTAACTGAAAAAAAGTCAACTCAAACAATAGGGGCTTGGGCTGATGTGAAATGCAGATTGTGCAAGAGGTAAAACTGTTACGAAATAAAAAAGGCGGGTAACATGTCAACAGTATTCGGTGTCTATCACTATAATAACAACCGCAGGCAGTTGCATATACAACTCCTACAGGTTGTAAAACAAGCGGCACCACCTACTCATTGCAGCATAATGCTTCTTGGACAATCGCTCAATTGACGTTTTTTTTACGTATTAGGCTTCACGAGCGTCTGGGTGAGAGCGACCAAGCCGCCCACTGCTACTACAAATATATACAGGACATGTGTGAAGGGGTGAGTCGACTTGCATTGTACATTGTTCATGTCTGTACAAACACAATTCTCTAGAAAGAGCTTTATAGCTCATTGGATTCCTCCAATATAAAGATTATGATTCTAACATCAAACAACACATCAACTCTTGAAGAACAATGTACCCAAATGTGCTAAATACATCCCAAATAATATTTTGTTGAACATTCCACAAATAGGCATGGGCATTCATTCTTTTTCAGCTGTGAGATGAAAAGCTCACGTTGAATTCGCCATCATAGGTTGTGAAATGTGTTCGTCTGCTTTACTCCTTTTTAGCACTCAAATTCACATGGCTGTGTTTTAAAATGGCAACATTCTGTTAAGAAATGTCAAGAATGTGTTCTGCATAGAAGGCGTACTTTTCATAAGCATGCAAATAATACGAGTTCAAAGTGAGGAAGATATTATTCTATTTTATGATAAACTCAAAATAGTGACATGATAGCATAACATTTCAACAAATCCATATTTTTGGCCTGTTTTAAATTTAGCAGAATCTAAAAGCAACCGTTCGTAGGCCTGTAAATGCCTTGATTTAATATATGAAGAATAAGGTAATATAGAGCTTGCAAGGTTCGCCTTAAATGAAAAGTATTTTTGGGACATGTAATTTTGATGCGTTTGTTTTTTTCCGGCAGGAGATACTAGAGCATGAGGAGCTGAGTGTAGCGTTCCGCAACCTCGCACACTACTACTTCAAGTGCAAACGCTGGGAGGATGCTTCCGTGTGTGCCCGGAGATGCTGCAGCTACAACGATGTGAGAAATGCATACGCTCTATGCGATGTACTTTACATAGGACTGTGAGTGCTGTTGCAGTGCTGAAAATTCAGCCTTGTTTTTCTGAGAGATGTTGCACGATTTATTTATAACTCAGACTTACCTTTGGCTATCAGGGAGTACCTGATGGCGAATTTGAAGGCAGTTGTCACAGTTTATCAGAAATGATTGTTGCACAATTAACTATTGTTTTATAGCCGTAATTTCGTAAGTCTGCTAGGTTACTATAATTACTCATCGGAAAATGCATTGCTGCTGAAATTGTCTGCAGTGATTTGGCATACAATTCCCTGAATACATCATGGCTTTAAATAATAAATTGTCCTACATTAATGCATTCAAATATACCAAGGGATGGATACATTGATTAAGCTGTAGGCCCCAACATTTTTTATAATGAATTGAACTATAAGATGTGTAAAGAGATATGAGTAGCTCTTAATATACATCTGGATTATGCCGATTTGTTGGTGTGTCTTTGTGTGTGATAAGTGGTAGCATCGTGGATTTTGCTGTGCTCTAAGAACTCTGCAACCTGTTTTTGTTTCCTATCCGTGGACATTATCAATGCACGTGGATTCTAATCTTGGCCTGGGCCTACCCTGGTTTAATTTATTTGACTTGGCCTCAAATGAGTATCAAGGGTAGTGTGTAATATTAGCACTTGAGAGACAGGGTTGGTGAGTGCTGTCTAGGCTTTGCTTTAATAGATTAATTTTAACAGCACTTCATGACAATAATGTGTATAAGGCTAAACAGAGGATGTTTGTCTTGTGTGGTGAGTAGACACGGGAAGAAGGGAAGGCTCTACTGCGACAGATCTCCCAGCTGCGTGCTGAGGGGGAGGCGAGCAATGTGGATATGTCCCTGGACCTCTCTGGAAGTACCTCCATGCCAAAGCTGTCTCCACTAAACCTCTCCTCAACGTGAAAATGCTTTGAAAATTCCCAGGAACATGTGCACTAATTGTGTGTGTAATATAGAACAGCGTACACGCATGATATTGTTGGTCACGTGGATAAATGTGTCCAAGGCGTGTACTTGTAATGAAAACAACACAGTTGTGCAAATAGGATGGATTTGAAAGGACCGTATCATGACTAATATGTTACCGAAATGGCAATCAAAAGTGAGGTACCACGGGTACAGATTTAAATCTTGGTTATGATTGTGTATATATGTTTCATATTTGCTTTAATGGAGTGTTCCATTTTAAAGATTAGCCTCGTGTCAAATGTTTCTGCACTGCCCTGAATAAACATGCTCAAGTGCAGCTATCTATGATGATGCAGCCCAGCAAATAAATGTCTGATATGTACCCAGGCTGTGTGTCTTGGGCTGTCCAATACAATTTTCAATCTTCGTAAATGAGAAAATACTTGTACCTCAATTATTCTACTGTTATAACGAGCTGTGCTGGACCCTTCAGATTCAGCCGGCCGGGCGCAGTTTGGGAAATGCCAGGTTTTTACACTGCGGAAGCCAAGTCCATGGAGCTGACATCAACAAGCATTGAATGAGTCGAGATGCATGGAGAGGAGTGTACCGAATGCACAAGCAATGAACACGTCATTAGCCCGGCCCCTGGCCCTGCTTGACCACAAACCAGAATAATACGCGAGACCGGCGTATCACGGATTGGTTCTGGCTTGGCACAGAAAATAGCCAGGGTAAAACCACCTCTCCCGTGAGGGCCCAAGTGCAAGTAGAACGTGGGTATTTGAAATAGGTGCATCATCATAAAGTTCCAGATATCATGGCTTTAAATTTTTAATGCAGCAATATCACTGGGATGCTATGATGGTGTCTGGTCAAACACTCGACTGTCCCTTGGTCGCAGCCTAGGTATTTCTAAAGGGATATTTTTAGGTTTAAATATTAAATTCTGTAAATAAATGTTTTTTCAGTGCATCTATAAAACGTCGCTAGTGTTTAAGCGATGGAGCCATGAATGCAAGAATTGTAAAGAAATTGATTATAGAATTGTTCTGAATATCGTGTATGCCTTGCTGATGAATTAGTTTTGGTTCAATTCTACTTTGGTGACCTTCCAAGAATGTGTACATAATCCCTTACGCAGCAGTTGATGTCCTGCATTTGGAATTACTATAAGTGGTATATGCCGTGAAGCATTTGGTAATCTTAACACCCAACATGTGGTAATGCAATATACATAATTAAGTCAAAGTTTGGTTTTGGATGTGCAGGCAGATATTTTTACATTGTCACATCGCATGTTATGTTGTACCAAATGGATTTGCACCTGGAACTGCAACAATTGTGCTTAAAATTGATAGCAGGAATAAAGCATTTTACATAGCTCGAGAAAATTAACGAGATTTCAGTTATTTCAACGAAGGCTTGGAGTAATACATTTTCCCTAACACCCAATTGCAGTATTTTGTAGTGGAAATACGGTTATATTGAATATAAAGTTTTAGAACGTTGATTGGCCACAGCCAGTACTGTAAGAGTAGCGTGCAAAATGAATTTATAATTTAAGCACAATCATGAAAAACGAGCGATTTGCACTACCAACAATACGTTAAATATAATACTGGAATATATTCCTGGCATCCTTTAAAAATATAGGTTGCATTTCAATGTGGACGCGATTATATGGGCTTAAATTAAAAAAATTTCTTTCACCACCATTGGACCATTTGTACATTTTAACAGTCCGTTTTTTTTAATCGGGGAAACCTCCATGCATATTCGATTCGCAAAAAAAAAATTTCACGGCGAAACTTTTGTTTATATACCTGCTTTTTTTTGGGGGGGGGGGGGTTACAGTTGGGAGACCCCCCGCCGCTATGTGCCACGTATGTTGTTTGAGCGTCATCGCCACCATCACCGCCATCCACCCAATGCGCGATTCAACCCGGCCACAACACGTGCGCGTTGCTGGGGCAACCCGGGACTCTACCACTCGCACCGCTGAGGAGGGGGGGAGGTTTGTGCGGCGGTGATCATTCTAACCGTCACCCCTCCCACAACTTTAAAATCATTAACGATTTTAGCCAAACAGACGGCCGTTTAGTTTCGCATTCTTTACACATTGCTTTCACACACATTGCTTACACGAGTTAAATTAGTTTGCATCCCGAACGGGGTGTTTGCGTGATTTTTTTTCGTCCAATCGACTTCCACCCCACCCCCCCCGTCGTCGTGATGGATTCGCCCACTCCGCGTGTCAATGGCGGCGTCCCTTTAAAAGTCGCGCTAAATAACGAGCGGGCGGGCGGCGTGGCGATGTCTCTGCAGGCGTCTGCGATGCGGCGGAGCGCCAAAGGCGACGCGGCTGCTCGTTTCACCACGTAAGTTGGCGTCAATGTGTGCACCCGTAGCCCGTTTGAAGAAGGATGAGCTGTGGCAGTGGTGGTTTTAATTCGCACCGTTAATCCGCCCTGTGCTTGCGATGTCCTATTAAGACACAATTGACACGCGCGTGTGTGTGTTTTATATCACAGTACTGTATGTATATAAATTACTGGATATGCTGCGTTGCTTATGACTACACGTTTGATGTATTGCTTGGGAGCCGTGTATCGAGCGGTTTTAATTCGTTAACAGGACTTCTACAGAGCGGTTTGTATGTTACAGTTGTAACAAAAACCACCGTGGCCACGTTCATGTGGAGGGTTTATAAACTGGTCAACGATGTCTCGTGTTTGGTGCTTCTGTTCGTCGAGAGTCAACGCTTCACCCGCACATCACGGTGGTGATGCCATGTGATGTTATGTCGCCTGTCATCCGTCACCCGGCACGCTTCCCAGCTTGATCACAGAAGCCAAGCAAGAGGTTTGGCTTCTGGCGAGATTGGTTTGGGTGGACACCATTCACGCCGGGTGGCTAAGATGCTTGCTGCAGAGGGCTGCGCTGAACATACAATATTGTACTGTTCTTCTATGCTCCCCGCTTGTATTACCCCCCGCAGTGAGCATCATGGAGAAGTGCGGTCAAATAACGCCCACCACGTGGGTCGTGGGAATTGTCGATTCAGCAAGTGGATTGAAAACATTTCGGTCATTCGCACATACAGTAGTAGGTGATGTGCAATATAATGCATCGCTGTCAACCCATACGGTTTACTCCGTATTCGTGTGTAGTGACATCGCGGATGTCACTGTGTGATGTCGGCCCTAGAGAGGCGCGGCGTGCGATGTATCGATATCGCGGGCACCACGTGTATTGGGGTGCAGTCCCTATAGGGGAACTCGCTGAGCACTGCCTGACAGCGCTGAAAGGCACCACGCTCTGCGTGTAGTGCCCACCCCTATAGGATAGGGTGTGAGAGTATACTCTTAGGTTTTTTTTCGGTAAGGTCACGTAGGTAAAAAAAATTAATTAAAATTAATGAAAGTAATCATAGAAATAAAATAATAAATCACGACGTTTCGGAGGCAACACAAGTCTCCGTCATCAGGTGGGACCAAGATACAGTAAATCTAGCTTGTGACGGTCCCACCTGATGACGGAGACTTGTGTTGCCTCCGAAACGTCGTGATTTATTATTTTATTTCTATTATTACTTTTATTAATTTAATTTTTTACCTACGTGACTTTACCGAAAAAACCTAAGAGTATGAATCCTTGCAGTCACGAAAGCTTCAAATCTAGGGTGTGAGAGTGTCGGCCATGGCATTGGTTGACCCCGAAGGACACGTGACCGGTAAAGTCTACACAGGGGCCCCCAGGTGGGGGCTAGGGGTGGTCACGTGTCAGGGTCAAGATCCTGCTCGAGGGTTCTAGAAGGTGGGCGTGGCTAAGGGCGGGGCCAGCCACGCCGCAGAGGATAAAAGCCAGGGCCCCCAGAGGGACCGGCTACTGTTGTTCATCCTGAAGAATCTACGTCCTACAAGGGTCACCAACACGTGGACCTGGACCCAAGCTAGGGTCCGGTCCGTCGTAGCTACTCCCAGTGTAATTAGTGTAGTTAGCCTGGTGGTCCACCACCATATGGTGTTATCTTGTTAAGGGGTAGTACCCCGTGTATTGGTTTTAATAAATGTGTTGCCTCCAAGAAGTGCGCCTGCGAGCGACTCGGTTGAACTCACTACACTTGTACAGGGAAATTGAGTTTTCAGGTCCATACGGCGTACAGCCATTTCAATATGGGCAAAACGTGTGTTTTTTTGTCTATTTGTGTTTCTCCCCTGTGATGGGACTTTGTAGGGTGAACGTTGAGACTGAGAAGGGCACGGGGTGACCAATAAGGTCTGAATTGGTCTAATAAGGTCGGGCACTGATAAGGGGTTGACAGGCATGATAATGCAGTGTATATATTACGTCGCATAGTATGGTGGGTTAACGTTTTGGGGAATGGCCCCTGCGATGGCCTGCAGCCCCACATGCACTTCCCGCAATATATGGCAATGCCAACACCAGAAGCGATGGTCCTGTGCAGAATATTGGGAAGAGGCTGTATAGGTTGGACAGGAGACGAGAAGAAGCCTCCCTACTTTGACAAGAAGACCACCACACTGATCTCTCTGCCGAAGCACCACGGGAGTTGTCCCACCTCGTGTTGTTGTTGTTTACCTAAGCCGCTAACACACACAGCCATGCAACATGCCCTGCTGCGTCTAACGAGTGTTGTTGACATTTTACTGGCGCCACCGCTGAGTGCAACAGAATGTTGCGGTTGTGTGTAAACGTGTGAGCAGTTACTCCACGTGGTTTTTTTTATGTGTGTCCGGTATATGCAAGTTAAATACTGCTGTGCAAATGTGTGTGATTTGTAATTGTGTACACTGCGTACAGTACAGGAGTATGGCATTATTGGTTCTTTCGGTCAAGTCACGTAGATAGTATTAAAATGTAATCAAATACAAATTTAAAATAATACATTTAAAATAATAAAAGCAAAAAAACCACGACGTTTAAATCGCAACACAAGCAGTCTTTATCAGGCGAAAAAGTTGCATGACGTGCATTTGTGGACATGTTAATTTGTGTGTATAATGTTTGACACTATCCCAATGTAGTAGGTGCTGTAATCTACTCGAGCAAAGCGGTAACTCTTGAGAGATGTCGAGGGCCTTCATCCAGCAGTGGATAGGTCATGGCTCGTGGTGATTATGATGATTATACAGTATTGTGGTGTAAATAACAACTGCGATGCAAACGCAGGTTCACCAGTGTTGCATTCTACATACACTACAATACTATACTGTGACAGTACCAACGACTACAATACATACATTGCGACCGCTTAATGTACACGACATCACTGCAAATGATGCAATAGTCTACATGTTATATGCATGCACAAATAACCTCCACGACCTGGGGAGGCCCTCATCCAGCAGTGGATTGACAAACGGCATGTGCTGTACATGTAAATAACACCAAAACGCACACATTCGTCAATAACACTGTGGCCTTGAACGAAAAAAGTATATTACCAGGCGACGTTTCGGCCAATGGCCCTTCCCGATAGCATCTACATCCATGCAGTAATCACGTTCCATTTAAATTTCAATGACGCGGTGCCACTTGGAAGTGTTTTTTGCCCGATGTTATCAGCCACGCTGGCTTCGTAGCACCGTAGAGGTCATGAGAATCCGTAATTAGCTCTATCGAGTCCCGTTGTTGTTGTGCCGCGTGAATGAGTCACCTCCGCTGGTCGAAGATTCATTCACAAAGCCACCGCTGATTTTTTGCTTTTAATCTCCACGCCTGACTTCATTTTTTTCTCCGTTTTCTCCGAAGGGATATTGGTCACAATTCGTTGAGACGGTCTTTCCTTTTTGTTCTCTGCCCCCCCCCCCCCCCCCCGGCCAGAAACTATAACAATAAAAGGAAATGACATTATTTAAAAAAATACAGAAACTGTTATCAGGTCGCATGTTCGTTGGTCGTTAATAATGTACCTTAACGGTTCATTTTTTAAGGATATTTAATCACATGAATAAGCATAATCCAAGCATGGTTTATTATTAGTGAACTGGCCAATTACTCTAATTACAAGTGCTGCACAGGATGTATCTCATTCCTGTATTGTCGAAGCAGTGTAGTCTATTTAAAATCTGTGTGTTTTTAATGGTGCAATGCAGTAAACTGATTACACCATTACTATGTTACACCATTGCTGTAAATGGTCTTACTCCAACAGTCTTGTAGTGTTTTGTATATTTATTTGTGATTCAATCGTGGATTACCAGGATATCCGCTACAGAATTATGCTTTGTTAGTTTTGCAGAGGCCATCACTTTGTATCTGATACAAAGAGCATCTGATGTAAAAAAGGGTCCATTATATGTATCTGTCTAATACAGTAATGAATGCAATCAAAAGGGCTGAGATTAATGTATTCATGGGTGCTTTCACACTCTGTCTCCCCAGAAGAATAACTGTTAATCGCTCACTGCGGTGGCTTACATTCGACTTTTTTGTTTAATGATTAAGGGGCCCAGATTGCCATGTGGGCTTGCCTGATTTTCTGATGGTCTTTGTCTCGTCACAATAATTCAAGTCATTAATCTGTTAGTTGGCCTTGGGAAGGAAATGCAGGTCTGTACGTATACATACACACTCCTGATATCGAGGGGAAATGGGCAAGGTTTAGGACTGTAGCTCATGCAGCTGCAATGGCTGCTTTGGGTACACGGTCCAGACCTCCCCAGAGACCCTGGCTGACAGAGGAGGTGTTCAAGCTGGCTGACAAAAAGCGACAGGCCCACTCTCATGGCTACAGCATCCCACGTCGGAGAATGAGGAGGCTTACCGCAGCCTTCGCTCGGAGGTTCGGAGAGCCGTGAGGTGCTGCAAGGATGGGTGGTGGTCACGGGTTGCTGAGGAGATGGAGTCTGCCTCAATGGCCCGCGATCACAAATCGCTCTTTAATTCCATCAAAAAAGTAACCTGCAGCGCCACACCTATTACCATCATTAGGGAAAAGAACGGTGATCCAATCTCCGACCCCCAGAAACAGGTTTGCAGATTTTCTGAGCATTTCTGTGAGGTCCTGGGGGAGGGGAAATCCCTCAGCCTGGAAAACAATGTGGGACAAAGTGGGGATGACCCTGCCGAGGCTGCGGTGCCTCAAATATTGGAAGAAGAAGTCACCCCCTGTGAGTGGCTGGCTGAGATGCCATCTGTTGAAGTACTGAAGGCGATCCAGAGTCTGAGGCCTGGAAAGGCACCGGACAGCAGAGATGATCTCCCAAGCGAAATTCTGAGAGAGGGTGGCAGTTGTGCACAGACTGCCCTACATGACATCATAACAACAGTCTGGACCACTGGATGGGTTCTGCAGGATTAGAAGATTGCCCTGGAGGTCCCCCTTTTTAAGAAGGGGGACCACACAGAATGTAACATCTACAGGGGCATCTCACTCCTCAGTGTGCCGGGAAAGGTCCTGGCAAGGATTCTTCAACATCGCCTAGACACGTTGAGGAGAGTCTTGCTTTTTGAACAAAAACACATTCACTGTTTTATTGTAATACAGTCCTTTACGGTATAGTGTATCCCATACGAATGTGCAAACATATTTTTTCATTAACACAATGTTTACGGAAATGCAAGCTTGAGATTAATGGAGCTTCTTGAGAGATGGATTGTGTTACATTTCGGAACCGCTAAGGATGATGCTGGATAATAGCGAAAGTTAACTTTTATTGCATGTACATTTTCGCTTTTAATTAAATCGGATATGAGTGGAGCCCATGCGGTTACATCTGCTGCAGGAATACTCACAACACAGACCGTTGATTTAGAAAGAAACCCTTATCCTTACTACTACTTAGCAACTGTTACAACCACAAACAGCAAGTTGCCCAGCAACCTGGTCACGCTGCATAAGATAGGCGTTGCTTGCTCGGGGCTGTCACAGTCACAGCTTGTGGCCCCCTGCGTTGGGCCACCATCTGTGTGGTCCAACATCACCACCGAGATCCACTGGCTTAACCCACTTGTGTGTCCAATTTGCTGCTCAATTGGCCTTTGTGCATTTGATTCTTCCTCGTGGCATTTTACCAAAGACGAATCACTGAATTGCTTTAGCCACCGTGATGGCAATGCACTGTTGATCTAACGTTACCATATACAGTGCTGTGCTAACAATATTTGACAGCCTGTTTCTGACCACTGCTGCTGAATTAATGGGGCTTGTTTGGCCAGCTCATTCTTTACCACGCTGTTCAGTGACAGTCGGTGAATGGCAGAGGTTGCAAACGGGTTTTGATTCCTTACCCGTACCCGGCCGTACCCGTACCCTACCCGTACCCGGCCGGGTACGGGTTGGGTACGGGTATCGGGTGCCTGATTACGACCTCTGGGATGAAGCCATGTTGCAGGCGCGGGTGGGTTGATTCTAGGAACTTGAATTGTGAGAAGAGACAAGACGTTGGGAAATGAGTGACAAACAGTTACTCACCAGTGACTCACGGTCTACCCGTACCTGGCCGCACCAGGGTCGCAAACGGGTACTCGTTCCGGCCGGGTACGGGTAGCCGGGTATCGGGTAGGGTACGGGTATCGGTTACCCGGTTGCGACCTCTGGTGATATCACTCGTGACTAATGTTAGCCATGGTCGTGGAACAAACTTAGGTTGCACTGCTCCAACGTGGTCCTGGATCTGGATGTTTGACCATTAATGAGTGTTTTTCGTTCAAAAGTATTGCATATTTGACTACAGAACCAAGAGGCAGACATGCTTAGCAGGGTTAGCAACTGTAGAATACAGGTACTGTATTGTGCATACAATAATGTACTGGGAAACCCACCTGCCCCATTCACTATTTATACAAAGTGCCCTTGGCTATTCAAGCTGCATGTTTGTAGGGCACAAGTTACATGTCTGCAGGTATTTTTCCATACATCACGATTGTGGTCATTCGAATTAAAGTACAATACAGTCGTGTAAGATCTCTATAGCATGTACATAAGTAAGATTTCTAAACAAAATAAGGAAAATATGCATCACCCTTGCATGTTGCAGTATTTGTGCTCATTAATTTTGAGTGTCTTGCAGTAAAAATATATATGCTTAATACAATTTTTAAGACAATATTTTGTATAAGACCAAATAGCATTCAGTCTTTACTGTTAGTAATTAGTTACTCAAGCAATGTATCAGTCGGGGTAGTATCCTGGATGTTCATCATGAAAGTTGTACAGTACTTATATGCTCGAGCAGCATTCATCTAATGCTGACTTCTCTCGGCTAGATCCAATAATAGTTTATTGAGATGCACTCGCACAACAGGATGTGTATCAGTGTGCCTTGCTCAAATGTAACAGATCATGTGGTGCTATAAAAAAGGGCCATAACGTCGCCTGTTACATATATTATGATGTATTTCATTTTAAGGTAGTGTTATTAAAGAAAGTGTTGAGGTTTTTTTTCTTAAATCGAGCTCTGTAACAGTGAGGCACGCACAGAGCAATGTGCTCTCTAACTTTTGTGTTTGGTGTGACAATTGCGTCCCTGTCAACCCCTGATCAGTGCCCTACCTTACTACACACCAATTCAGGCCGTATTGGTCACCCCGTGCCCCTTGTACATCTCAACGTTCATCCTACAAAGTCCCATCACAAAGGAGAAACACAAACAAATAGACCATTTTTTGTTGCCCGTATTGTAACGGCTGTACACCGTATAGACCTGAACACTCAATTTCCCTGTCGAAGAACACGGGTAAACCGTATGGGTTGACAGGTACGGCTACGATAATGAAAATGTAGTATTGAATGTTTCATGCTTGCGAACATCATCTTATTTCAAAGACTGCAATGTGACAGTTTTGATTGTAGTGAATACTGTACCATACCTATATTTTAATTTAAAGCTTTCGTGACTGCAGGGATTCATATTCTTGGTTCTTTCGGTAAAGTCACGTGACTTTACCGAAAGAACCAAGAATATGTACCACACCTGTCAACCCAGACGGTTTACCTGTATTCTTGCACAGGGAAATTGAGTTTTCGGGTCCATACGGTGTACAGCCGTTTCAATGCGGGCAAAAAAAATGGTCTATTTGTTTGTGTTTCTCCCTTGTGATGGGTCTTTGTAGGATGAACGTTGAGATGTATAAGGGACACGGGGTGACCAATAAGCTCTGAAGTGGTCTGTAGTCAGGTAGGGCACTGATAGGCTGTTGACAGGTATGCTGTACAGTACAAATAAATACAATACAGTACATACAATGCATACTCTCAGAAAGTTATTCGATATTCATTGTAGTGTATGTGAACATCAAGCATAACAAATCAACTACAGCGTTCATTTTTCCATGATCAATCTCGAACATGGTTTTCTAATGGAATTAACATTAGCGTGTGCTGCAAATGCTGTACGCGACGGTAATCTACTGCGATGGAAATAACTGAAAGCGCCAAACACCCGTTTCGATCGCAGTACTGTAATTGATTGGTCAGTAGTTGAGATGAACAGCTGTTTTGACTTCTGTATTTTATTGAACAGCATCGTGAAACGTGTCTTTTGCAGGTGCAGCAGGCTTCGCCGAGTGCAGCAAATATTGCAGGGAGACTCGGACTCTAAACCGGACGCTTTGCTGTGCATATTGGGTGAGCATTTCTCTTCCCTGAACGGCTATTCCACGTAAATTTGGGCCAGAGTGTTTTTTGTATAAAGCGTTTAACCATTTCCCAGTTTTTCTTCCGATAAACGAAGTACCTGCTGCTTTCCAGTCTCGCAGCCCAACGTGGCCTGTTTAGGAGCAGTCGGGCGGCTGTTATTGCCGACCTGTTCTGATGATGCTGCAGCACCGTACTGTGATGTACATTGGTGCCATGGGGAGGGGGGGATGACGAGCCCTTTCTCAATCCACTAATGGATGAAGATCTTTTTATTCCATACAGGTCATGGAGGGGGGCGGGGGGGGGGGGGCGGTGGTTAGTTGACCATACTTCACCATGTTAGTGTGTGTTGGAGAAAGGCGATGGGGAGGCAGGACAGGTTCACGTATCACTGGCCACTGATGTGAGCCATGGATGAAGATCTTTTTATTCCATATAGGTCATGGAGGGGGGGGGGTGGTTAGTTGACCATACTTCACCATGTTAGTGTGTGTTGGTGAAAGGCGATGGGGAGGTAGGACAGGTTCACGTATCATTGGCCACTGATGTGAGCCGTGGCTGGGAATCAAACGCAGCTCACCGGGTTCGGAGTGCCGTGTGCTGACCACTTGTGCCGCCACTCAACCATTTAAGGATTTTGGAGGGGGAAAAGAGAATCATTGATTTGTCCATTAAAATCGATTCCTGCAATACACGCTTTAAATTGTTGACTTGTGAAACAATTACAATAAAACACTTATTGTCCACTCCTCTTAGTAATCGCCCTTCCTATTATCAGCACAACTCCTAATCGGTCTGCGAACCTCCCTGTTATCCACTCGTCCATTCTTCCCGTTGTTACACGTCATATCCCCCCCCCCCCCCCCCCCCCCCCGAGATAACGGACATCTTGGAACGTTCTCTTCTCTGCACTTGTACGTGGGTTTCTCCTGATCCAATTTGACCTGGAATTGGTCGACTGGAAGTCCGTAATTGATGCTATTATCCACACCCAGTGAAGATAACAGAAGTAACTGGGAAATTGTGGGAAATGAATCCTCTTTTCACTGGTTATCTGTGCTCCTTCACACAGATGAGAGGAGTCAAATGTGTGGATGCATGTGGATGATTGCACCCCTCCCCCATAGTATGGACTGGAGGCGTTTCACCACGTTTATAATCAATGCAAATGTCATGCAAATTATATGCCAATGTTAAAATAAAGTCAATGGAGCAAACAGCCGTACAAACAAGACATAATGGACAACGATGCAAACGAGATGTAAAACATCTGCGGAAGCTTATTCTTAAAAGTTGAATTACAGCCCTAAATTGTGACGTTGTTTATGGAATCACTGGGGTGTGAATCGTTGCATGCCTTGAAAAAGCCTTGTGCTGACATGCTGTGGCATCTTAGTCGCTGAAAATCCAGTGATCGTGTTGTAGTCCTCCCAGTGAGATGGAGCTCTATCAGATCTAGATGGTTTGGACAACACTGTACTGTACGACAAAAACAAGCACAGAATATAAACAGAACTCCGCCCGGCTGTAATTACGTTCAAAGGGAATGATCGTTGAACTACGCCCCACGATTGCTTACATTAATCTGATGAAGAGCAAGTGAATACGCTAGAGGACGGTGGCACTTCCTCAGTGGTGCAACTGTCGAGAGTGTAGGCGGCAGAGGTCGCAAACGGGTTTTGATTCCTTACCCGTACCCGGCCGCACCAGGGTCGCAAACGGGTACCCGTACCCGTACCCAGCCGTACCCGTACCCTACCCGTACCCGGCCGGGTACGAGTAGGGTATGGGTATCGGGTACCTGATTGCGACCTCTGGGATGAAGCCATGTTGCAGGCGCGGGTGGGTTGATTCTAGGAACTTGAATTGTGAAAAGAGACAAGACGTTTGGAAATGAGTGACAAACAGTTACTCACCAGTGACTCACGGCCTACCCGTACCCGACCGCACCAGGGTCGCAAACGGGTACCCGTACCCGGCCGGGTATGGGTAGCCGGGTATCAGGTAGGGTACGGGTATCGGGTACCCGGTTGCGACCTCTGGTAGGCGGTGCAGCTGCACCAGGTTCCACAGGAGACCGCCTCCGGCCGGGCTACGAAGAGGGAGGGCGGCGGTAGGCAGTGAAGCCCCATTTAATTCCTTGCACCAGGGCCCATGCCAAGCACATTATGCAAACTGCTTTTGTCAGTTTCAACGTCCCCTCATTGTAACGTTTTGAATGCAACAATTAAAACTAAACCTGAGGGAACATCTTCTTGGTTCTTTCGGTAAAGTCACGTAGAAGGGAAATAATAAAATAATACAATTTATATTACTTTATTATATTATCGTATTGTAATATATTAGCATATTATTTTATTACTTTATTATATCCTATTATTATATTATTATATGATTGTATTTTATTATATTATTATATTATTTTACTTTATTATTTTATAATGTTTTATTTTTATTATTTTATTATTTCCCTTCTACGTGACTTTACCGAAAGAACCAAGAAGATGAATCCCTGCAATCACAAAAGCTTTAAATCGAAATTGAGGGAACATTTTGTCGATTGCTGCATAGCCACTCGTGGAACTATGCAACCATGAACGGCTTTTTAAAACTCTGGAAGTTTCACGTTGTTGACCTGCAGTAGTTTGACTTGATGTTGTATTATTTGATAAAAACAAATATTCCAAGGTTGATAAGCACAGCAGTGTCCCTTTTTTAGTCTGCGATTTTAGGACTGCCGATCAAAACATACCACGTGTCATTTCATGGCACCTCCCTTGCCCATACCACGTGTAAATTATGGCAAAGTGGCTTTCACATTTAATTAAATCCCACTGTGATGTGGACATGAACTCGCATTATGTTTCAATAAAACTTGTCTTACATGAACCAATTTTTTACACTTGCTCTTCTCTTAAGCTGCAATATAACCGTTAACCTGAAACCTGTTTAAGGGTGTGCACCATTGTCATCGAGTGAGCATGACGAATAACTGGGGAATAGTCCCTTTTATTATTAATTTAGTTCCAAAATAGTTGGACAATTATCCATTTCTATGACAGTAATTTCCCATATTTCATATGTGGGTGAATTGGTGGTATAACAGTGAGCGCACTGTGCTATAAAACCAGTTACCTAACTTACATTCCTCGTCATGGCTAACATCAATGCCCAGTGATATCTGTAGAGGTCCTCTGCTTTTTGTTCCCCAACCCTCGATGACCAGTATGGTGAAATATGGTTGAACAACCCCCCATGACCAACATGGCATGTGTCGTCCATCATCCAGTAGTGGATTGACTAGAGGATGTACATTGTTATATATATTGACTTAAAGCTTTCGTGACTGCAGGAATTCATTTTCTTTTGGTCTTCCGCTAGCCATGTGTCGCCCAGCGACACATGGCTAGGTTACAATACAGCACAGTATCATAGAAGACTCCTATGTGACAATTAAGGCAATTCACAGTATGTGGCGTTGCAGCAGTCGAGTCAGTCTGCCAGTGCAATGTTTATTTTATTTTAGCACGTAAGGCCCAACTGAGCTATACAGCTCTTTTACAGAAACGACCTGGCCACAAATGATAGCTCGACGAAGTGGCTTATCATGTGGAAATGTGTAGCAGCCAAATAAACGCACGTTTCTAAACGTGGAGGTTAAAACCGGAGGACCCGAAGAAAAATCCACACTACCACGGAGAGAACATGCAAACTCGTTGGCCTGTATGTGTTTTATGTTCAAAGGCATTGACAGCAGATACAATGAAGGTTGCACCGAACTGGCCAACTACCTCTTGTTTGGCTTCTACGCTCAAGACCACTCTGAGCTGGACCGGAAGAGCTTTCCAGAGGAAGTGCTGGACGGTAAGGGCCCGAACAAAAAATCGTGCGTTTGCTTCTATTACCAATTGTGCAACGTCCGTGCGGTTATTCACCGATATCCGTGAACTTGGTGATGCACGCTGTTTTTTCCTCCACAAGAAGGGGTGGACAGGAAGATGATGTAAGCCACGTTTCCTGCATGTGTGCGTATTTATAGTCTAAAGTGACTGCACGTGTTAAAGAGCTAGAAATATGCCAATTGATTGCTTACAGTTGAACACGTAGACTTTCGCGACCAATATTCATAATATAGTGTTTTTGGGTTACATCGCGTAAATATAAATGTTTCGTTAAACCCGCCACCACCCGACACAGCCAATTAGTAAGGTTTGTCATGTAAATAGAACACGCCAATTCGTTGCTAGTACAGCACGCCGGTGTGTTGAAGAGAAAATCCACAACATTTACAATTAATCAGAGTAGATATTTCAACGATCTAACCCCGACAAGAAACGTATGGATAATTGTTTACTTTGTGCCTTGTTTATTTCACATTCTAACAGGTGAATAATGTGACTGCTATAATGGTAGATTAATTTTTAAAAAATTGCCAACAATGCACTGTGCAGTAATTCCTTTCATTCAGGCGAGGATTAAGATAAACAACATTCTAGTTTTCATATTGATCCTGGTTTTAATCGGCGTGGGAAGCTTCTATGATGCCACCGTCAGCACACTGGACTTGCAACCCAGAGGCTACCAGTTCAGTCTCCCGGCATGGCACTTGATATGATGATGATGATGCAAGGGTCTTCCAACGGTTTTTGGCCAGTGTGGAAGAGGAGGCCAACACACCCCCTAGAGAGGCTTTGTCGAGCTCCCTCTAATGTAGGCCGTTCTTCCAGCGGTGGCGTGAGCATGCAGTTGCAGGGCTCCACCTTTACCTTTGAGCATTGTACAATCTACTCCTTATTGCTTAGAGACAATTGCTCTTTTCACGGAGCGTGTGTATTACAAAACGCGCTCCTCGTTGTGCGGCCTGTGTGTGTGTGCGACGCAGATGTGATCATCTTGGTGAAGCCAGAGAGTGTTCACCTCTACTGTAACCCCGTCAATTACCCGCACCTCGTTCCGTACGTGGCTCGCTGGAGAAACCTGCAAATCCACTGCATGACTGCAATGGAGGTAGCGGAATGCCCCCCACTCATCCAATGGGGTTCCATAGTCCCACACCTACAAAGGCAGCGGCAGTGTGCCCTCTAGTGCGGTGACATTTTGTTATCCTCTCTTGTCCAGCGTTTGTAACGTGGTGACCTTTATCCCAGCTGACTTTGCCATTACGTCGCCGTTTGTGAGTGTATATCGTGAAAGCTGCACACTCGTTATAGGCAGTAGTGACTGTGGATGTGTCTAATGGTATCAATCAATAGAGTGTGAAGGTCAGACTCTGTTAAGAATCTTGCTTTGGCATTGCACCATCTTTAAGAGCTAATGTCGTTTTACAGTAATAATTTAATTATAGTAAAAACAAATTCTACATGACATGTCAGAATAAGCACCATATTTTATAGTTTTTTTGTGAATTGCAATATGGTGTGTCATTTGTCTATAAATTACAGTATGTTGCCTTAACACAAATATATGAATGAATTCACATACAGTTGCATTCACTGTGCACAGGGCCCAGTAGCATATATTGCAAAACGGCCAGCAATAAACAGCATTTGTGATGATATAACAAATGAGAGAGAACGCGTTTATTTAATTCAGCACGGTGACGGGGACTTAGAGAAAAAGAAAGCGGAAGAGATTTGCAAAGTGAAGCGTCAGGAGAAAAAAAATAGGAGGAAGAGAAATCCATACATATAAAAAAAGTTGTTGAAAATAGTTTGGATCAGAGGACAGAGTCAATCTGGTAGAGTGAGCTCTTGACATTGACAGGAGGTATTAAGGCATGGAGTTAATGGGAAAAATAACCTAGGTGGTCGTGATAAGAAGTGACTGAATAATGCAGAGAGAGAGATTGGAGTGAATCACGCAGGAGCATCGGTCAACAAAACTGATGAACTAGGAGCTCCACCAGAAATGTGACCAAAAGTATTTCAACTTTGGCCAAATGTGTGAAATGGACCGCAGTGGTGACTTCTGATAAGAAGTGAAGAAGGCTTTAGCATCAAAAAGATATATTCTCCTGCAGCTCATCTTTTAAAAATGCCACCATTCTATAAGTCAGTTAAAATGTCATGTCAAGTCGATTTATAGATGAGATCAGTCTTGTTCAATGTGATAGGAATGTTTTTTACAACTTAAGATTATAAGCATCCACTGGGTGTGAGTTTTAAAGTGGCAAGACTCTTTATCACCAGCAAAGCCTCACCGAGTCTCAAGACTTTTTTGAATGAGAATTGCATTTTGGGATGTTCCATCAATCACTAAAGCCATTTCTTTGCAAGCAGCCTATTGTGAGTCACTTTATACAGACGATCAGTAAATTAACTGGAGAGCACCTCTTGTTTCGGGACAGTATGAGGATGAGGAGGCTGGCGAGGAATTCAAGATCACAAGCTTCGTGAACATGGTGCAAGACTGCAAAACTGTGGGAGTCCCATACAGTGCACAAGGTTTGTGCATGAGATGGATCTTTTCGCATCCGTTACATTGTTACTTTAGTCACAGGCCATCTGTCATGAGCAGTCTTATAGTGGTGCTCGTTGCTGTTTGGAAGTTAGATCGAGATCCAAATTGTTATTATATACAAATGTTAAAAAAAGGATATTCGCGTGCGTTCATTATTCGTTCATTATTTTAAACATTTATTCTTGCATCTGTGAGATCCGGCCCACACATGGCGTGGAAAAGTATGTAGCGCTACCTTTAGGGCATGCTGTTTTACTTTGATGAAATTACATGTGGCATTCATACATGATGTCCCATCCATTGGATCAATACATTGAGGTGCCATTCACCAGCACTCGTTTCATGGACAGTTGAAAATGTTGGAAAATTCTTCCCAGAGGTTGTCATTAATCTCTGTGCATCCCTTTTGTGTGGTTGGCTTTCTCTCCATGTAGGCCACCCACAGAAATTTGATATGTTCATGATGGAGAAATGGCCGATGATTCAGGCTTTTGCTCTGGAAGGTCTCGGTGGAGGAGGCTTCTTCACAATGAAACACGAGGTGCATGGGATTGCGTTTGCTTGTTGCACAGAATGGCTGGATTTTCTTGTTTATGGATTTCAGTTTTTAACGATGATATTTTTTCTATTACAATTTTTGTTGTATAATGCGATCCAATCAAACCTTAATTATTACATTTCACTTTTTAATAGCACATATAGCTAGGTTTTCATAGAAAATTTCAGGCTAATATTGCTGGGAAAATGTTGATGCATTCTATTTTTCGTTCCTTAAACTAACTTTTCTACCATAAATTTTTCTTGGTTTTACATAAAACCCCGCAATTACCTGGGTTTTTTACTTTATGGAAACCAACAGCAAAGAACAAAAAATAATTCATTGTCATCAACGTCATCATTCATTTTCTTGTACGTTTCTCCAGTTTAAATGTAAAGAGAGCGAGAGAAAATCTTTACCTCAGATGAAATGACCAAACATCGAATTAATTCCACCTGTGCCACATTCTATATTTTCTGACACGACAGACAGGTAAAGATTGTCATTAGGGATAAATATCAATGCAGTGAAACCTCGTTAGAGCATTCACAAATTTTGCCTTCTCCCATTTTGTCTAATATCACATTATGAAAGTCCCCCGTTGACGCACAGTCACTTGATGTATTGCTTTCTGAATCAAACAATCCGTTTTGCTCGTGTGCTGAAAAATATCGATATTTCACCGTAATCCATATATATATCACTTTCCTTTTACTCCAGTTTTTTTTTTAACGCTGTGGGTTCGGAAGGAGGGAAACTGTACATTTGTGTGGCTGAGCGTCGCTTTGGTGTGTTGCACAGCTGGTCGATTTGAGCGAAGATTTGTGGGAGGTTTACAGCCGATTGGACCCGGTCTCTCTCGAATCGCTCATCACCGAGGTACCGAGTCAATGGCTGTTTTATATACACATATATCTGCCGCTACAGCTCTTGTCAATCACATAGTTTATTTATAGCCAGTTGAGCACCCACTGAGACCCATCATCTCCTTTTCACTGGGTGACCTTGGTGTAGTATGTCATGTGGATATTTAGGATTAAACCACTTCCTCTAAAACAAGCAATGGAGTTAAATGTGGCACTTGCAAATACTGTGTTTTTTTTATTAGTTTACAAATAAAAGAAACAAAGAGAAAATATGCAATGTGTAATGTATGTGTGTTGAACTTCTTTCGTACCGTACGTAGCCAACTGCGCTTAAACGCAACATCTAATTGTTGGCGTGAGTATTTTACCTCATTAAAGGACAAAGTGGATCTTCCATAAGCTGTAATAATGTTCGTTATTTACCCAGAAAGCCTGACTGAGTCTCATATCTTTTTCCGGAGGACGCTGCATGAGGATGTTTGACCAATTCCATAAACAAGCTCTTGGCATGTCAAAGGAAACTGGAGTACAGTGCTCGGAGAAAATTCACACATACGAAGGGGTATCACTCAAAGCTTTGCACAGATAGATATAATCATCTATTGGTGCACTGCAATCTCGTGGCCACCTCGCAGCCCAATCCTGCTATTCCCTGGCAGTCCAAGTACTCATCAGACTTAACCCTGCTTCTCTTGAGAATAAGTTTTGCCCCTTTTATCTGGCAACAAAACAGGTGTTCAGTTGTTAAAACACTAAATTGAAACCTTTTACAAGGAATCGTGTCTGCATTAACCACAATATGCAAAGAAAAAACATACATACTCTGATAATATCTTAACAACTTAACACCTGTTTTGTTGCCAGATGAAAGGGGAAAAACTTATTCTCATATTTTGTTACCCGCAAAGGAGGTCCCATGATGTACCTGCTTATCTTCTGACGACGTCAAGTGCATTCAGGGTGATTAGGTTGTAGGAAAACCTGAGTACTTGGAGCACCGAGGTGGCGAGATGTTAGCTACCTCGCCTGGTATACAGGAGATTGTGGGTTCAATCCCGACCCTGATGCCTGTATATTTGGAGTTTGCATGTTCTCCCCGTGGTCCTGTGGATTTTCTCTGGGTTGTCCGGTTTTTCCCTCCACATTTAGGATCAACGTGCGTGCGGAGTATTTGGCTGCTATACATGAAGCCACCTTGTTGAGCTATCATTTGTGGCCAGGTCACTTCTGAAAAAGAGCTATGTAGCTCAGTGGGCCTTACCTGGTAAAGTTAAAATAGTTTAGTTTAGTACTTGTACACAAATATTAGTCATGTTTGCAACCCTGGTCGTGCTAATCATTTAAACTTGCAAAAACTAAAGTGTAAAGTTTCAGTGCACAGAGGAATAACATTGATGACTTTTTCAGGAACTCGTTCTGTTTGAGTGGCAGTGGAAAACGTTCTTTTCCAACTTTGACATCGAGAGCCCAGCTTCCATTCTCGACTTGTCCGAAGCCCAAGTCGGAGAGGTGAAGTCACTTTTTTTTTCCCTTCAATACCTACTACACAGCGTGATGTGATCTAAGCTTGCGTAGCCTTGTTTAGTTGGAAAATTGTACATACAACGTTGTGATCTTGGTCATCTTGAACACCGCTCCTCGGTTATCAACGTGAAAGTAATTCCAAGTTACAGCGGAACTCGAGCAATCTGCGAATTCCTGTAATTCGCGCATTTTTGTCGAGATCGTGACTGCTCCCTTAACTCACGGCGGATTAAAAACGCTTCACAAACCGTGGGTGGTGCTATCGTAGAGCTGCAGGAGAAGGAGCTGCAGGAAAATGCGGAGGAATAATTTTTATATTTTTACACTTTGCAATTTTTATTCGTGCGATTTCTGAAGTAGAAATGATTCCTGAATTTTTTTACAAGTCTAAGGAAAATGCAATAAATTCTCTCACAGACCCATATGGCAAATTTGCACGATTTAGGTCTCAGAAAAAAAAATTATAACATTGTAACCTCTGAATTTGTCACGGATTAACTTTTCCGCTAATCACGTGCCGCGCTTCCCCTGTAAACCGTCAGATTTTTCGTGAATGAATGGGATCGTGCAGCTCTTTCTCCCACGATGCTTCGTTTTCGCGGATTGTTTGGTCGAACCTTCGCGCTGCGCTGAAAGATATTCGATCCTCGGATAGGGTTCCCCGATATCAACGGATGTATTGCAATTCTGCTGGATGGGAATCATCACTGCGCACTGCTCGGGGTAGTCTTTCGGAGAAGCTTACAGTATTTATGTACGCACTGTCTTTGTCCACCAGCCTTTCAGAAGTTACTTCAACCATGGAATGCTCTCGAGTCACATACCCAGTAAAACGTGAGTGCGTTAACGATTGAAATATGATGTGGGCTCAGTGTTTCGTGCCTAGTTGCATGACTCCGAATCAAAAAATTGCACCCCCATTCCAATCCGTACCCACTTTCCCCGCTATTGAATGAACCTTCAAGATTCAGAGTGATTTTGATTAATTTGTTTCGCTTTCGCCGTCTTGTTTGTCCTGTCTCTCATCTCTTCTGTTTTGTTCCGTCAGCACATTAGCCGGAATTGTTACATTTGCAGATAAATGTTGTAAATTGTAATCAGTCAGTTTTTTTTTATTTTCCCAAATTATTTAATGTTTCGTTTTAATTGAATCATTACATGGTTACAAAATAAGCACTTGGTCATTCATGTGCATTCACTGTGAATGCACATGCTTTAGCAATCGCAGCATGTTTTCTGTAAAGTACAGAGCACAGGGCACTTTAACGCGTTCCAAAGAAGCGCTACAGACGCAATTTGGCGTTTAATTGCCGATATTTAAATTTGCTCATTGCGCGAGCAGCAGCAGCAGCAGGAGGCAGCCGCTGGTGCTCTTCGGGAGCCGGACGGGGCGGCAGGGCATGGAGGAGGAGGACAACAACTTCAGCTTTCCGTCCGAGAGCCACCTGCTGCGCAACACGGGACCGGCGGCATCGCACGCGCGTCACATGGTCGGTGGCTGGAGCGGCAGCGGCGCTGTAGTCCCAGCGCAGCTGTCGGGTGGCACAACGTCAACACAGGCCCAGACGGCGAACTCGTTAACATACATCGAGCGCTGACCCAAGGGAGTGCCCGAAATTAAATTCCTGCGCCGGTTGAGTCGTTCATTATTGTAGGTTGTTGTTGTTGTTGTTGTTCTGCACACGAGTGGCTTAAAAGCATGATTTGTATCTCGCCGTGCCCCTCTCTCTTTGAAATACTATGCACAATTTTAAGTTGAGATTGACTGGAGCCTTTATATGTTTTATAATAAGTAATGATTTCTTCTGTATTGTACTTGTCAATGGCATAAACACTGCACAAAATGAATCACTGAATATATATGTATGCAAGCGAGGCCAAACATTTTGGGAACAGGAATATTTAAAATTCGCTTCCTCTTCGAAGCGAGCTATGCTCACGATGCAGTTTGGTGTTTGAATTTACGTAAAAACTTGAAATTGTCACCCGATTTTCGAGACACCAGGCTTTGTAGACTGGGCACTAAGGGTGGAGTGATCACTTTTGCCCGGTTGGTTTTATTCCACTTTCCTAGATCATCCAGTGTTCAAACCCAAAAGGACCGCTATCCTGCACCAGAACGTATTTCTTCGGAAGTTCTCACACACCTTACATGGGTGAGTTATTATCCTACTGTAGAAACACCACATAGCTGGCTATATATTTTTAAAAATTGCATTGAAAAAATTTGTGAAAAAAATGAATGCGATCTCTTGCAGATAACAACAATGAACAGCAGATGGACCCAGTGCTCAGGTTTGTTGAACTTTTCAGAAACATCGTTTAACTTTCCACTGCACAATGCGTCATTTGTATAGCGCTCAGGCTGCCGATCTTGAAACGTATTGCCCCTTTCTGTGTATTTTATAAGCTGGGAAAAGGATTTGTTCTTAAATATAAAGATCCTAAATTACGACTCGTCTCCTTTGTTTAACGATGCGCGTGTGCACAGGGTGCTGTCTGGAGTGTACGCCTCTGGCGTGGAAGCGGTGTTGGCCGGCATTGCGCACTACACTGAAACTGGAGACGTTTTCGCCGTAAGTCACTGAACGGCACCCGAAGCTCTTGCGTTAAGGCCGTGTTTATTGCGAACGTGTCTGGCCGTGGAGGCTGTGAAGCCTGTTTCACACTTGGGCAATTTATTATGACGGTACTAAGCGATGAAATTCTTCGATCGCGCGCCGCGGGCATCGCGAGCTTCGAAGTGATCTGCGAGGGGAATGCAGCAGTGCTCAAACCGTACGTGGGAAGGGTGGCGATCACGAGCGGTGTGGATTAGCGACGTGACATGTTGCACGTCGAGTCTGATCAATCGCTGTCGTAAGCATGAAGCATGGGAGCGGTCCAGGGCCTCGAACACATCGCATGAAGGTGGTGATCGGCGCTTAGCTCATTTTTGTTTGTGGTCAATGTTCATCGGATCCTACTGTGATTTTCCAAACAGAATTCTGACAGCTGATTGAATGTTCTGTATGAATGATCTTTACAGTACACTGATGTACTCTGCGATTACACGCCAACATTGTCCCATACTGTGAAATCTTGGCAGGACTCCCCTGAAAGAGTGTCTTGACACTACTCAATGTTCTTGTAATTTATGCCAGCCCCCTTGTCCAATTTTACTTCCTTATGATAAAGTTCCTACGAAGCCCATTTTAGAATAGTAGTTTTGGGTGCTAATGAGTATGGTCAAGGGTTACCCTTTGGAAAAGTTTAAACCAGTCCAGGGCTTATTTTGTTTAAACAAATGCTTTTGGGAACATATGGTGAGATGTTAACTACCTCACCTGGTATGCAGGAGGTCGTGGGTTCAGTCCCGACCCTGATGCCTGCTGTTTATTTGGAGTTTGTCCCCGTGGTCGCATGGATTTTCCCCTCCACATTTAGAAACGTGTAATTAGAGTATTTCGCTTCTGAAAAAGGGCTACATGGTTCAGTGGTAAAATACAAAAGAGTTTAAATAGTTTTATTTCATAGGCCCACTGGTTGAAGGACTGCAGTGATACTTTTTGGCGATCAACAGACAATGCTGTACCATTAAGTCAGTATTTATTTAGCTGTTATTGATTTTATTTTATTTATAATACTGCACTACACATTTTCACTATACTTCTGTGATTTAATGTGTATGTACATATATACAGTATGTGTTTATCATTGATGTTACGTGTTATGTGCGATTTTATATGTCACCTGAGGTTATGTAATGTCTCCAACGTTGCCAAAACAATGTGATCATTAGACATTTTTTGACATAGACTGGTTTTAACACATATATATTAGGACAGAAAGCATAATTGGTCAGACCTCTCTGGAAGAAATCACTGTTACATAACCCAGGCGTGGCAGCGATCTGAGTTTGGCCTTGAAGTGATTGCCAAAGTGGATATTCTCAACAGCTGAACAAGGCAGGCGATTGTGGAATATTAATTTTTTTTAACATTGGTGTTCTTACGTAATAGTACATTTATTTACCTGGCATCGGTTCGTTGCAACTACTGAAGTGCATTTGTTAAAAAGCATCTGAATTAAGGGCATGGTTGCTTTTAAATTGCATTATTTAGTAAGTAAACTATTGTGAAATGCTGCAAAGAAGCCTGCATGCCTGTATACTGAACAGGGATGCCTGTTTAGGTGTTTGCCCAGTATGGGGTGGGCATTATTACTAGGAGTCTTGTTTGTTTCGAGGCATTTTCCGACAGCAGTAGGCCATTGCATGTCACCTCGTGCCTGAATTCCAAGAGAATAAGTCACACTGTTACTTAAATTATATTCTCATGAACTCTTCTAAACACGTGGTGCTACCGTTTAAATGGAATGATGATTCTAGATTTGAAGCTTTCGTGATGATACTAATTCGTCTTTCTCTTCCCCATGTGCGTATGTTGCTTTTATACGCAAGACCAAGGCCACAGTTGAGCAGCTGTTCTTCTCATGCCTCGACAAGTATGACCTTTCGAAGTACAAAACCACATTGAGGTAACTGCACATCCTCCGCCCCCTTCACGTCAAGATGCCAGCATCAGTATCAGATTGCATTTAAATGGTTAGACGTGCGTTGATGTTTCAACACTTGAACACATTTGCGCCTACGTGTGTGGGTTTTTGTTGTTGTTACAGATCTGCATTGTCATTCAACATTCAGCCAGTAAACCTCCAGGGGAGGTAAGACTACCCACCCTTTTAATTACTGTCGTTACTGTTTTTTTACAAGTGTAAAGTTATCCGTCAGACTCCAAAGGGGACAATATAACGAGTGCGTGATTGCATAATATGACTGCTAATGTGATGTAATACATTAGTTGAGACACAATGAGTGGCGTGACTGCCATACTTTTGTGCCTATACAACACGGTCTGAATGTTGAAATAAACTAAAAAACTGTTTTTTTATTTTACCAAGTAAGGCCCACTGAGCTATAATAGCTATTTTTCAGAAACTACCTTGCTGACTTTTCGATTTAAAGCTTTCGTGACTGCAGGAATTCATCTTCTTGGTTCTTTCGGTAAAGTCACGTAGAAGGGAAGTAATAAAATAATAAAAATAAAACATAATAAAATAATTCTCACGACGTTTCGGCCACAACGTGACTTTACCGAAAGAACCAAGAAGATACCTTGCTGACACCAATGATAGCCCAACGAAGTAGCTTAGCACGTGGAAATTTATAGCAGCCAAATACTCTAAATACATGTTGATTCTAAATGTGGAGAGAAAAACCGGAGGACCCAGAAAAAAATCCACACGGCCACAGGGAGAACATGCAAACTTCAAATGTACAGCAGGCCTCAGGGTTGGTATTAAACCCACGACCTCCTCTATACCAGGCGAGGTAGTTAACATCTTGACACTATAGTGCCCCTATGTGGCATGCATGCTGGAGTAGCCTTTACTTACATTAGTGTGTTTCACTTTTCCCGATGTTTTTATTTCTTTAGTTTTTCACGCCTTGTCGCATGTTATGTTTGGAGTGAAGTCCATTTAAAGAAAACATGTATGACTGCCGGATGACCTTTGGGTTAATTTTGTATGTGTTTTTTTAATTTTGCTTTTACATTCATGTGTACCATTTTTGCAGGGTATTTTCTATGGATGAAGATGCTTGTAGATTTCACGTGAAAACTGTAAGCATATAGGGATTGTTTTTTATTTATTCTTACGTTTATGTATACTGCACTCAAAGGTTACCGATGCCAACAGGACAAAATCACGTGATGCTGGATTTATTTAGATTTTTTTTAAACAATTATTACCATGAATTTTGGTCAAAGCTCAATACAATTCTCAACAACACTGACTTAATAGGGAAAGAATCAGTGTTGTTGAGAAGTGTGAGCTTTTGTTAACTGTGCTTTGTGCACCACTGCCAACACAGCATCACCACCACCACTTATTTGACAGTGCATTTAGCACACTGTACTAGGAACCCAGCAACCCAAGTTCAATTCCTGACCACAGCCAACATCCGTGGCGGATGGTATCTGAACCAATGCCACTACCCCACCCCTCCTCCCTCCCCCCTCTCCTTTCGCCAACCCGCACTGAGCAACGTAGTGAAGTATGACCAAACAATCCTCATCGAGCAGTGGGTTGACAGTTCTGAAAAGCGACATTTGTGTGCTCTTAAGAAGGGCCATTGCCCGAAATAATGGCTATTATAGTTATACTGGTAGGAACCTCCTGATTACACCAGCCCACAGGGGATTATTGTGTCCGTCCGTCGTGCATCCAAAAATGGGAGGGGTGGGGCTGGGTGGAGAGGGGAGGGTGGGGAGGGGCTGGGTGGGGAGGGTGGAGCTGGGTGGGGGTGGGGCTGGGTGGGGAGGGGCTTGTCACCCCGTGGTGCCCTTATAAAACTTAACGTTTAACCTACTCACGGCCATATTTGCGGAATACACCACGCCGCCGTTGACCCTGGCAATTGACCGAGCAACCCAATGTTCCTACCAGCTCCCTCCGCAGGAATGTGTTATATTTTTCCTTTTTGAAGGCAGTGTTTTTGCAGAATGTTTTTTTTTGCATTTATCTACTTATGAATTTGTTTATGTGTGTGTCAAATTTAACATCTGTATATTTTTTATTATTCAATAGATCGCCCGTGTATCTGAGTAGGATTATTTCACATCAGAACACTCATCCGACTCTTCAGATAATAGGTTTGAGTCTCTGTGTTGATGTCACCTCCAATTATAAAGTTGGCAATTGATGAAAAAATTCCAAAGCCATCTATGATCATAAAAAATAGCACAGAGCGAAAGAAAAAAATATTTCTGTAACAAATAGCACATTCTAATGTTGAACATCTGCTTATCTTAATCGACTGGGAGTTGCCGATTAAGGCTGGGAGTTGTGAAGAAGAGCTTTGGTGATTTAGCCAATTAATATTTCTGACGTGAGCATGGTATTATGACATGCTGAACATTCATCTGCCACTAACACTCTGCTAGCATTCCAATCTGGCTACCCGAAAAATATAACCTCCTGTTAACAGTTGCAATGAGTTGAATTAGGGAATTATCCCCATCAAATACGAGGTGTGTTTGTGTTCATGCAAGTGCTCGTTAAAACAGCACTTGCCCCAATTGTCTGTCAAGGCTATACGGGGTGGAGGATCTTCATTCTATGTTTTGTTCGTGCAGGCAAGCCTACTGGTGTATGACATCCCGGACCTGGAGGAGGGACGGCCCAGTATCTTAGGCTCCGTGGCTTTCTCAGAGTCCTTCCTGGACTCGCGAGTGCCCGTGCAGGCTGCCGGTGAGCAAGGGTGGAGGGGGTGGGAGATGCGATGCGCAAGCACACACACACACACAAACGCACACAAAGACAAAGATCCCCCATATAGCCTTAACAGACTGTAGGGGCAAGTACTGTTAGCGAGCACCTATGAAGGCCGGAACGGTATACGAGGGGGTGGGTGGCCAGCACCACGCCCGACCGCCTTTGTCTCCCCAGTGGCGATGCTTACACACCACACCAGTTACTTATTTGAGGCTGAGTCGACCTAGGGGAGCCCCGGGACCGGTTCAGATAATCGTTACCGGTGTTGGCCGTGAGCGGGAATCGCACACACACACACACACACAGACGGACGCTCAACTCCTTCCTACAATAGGGGCGTGGTGAGCAAGAGTGTCGCAGTGTCAAAGGGCTGGAGGGGGCGATGGAGAACTGAGCGAGTCGGGGGTCCGGTCCCATGCAGTGCCTCTTTGGCTGCAACCCCTTGCAAGCAGCCGTTTTTATTCCTTAAATTTTCAACACAAATTAACGTAAAGGTAATTTATTCAATATTGCAGGGAATGGGTTCACTATGGAATGTCTTGGTGACAACAAAAAGTACAACAGTCAAACTGTATATTCTTTGGGTCTTTCGCTAAAGCCACGTAGATAGAAAAATAATAAAATTATCACGACGTTTCGATCGCAACACAAGCATTCGTCCTGCCTCGGCAGCTCTCCGGCTATATTTTTTGTCACCTGATGACGATTCCTTGTGTTGCGATCGAAACGTCGTGATAATTTTATTATTTTTCTATCTACGTGGCTTTACCGAAAGACCCAAAGAATATGAATTCCTGCAGTCACGAAAGCTTTAAGTCAAGAGTCAAACTGTATTTGTTAAAGAATAACTAAGGGGGGGAGGAAACGAAATAGGTGCAGTTTAGTCCATCACTTATTTAGTTTATTTCAGTCAGAATGTGTTTGTCATTTGCTGTGTACCGGCCATGTTTGTGCACGTGTACAAGTAGCTCAGCGTGTGATGCGCCTCTCGAACTATTTTAGTCAATGACAAAAACAAAACAATGGCCCTCTTTCTTCCTTTGAAAGGTTGCCGATCCCTGGTCTCGTCGATGGCACCGTGTGGAACTGCAGTCAAGTGTTAGTCTGTGGATCTTATTTCGTGGCCAGAATAACAGAAGACAGACGGAATTAACTCTTCGTGTCCGCAGACTGAATACAATTCTCAGACTGACTTGACAAAAATCCAGAGGTTGGCTTGGACTAATTAAAAAATAGCCACATGGAGGGTTTGTGTCAGAGGCATTAACTGCTGAAAACTCTGCTCAACGGTTGTGATATATAGGGTCTCGTCTAAGGCTCTGTGGGACAAGGGGAGAAGCCCAATACAATGTACTATATCTGCATGCCCTGTAAGATGATGGCTAAATCACTCTGGCAAAATGTTTGAAATGGACAAAACTACAATGCATGCTTTTAAATGATGTTATATATCAGGATTTTTGTTCTGCTGTTGCAATCTTACCTTCGAAGTTATACACTTTAAGTTCTTCATCCTAATTAGCATTGTGTGTTCTCTGTGCGTCCCCGCTGTGTGAGTGTATAGATGGGAGTCTGTCTGTAGATGGTAAATGCGCGATCCTCACTGCAAACATCCCCCGCTATACCTCCTGGCTCGTAAGTAGAGTGTATAATTAGAACCCCCCCCCCTCCCACTAAGAGTCATCTGTAACGTCTGTACCACACCAAGAGGCCACCACCTAAAGTGAACTGTTATGGAATGATATTCTTGGTTCTTTCGGTAAAGTCACGTAGAAGGGAAATAATACAAATAAAACTATTATTTCCCTTCTACGTGACTTTACCGAAAGAACCAAGAATATGAATCCCTGCAGTCACGAAAGCTTTAAATCGAAATTTGTTATGGAATGCTCAATGAAAGGATGAGACATTTGCCATCATCCGCTCAACATTAATCAGCTTTTGTAATAATATTTGCATTGGCGCGTTAATCACAGTTCACCATTCAAATCTTGTTCTTGCCAAATTATTAAACTATTTTTGAGTTTCATGATGTATACTGTCGTTTAACATTATTATACGTTTGGTTCTATGTACGTTAAACTTATTTCGCACTGTACATTGCCAACCGTGTCACATCGTGCATATTGGCTTTATAGGATGTGATATTAGCATGCAACTTGTGAACTTTATCATTATATATTTTTGGAGGAAATATGCATTCTAAAGAATGAACATTTTTATTGCCAGGTTGAAGAAGCTGGAGTAATTCTGTCTGAAAAGGCACAAGAAATTATTAAAGTGAGTTGTGTTTTTGCTTTATTGTAGATTATAAAAGGCATCTTGAAAGGCATCTTATTAAGTGGAAAGTGATGCAGTCTTGCCGCTTAATGACTTCGTTTCCATTCCATTTCTAAAACTTGCAACGGGCACAAATTGAACTTGAAGATGATACACAGAGGCGCCGTGTGAGAGTACATGAAAGAAAGATCAAAGTCTTGAGACTCTGACAAGTGTTCGACACCGAAACCGATGTGGGCAGCGATAGGAGAGGATCGCGTGAATTCCAGACGCTGGGAACTGCGATATTCGTCTTGCCGTCTGGTTCGAGAGATGGGGCTTGGTGAGCGGAAGGCCCCTTGAGGCCGATCGCGGAGCTTACGAGACGGAACGAACGATGAGATGGCGGAAGCTCAACGTGCCGCTTAACTCGGCACGTGTGTGCGCTCTGTAACAGAACTAACGCACAGCGGTGGTTGGCGCGCTGTACTGCCAACCCGGCAACCCGACTTCGATTCCCGCTCACGGCCAACACCGGTGACAATTATCTGAACTAGTTCTGGGCCTCCCCTAGATCCACCCAGCCTCAAATGAGTACCTGGTGCGGTGTGTATACATTAGCACTGGGGAGATAAAGGCGGCGTGGTGTTGGCCACCGCCTGGTGTGCTGTGGTAGCCTTCATAGGTATTTGATTCATCATCCAGGAGAATATTTCCGTACGCTTATTTCAAAAGAGAGCTGTTTGTCACAAAGTGTTTGGATTTGTGCTGCGTCGTTGCAATTGGTTGCATTCATATTGCTTGGCATGTGATAGTTGTTGTTTGATGAACTCCGATTGAAGGGTGATGGATGCGGGCTGCTTGGGAAGCGGATTGCTGGCCCGGATCTGGCTTACATCCATTGCAGCAGCCCTTTCAGCAGCCCCGAGGAAGGTACAAAGGAGCCACTCACTTAATCGCTGCCCAACACCAGCATTACATAACCACGTGACGTTACTGCATTCCGTGAGGAGTCTCATAGCTTTGCTCTGTGACATTTTATTGTTTGTTTCATTCCCCCATGCCACGGTAGATCTATACGTAGATATACGTCCATGTAGATCTACGCTGCTTTCTTGAATTGTTGTGTTTCGTGTATAGGCATGGCGTGTTTTACGCTCCACTTATGCACTCAAACTCTGTTTATCTGTGCTTATTGGGGGTGGACGGGGAAGATGGGTACCTATACTCTTAGTTCTTTCGGTAAAGTTACGTAGGTAAAAAATGAAATTAAAATTAATAAAAAATAAAAACAATAAAATCACGACGTTTCGGAGGCAACACAAGCTTCCGTCTGTATCAATACAGATTTTTTGCTGTGACAGTTTCACCTGAAGACGGAAGCTTTGTGTTGCCTCCGAAACGTCGTTATTTTATTTTTATAATCTTTAATTAATTTAAATTTCATTTTTTACCTACGTGACTTTACCGAAATAACTAAGAGTATGAATCCTTGCAGTCACGAAAGCTTCAAATCTAAAGATGGGTACCCCAGTTCCAAATATCCGGGGGGGGTGGGGGGCGTGACCACGGATAATGCCGGATAAGAGCTCCGCCTACCCGTGACGTGTGAATAAAAACGTCATCGAATGGGGCGTGGCCAGCAGGCAAGGGCGTGGGGACCTTCGAGGGCATTCTGTGATATCAAGTTTACGCCACAGAACGAGGTCACGGCTACCAGGCCTGCGGGACCTCTCCTGACGTGGGTATGGGAAGGGAACTTGCTTTCCATCGCGTTAGAAGAGACCACCCCTAAGTGCAGAAAGCACTGCATCGGCATTTTCACCCATACTTTGGATTTGGTTGTGGGAGGCAGTCCTAGAGTCTGCTCACCAACTTTAACCCCGGATAACCCCAGATATTTGGAAGAATTTTCCACACAACTTCATTTATCTGTGGTCCCGACCCCGGATAATTGGAAGTATTTTCTGAATAATTCCATTCAACCGTGGTCTGGACCACGCATCTTTGAATTGCCATGCCCCCCGGATATTTTGAATAGAGAAGCAGGTTTTCAGACCCTTGATTAGACAAATTCACGGATAATCGGGTCATGGATAACAAAGTCTCACTGTATATACACACTCCCAAAGGTGCAGTCATGATTCCCATCGGTACTTATCGCGACAATACAAATTGCATATTCTTGGTTCTTTCGGTAAAGTCACGTAGAAGGGAAATAATAAAATAAAAAATATATAAAACAATTTTAAAAAAATTCTCACGACGTGCAGTGAAGGGTAAAACATGTTCTCGGTCTGTTTTCGAATATAAAGTCCTATAGTGTCATTTGGTGAAAAGGATGAGATTTGTGTTGGTTGCTGTCGTTAACTGAGCATAATCCGTTTATAAATGCTGCACTTTGTTGTTGCAGGCAAACTGACCCTGCTGTCCAGTGGCATTCTGTTTGTGCACCGCAAATATGGCAGCGTGATTCTTCCCATGAGCCACATGACGGCTATCAAGTTCTACGATGGAGTAAGCACCACATCGAATTTATCTTAAACTAGCCGGTAACCTTTTTACATACTAGACGGTGCCAATGAAATATAGTTTAGTTTGCCTTCCCTTCTAAAACTCCATCTGCCCCATTCACTAACGACTAGCTCTTTTTAGCCCAAGAGTGCTTAAAAACACATTCCTGCGGAGGGAGCTGGTAGGAACGTTGGGTTGCTCGGTCAATGGCCAGAGTCAACGGCGGCGTGGTGTATTCCGCAAATATGTCCGACTGTGAGGGCGGGCACAAGCCGGCGTGAGTAGGTTAAACGCTGAGTTTTATAAGGGCACCACGGGGTGACCAGCCCCTCCCCACCCAGCCCCACCCCTCCCACCCCCCCTCCCAGCCCCAGCCTCCCCACCCAGCCCCTCCACACCCTCTCCACCCAGCCCCACCCTCCCCACCCAGCCCCTCCCCACCCTCACCACCCAGCCCCTCCCCACTCTCCCCACCCTTCTCTCCCCATATAAACTATAAATCAACACATTGATCCATAACAGTGCCTTAAAACTAACACAATTAAATACTGGTCGACGTCCCGGGCAATGGCCCTTCATAGCACCCGACAAGAGTTTCTCCGTGACCTTGATGGATATACAGGTCATACGTTTCAGGATTAATTCAATTGTCGCCTGCATAGAAGAGAAAAAAAAAAACCTTTCTGCAGTTGTTTCGAATTGTTGCGCATATCCGTTGACGACACATTTACAAGGGGTCAAGGCGATGTCAAGGTCACTGATTGCTCGGTCTGTGGTATACCGTGGGGGCACGATGACTCCTCAACGAATGGCATTCTCTGAAAAGAACGAGGGATTTTTTTTTTATCTCCCCCCCCCCCCCACACACACGAATATTCGTGCGGCTATTATATTGAACGTTAAACGTAGCGCGAGGCGTGCTCGGCACAAAATGATATCGGCCGGCAGCCTCGTTTTGGGTAACCTGATGAAGTGTCCTCTTTAACTCTGGTTGTTATCGGCGTGTGCCGCAGGATTCCTGCAGTGTGGTGGCCATGGTGGTGATTGAGTACCAGAGGTCACTGCTGCCGTTTCTGCCCTTCCACCTGTCGTGCTCCACATTCAGCTTGGCCTTTGGCCTTATGCCCAAGTCAACAGCCTACAAGACATTCTACAGAGAGGTGTGTGTGTGTGTTTATGTTTGTCTAAACCTCCCGTGATTGCGTCACTGGCTTGCGACCGGTATCCTGTTAAAGAGGTTCAGGTTATTCTAACAGTAAAGCGTCCTCTGCTAGTTTTATTATGACTTGGTTTTACATTGGTCAACATTATACATTTTATGAAAGGGAATCATCGAGTGACATTGCAGTGGCGTTTTGAACGCAGCTTAATTTCGATTGCTTAATATACAACTTCATTATCGTTTACGAGGCTTACCTTGATAAGTTCATTCGTTTTTATGAAGTTTTATTGCACTTTAGAGACTGTAGGAATGGCTATACAGCCCAGTGCTTTGTTTGATGGATCACAAATGACGTCAAACAGCAGCAGTAAGAGCTAATCATTGACGCACGTAAAGTATTTGTCTTCAAGTGACGGCAGTTGTAATTTGCCTGTAAACCTAATGGTGCAATGTAATTTGCATACAAAGCAGATAAACTCGTACAAAAAGACATTTAATCGGATAGAACCAAATGTACTCGTGATTAATCATCCCAAGTCAGACACTGCCCGCAAGGTGACGTGATAGTTTTAATCAGCTCGTAAATTGTAATAAACGACTTGATTGCGGGTTTAATCTGGGCGTTATCTGCGCGTGGTAAATATGCAGCAATCAAACGCAATTGAACAAATGAGATGGAATGTTCTAGATGGAAGGTGATGAACGCAGTGTTGATGGAGGTGTTGTGTGTTGTGCGTATGATGTGTAAAGGTGCTCTCATCTTGGCGAAATCAGGCAGAAGAGTTTGGTGTGGCGCTGAAAATGATGAGCCAGCAAGAAATCTCAGAGTACGCCCAGCTGTAAGTCGTCATTAAACATCACCTTTGCGTACCCTTTTTCTTTCATGAAAAAAAATATTTTTGAGAGGAATTGCATTGTAAACCACTTAATGTTACGCCAATCTCCCTGCACTGCCAAATATGGTGCCCTTTAATAAAATACAAACAAGCTGATTGCGTCAACACCTTACATTGTTTTGCAACAAAGCCAGCAGTCAGTTTTTATGGGAGTTTTTTCAAGGGAGTTTTAAGTGAGTGCGCAACAGTAAATGTTTGTGTTTCAAGATTTGACGTTGTTAAAAACGCCCCCAGTTACAATTTCTCCATATGTTTGGGGGGTGTCTAATGCTTTCCAACTATGGTCGTGATAACTCGTGCAATGAAGATCCAATTTAGGCAACATGTTTAGTGTAAAGTGCTGTTGTTGTTCGAGACGTATCCTATAAAAAAAATTTATCAAAGGGTTGCCTAAAACTTCGTCAGAAAAACCAGCGCGAAAAGGATTAGCTTTGCTGGTGAGGGTATTATTACGTGCAATGACGTCACTACTTGTGACGACGTCATCTCGTTGTGTTACTTATACGTATCGTTGTTATCTCCAATAACTTAGGCAAAGCGTTACAGAATTCATCCATATGCATGCTTTTTATTTTGTTGTTTTTACCCTCAGTTCAGGCTGTGTTTGTCACATTCCTGGTGGTCCGTATGGTGAAGTGTGCTGGTCACTGACAGTTTTTGATTTAGTTCAGCAAGACCACACGTTGTCATTTATATGCCAATCGTGTAACATGGTGGGTCTTCTTATCAGATTCGCTTTGCATGTTTACAGTTTGGTCACAGGAAATGGAATGGAACTTGGGTCAGTGATAAAACGGATTATGTTTTTTTTACTGAAAGCTCAATGTTGATAGACCCTTTTGTTGGTAATGACACCGTGAAGAAAACTTGAGATGGCTACAAATCCTTAAATGTTAAGTCCCCGTTGATGGATGTGTCTGTGTGTACATGGGCTGTTTAAAAATGAAAACCGATACAAACTAATGTCATTTTTATGAATAGGCAATATAAAAATGTCCTCATGGGGAAGTGGTTGTTGTCCTTACATGATGAATTGTCTGCCGGCAAACTCGAAAGTTAACTTTTTTTTACAATACAAGTTTCAAGATGTATTTCACCACGTGAGAACGCAAGAGGCAGGAATGACATATTTATTGCACGAGGGACCTGGTTGAGGTTACGAGTGATCTCGGCCTAAGCGTGTAATTTATTCCTGCTCGTATTGTCCAGGTATACTGCCCTGGAGACAAAGCGTGCCTCCACGTGCGTGGACTCAGTGGGGACTGGTCGGCCATCGATATACACGTCATTGCCTCATTTTGAAAAGTACGGCAAAGATTCGTTTCATACCTCCTATCCTTAGCGTCTCTCACTTTGTTTGCCTTTTCCTCCAGTTATGTTCGAATGATGCTATCAATGTTGTCATTGGATGAAGGTTTCCATTTTGAATTCTCGCAGCTTGCAGCAGTGCATCATCGCCCCCGGCTCATAGAATGCTAATGGAAGATCGCATTGCAGAACTACTTCTCAACGTCACATGCAATCGACAACGCACACTCGTGTGCCACGTTTTAATTCTCAGCAAGCATCGTTTGTTGCATGTGACCCCAGCGGAATTCTGATTACGAACTCGCTAACTTTGAGAACCCGGTTCAATCGTGAATGGCCGCCTGCATTCAAGTTCCAGCTTCTTTTCCAGCAGTGCCATCACCACCGCGCTCTAAAGCCCTTGAACCACTCGGCCACCTTCTGTCTTTAGCCTCTATTACAATTGTCTTTGTTGCATACATAACAGCGCCGAATGATCCGGTCTGAAAAGTAATTTTAGTTGCTCAGAATCAAAATCAGAATAATTATTTTTACTGGAGGAATCTGATGAGCGATAAAGCTCTTTTCACAGATGTCCAGCAGGGGCAGGTCAGAACGTTGATGTACTCATAATGTGCAGTGTTATGGTTTAGCAATTACTAATAAATGTTTGCAAAATTGTGAATGTGCAAGTGTTCACCAACCTTTAAACCGCTATATAGTTCGGTCTCATCTGTCAGTAATTCTTCAAAACACAGGAAAATAACCAGAACTGTGGAGCTATATATATTCTTGGTTCTTTCGGTAAAGTCACGTAGAAGGGAAATAATAAAATAATAAAAATATTAAACAATAAAATTCTCACGACGTTTTCTTGCTGTGGATTTCACACCTGCTGATGATTGCTTGTGTTGCAGTCGAAACGTCGTGAGAATTGTATTGTTTTATATTTTTATTATTTTATTATTTCCCTTCTACGTGACTTTACCGAAATAACCAAGAATATGAATCCCTGCAGTCACGAAAGCTTTAAATCAAAACTGTAGAGCTATTAAACATAAGCGCGACATTTGAGTAGTTATCCTGCAAGGCCTTGGGTTACGTTTGCATGGCCCGTTGTGTGAATGTTCTTACGCGTGTGCTTTTGTGCAAAGGTTTCTCAAGCACTTTGAAGTTAGCAGTGTGCTGATGGACCCCATCCTGTCCAGCCATTTCAAATTGCTGATAAATCCATCGGAGAATGAAAATCAAGCCAACGAAGACCTCCGTGGGAAGGTTAGTGTTTTGAATTTGAAGCATTTCATTCAAACACAATGCATGTACAAAAGCTAAAGGGTAACTAGAGCAACATGACTGAGTCCTTCAAATGCGTCACACATTAATGATTAAAAGTTGTTTTTACTTATTTTAGTATTTTGTAGTTTCCATTTTTTCACAAGCGTCCAAATGCGACTTTATATTTAAGAGTACTGCGTGAAACGAGAGCTCACTTTCAACCCACGTGCTTTCCCCTGTACATTCTGATTGCGTACATAAATTCTAACTCGGGAGCTCATAATTGGATGGCACGTAGTTTCATCACGGGAAGTGGTTTTAAGATGGAACGCAGAGAGAGGTGATAAATGAATGAATTCTGAAGAGTGGACCGTCGTATGTGTTGAGTGGCGTTTCCTCTTAGATGGTGATCACAATCATCACGGGCCTGCCCGGCAGCCATCGGGAGCGCCTCTGTGCTACTCTTGTCAACCTCAGCAAGGAGCATGATAGGTACAGGCAACCACATGTACACCTATACCCGACGTTTCATGCCAATTCAACACCAAATGCAGTTTAAATAGTTTCGAACAAAGACGGTCACTGCGTCGAGTGCTTTCAGATGCGCTTCTGCAGCTATCTGGAATGCTCTTCCCTCCGATATTAGGAAGCCACTGGAGCTATGCACTTGTAAATGTAGTTTGAAAACTCTTTTTTTTAGAACTGCTTTTCCTGTTTAGTTTGTTGTCCTTCCCCTGCTCCTCTGATTAACATGGTTGGCTACGTACGGTGCGAAAAAAGTTCAACGTACATATGTGAGATAAGCATTTTTAAAACATCTTCCAGGGACTCTAGAATGCTGTTCCATTTGCTTTGTTTTGTTAGTGATGTTTAAGTGTTCCAATAATAACCGTAGCATGTGCAGTCACCTGGTTTGTGCTGTACTGACAGGTTGTTGAACCTGGTGAATTGGTCTCGGATGATGTAACTTGCAGTGTAGTTATGCTTGCAATAATAAATACAACACCTTGAATGTCATTGGTTTAATTGGCAAGCGATGTACACGGGGCCCTAGAAAGCTCGATGCATGATGCACCGTGTGCATCGCTTGCCAATTAACCAATGAAATTCAAGGTGCTGTTGTATATATTTGCATTGTGGACTGTCGTCAACCAAAGAGAGTTTTAATATTTTCTTGTGTTTTAAATGTTGCAAACCATCGTAGAGCCTGCTGCTGTTGGCCGTGCTGCTCACTCGGAGCACAGCTGGCTCAAAGGTAGCTTACCTACTCCCATTCGGGTCCAAGGTGCATCAGCTGGAAAAGTATTGCTTCTGCCATGTGCTCTATCCTTCAAAGAGAATTGCAGATCACATTCCCCCATAGAGAATTGCGATGAGCAGCTTGTGTTGACACACTTGAAATGGCATTACAATCTGTAGTATGTTGTTGTACACAACAAAAATTTATTTATTCATGCAAAAGTTCAGCTTGTAAAGATGTATTCGCATTTTCTGTGAAGTAAAAGTGAGTCAATGTGAAAGATTTTATTTGATACATTTTTCCATGCTTAAAATTAATGAGCCAAAACATACTTGTGTGTGTGTGTCTATAAATAGAAAATCGTGGGAGTGAAATAATCCACAGTTTGTATCCTGCACATGTAGCATGACACTTTCCCCCCTGTAGTTGTCTGTGCAATGAAATAATTAATCAAAATGTCACGGTGAACCAAAAATAGGGCTTCATTGTAACGCGGTGCGGCTGCAGCGTCCGCATCCCCTGTGAAAAGACAATCAATTACGGCGATGCCTTCACAAGCCTCCAGTGGATTTGAAAGCGAGTCATGTGCTTGGAAAGAAGCATCGGTAGTGCAGTGAAACGTGCGGTGAAGAGCGTTTGCCCATGTGTCGGCGTCGATGTCTCCCTGCATTGCGTAGAGTCTTCCCTGTGTTTTAGAATCTACCGGCTGATGGGGTGTTGATGGGGGTTGTGCACACCAGTCCGTGTCCGCTGACCATTGGGTACATTATGCATTCAACTTTGCTGTGCATCTCGCACTGCGTGGCATGCGGTGAATGATAATTATGATTGCTTTAGCGCCACACTGATTTTCGCAGTGTGTGTGATTGTTCCAGCACAAATCCAAATCTTTTACCTGGTCAAATTCTATTCTTTCAGTATGGCAATGCTGTACGTTCAGAAGCGAAATGCCAATGCCAAGGTCTGCTGGCCATGAGAGGGCTTCATGATTACTCACGTTGATAGCTTGTGAGTCCTTCGATATTTAGTTGGTTACACTCAAAGACCTTGTCCGATCGGTTTCTGGCCTTTAAAAAAGGGATTTTTTTTTCCGGCATTTAGCTCATATCTGGGTACAAATGGACAACGTCCATTTCGCCTAGTTGACGTTATTAGTTGTATACCATATTATTTACCTTCTACTTGACTTTACCGAAAGAACCAAGAATATGAATCCCTGCAGTCACGAAAGCTTTAAATAGAAAGGTATTAGTTGTGTTTAAGGAAACACGTGAGAAGGTTACCGTCTCCTCCCCATCCTGGTCAATGAGGGAAGGGTAGTACACGCAGGGCTCGACTTCAAACACACCCGAGCTTACGAACACCCGCATTTACGAACGGGACCCAGGAACTAATTACGTTTGCAAGTCGAGGACTTGCCCGTACTCATCTTACGCTGGCAGCCCTGAGCTAGTGGTTAAAATTCCATGTTTGTATGGCGATGGGTAGTCGCTGCATATGCCATGCACCTCTGTACGGTGCGAAAGAAGTTCAAAATGCATACATACATATGTAGTGAGTCACTCCGAGACACTAATAGTAGGAGGCAGTTTATTATTGACTGGCACAGGGAATAACTACACTCTGGTCAGGACAGCTAACAGGCTGCCTGACCAACGATGCTGAGAAGGTGATGACGGTGACGAAGATCCCTGCAGCACGACGGGTTCCACTCCAAACAACAGCCGCGAACCTTCGCTCGGGGTCCCCCGTTTATCCACCGAGCCCCCCTTTTAGAACCTACCCAAAGATTCTCGGCTTTACCCCACGTGCCCCCTCTGTCACCTTTGCCCCACTTCCATCACTCCGGCTTATCACGTGACCTGCTGGCAGAGAGGGCTTCTACAACAGCCAGCAACCAGCGCTACACGCTATAGTGACCCATTCCATGTCACTACACATACATGCACTGTTATATGGCACGGTAGAAAATGGAGCAAGGAATCTCTACATTTGTGTTTGCCTCAATAATTTGTTGTAAAACATTGTCACTGCCGCAAATAATTAACATCACGATGACATGATTCGTATATCTGATGAGATGAATAAATAACTCTTAAGTGGATGTTGTATTTTTATGTAATTCGTAAGAGTTTACAGAGGCGGCATTAAAAAAACTTTTGCTGCTGCATACCGTAATAATGTTGCGTTCTTGTCTTTTGTAGAGACAGACCCTTTCATCTACAAGCAATCCATCAACTCGAGCATTTAGCTTATTAATTTTATTACAAGCGTGCACCACAGCATCAGGCAAAGTTAATCGAAATAATCAAATTAAGGCCGAAAGCTCACATTGCCATATGAAGTACAAGTAAAGTGATGCTTTGAAGTGTCCATGCGTCTGTTTTTTTTATTTAAATCAACTGCTTCAGGAATTAGCAAAAGGGGCATTTTTTGGATGGTTAAGTGTCTTTACGTGTTATTTTGTTCACGCGAAAATTTCACGTCACAGCTCGCTGTATCCTTTAGAGGGTTAAATAGGGTAAAAACAAGTTTACATGGTGCAAAACAGCATTCGTGATTAAGTGGCAATCGCCGTGGGCTCATAGCAGTATCAACATGTTGAGTAGTAGCCAAGGGAGGGAACGCACTAGAGAGGACATCCACTGTACAGATGAAGCAATGAAATCAGTTCGTGTGCAGGTGCTGGGTGGATTGTTACATCACATCATGATCATGAAAGAGTACCACAGCTTGGGGAGGCATTCATCCGGTTGTGGGTTGATCATGGCTGCTGATGATGATGCCAGTGTAAAACAATGGAATTGCTTGCGGCGCGGTGAGGAGATGTTAATTCCCTCGCCTGGGTTGCAGGAGGTCGTGGATTCTATCCAGACCCTGACGCCTACATATTTGGAGTTCGCGTGTTCTCCCCGTGGTCGCGTGGATTTTTCTCCGGGTCCTCCGGTTTTTCCCTCCACATTAAGAATCGGCATCACGCGTTTAAAGTATTTGGCTGCTCTACATTTCTACGTGATAAGCCACTTTGTTGAGAAATCATTTGTGGCCAGGTCACTTCTGAAAAAGAGCAATATAGCTCAGTAGGCCATACCTTGTAAAATTAAAAAATAGTTTAGTCGTTTTAGAATTCCCAAAGTCCGTCCTCCACCCCCCTCCCCCACTTCGTGCCACAAGCTTTTTCCCAGAGCTCACAACAAGCGGCCTCACGTTGTCGTGCAGATGGGCCGTGCTCCACAACGCTACGGAGAGCGGCGCGGAGCTGAACGCTGCGGCACTGCAGCGCTACTTGAGCGGAGTCCTCCAGTCGCACCTCTACCGCAGCCCCCGCCACGCGCTCATCACCAGGAAAAAGCTGCGCATCCTCATGCTCACTCCCGGGTAATAGCTGCTTCTGAAGCCACGGAGACGCTCGCGCGCACACTCTGCGCCCTCTCGTTGCGGCAAGATGGCACGTTGGTCACACTCGCGCGTCACGGCAAAAAAGGGCCTGGTTTCGATTCGCGACTCGGGTGCCTGTGTGGAGTATGTCAGAAGCAGAGTCTTTTATTGAGGTTGGAGGAATCTGATGAGCACTGAAGCCCTTTTTCACAGATGTCCAGTGTGACATGTTCTCTTTTTGTATGTTCTCTGTCTCACCCCCCTGTTCTGCGTGGGTTTCCAGCGGGGTTCTGCGGTTTCCTCCCATAGCTAAAAAAAGAACATACAATGTAACTGGTAGTGGCCATACATTCCATTTAAAGAAAAAATACCTGCAAATTTCTCGATGGGGATTCACATACAGCAGCTCCCTGCCTGTGAAAACTTTGCAGGATACTCCTGAACAAGAGACTGTGAGGCTCTCGCAGGTAAACAAGTGTAGTGATGAATACAAATAAATAATCATTGCAATGGGCACCTCGTAAAGCAATCACTAAGGTGATGGGCATCTATATTTTTTACATATTATACACACGAACACGGATTACATTTTATTATGCGTTATGTGTTTCATATTTTCCAAACTAAACAGTGTGTAAATTATTTTGTTATTTTGACAAAAATGAAATTCATGTGCTATTTGTTTTATGTGACAATTTTGGTGTGGCTAAGTGCAAAGTCCAGCAACTAGGGGTTTGAGTGTAATACTTTACCGCAGCTCCCTGAGTAACCCCTGGGTCACGTGATGTATAAAGGGCACAGCAACTTGTGACCAGATGCAATGCAATCGCACCGTGATAAAGTATTGGGTTGATTGGCGACTCTTGAGTAAGTTGACGTAAATCTGTGACCACGATGATTGTGTGCAATTCGTATTGGAAGGTTTTTTTTTTGGTGTGGGCTTTAGGCGTGTATTTGATAAGTCAGCTACGTGTGTTTGGCCAAGTTGACATAAATCTATGACCACGATGATTGTGTGCAATTCTTATTGGAAGGATTTTGTTGTTGTGGGCTTTAGGCGTGTATTTGATAAGTCAGCTACGTGTGTTTTGGCTGGGTCGCCATTTGAAAAAAGGGCCTCACCCAAATTGAGCCGAGCCGTGTGTCACAGCGATGGCGTAAGGCAAGTGGTTCTTAACCTTTACTGCAGCGTTGCACCCTTGTGGTTCTCAGTCGTAATTTGTTTTATAATGTTAATAAATACACAGGGTTTTATGCAACAAAGTAGTTGCACTTACGTGCCCGTGCTTAATTTGTGTTTCGACGATTTACCTTCTAAATAATCTGGCTTCCTCCTTGTTTTTATCTCAACATTTTATTGAATTGTCATCAACAATTAGAATTAGCAGAAGCCCTTCTCCAAAACAATGCCACCACGCACAAAGTCCTGATAACAGCAGTGGCCAGTGCCTAGTTCTCAAGCACTCTGCTGCAGCTGCCCCATCCACCTTGCAGCCCCGGATCTGAAACTATTCGAACATCCATCTGTTCATCCATTTGAAGGATGAACGGCACGTTCCACATTTCGATCTCATTACACGGCGGTAAAGGAATGCTGTTTCACAAACGATTGCAGGACGAATCTTTCTGCCGTGCTCCTAGATGCACATTGCCACGAATGCATGAAAAATTATGTTTTGAAAAAGAGCCACGTTTTTCACGACCTATCCACGAATGATCATCAGAAATATTTCAGGAGTTGATTGAAAAAAAATACTAGGGAAATGAAACAGGAGGCATTAATGTTGGGGGTATGCCTTGTACACAGTGGAAGTGTTTACAAAGAATCGCTTCTTTCAGCAGTTGCGTAATCATTTTGTGTAAGAATTTCTTGCCTAGTTAAATTAGTGTGGGCTGTGGCATTGCAAGGTGGTGTGTGGGGAGGCCATCAGGAGTGGATAAACATGGCTAATGATGATGATGATGACATTTTAATTGCTCTCCCCGATTCTCACGGCTTGCTTACCTGGTGTAAGAATTGCACATTAATATGAAACGTAAATACGTATTTTTAGATTGCATTAGCCCGATGCAAAGCATGCCATTGAGCGGTATTTTAAAATTTGCTAATCACAATCTGAGCTGCACTCCTGCATTGCCATTCTGCATTGAGGGAGGGCATGCAGGACCTAATTACATGCTTAGTATTCTATATTTATAATATTCTATATTATATATATATGTCCACGCAACACCGAGAACTTGGTGTGTAAAGTTATATATATTGTAACGGCAAATCGTGCGGCATTTAAACCACGTTCATAAGGAGCAGTTTGGTTAATGTAAAGTCATAAAATATATAATGCCCTGTAAAAACTTAAACAATAAAATGAACAGCTCTTGTTAACGTAGTGCGTTTAACATGAAAAATAGCAGTCGGAGTTCATATTCTTGGGTCTTTCGGTAAAGTCAAGTAGCACCACGCCTGGCCACCTTTGTTTCCCTTATGGCGGTGTTTACACATCGCACCAGTAACTCATTTGAAGTTGAGTCGACCTAGAGGAGACCCAGGACCGGTTCAGGTAATCGTCACTGGTGTAGGTTGTGAGCGGGAATCCCTAACCACTGCGCGCCACTGCTCCGCGCTATGCATTTGTATCCACACACACTTACATACATACGACGATTGTATGACTCACTCTCTTCTATTTTAATCTTTTAACAGCTTTGCAGATGTTGTGGATGTGGTCCAGGCAATTAGGACTCACCCAGATCCCAGTGTCAAGTCGCACTTTGTAATTGGAGCCATAACAGCTTGCGTTAACCCCCTGGCTGCATGCGTGGAGCACAGGTATGTACGCCACTCACAGCCTCCTGGTGGTGGAACGAACCGCAGAGTCGATGCGCCCACCTGAAAACACGAGCACCTTTATCAACACGACAGTGAAAGATGGCCAAAGTTTGCTTTCACATCGATGTTGATATTGATTGTTCCATTCGTTGCAACTAAAGGCACACGAGCACCTTTATCAACATGACAATGAAAGATGGCCAAAGTTTGTTTAAATATCGATGTTTTGATTGTTACATTCGTTGCAACCAAAGGCTTTGATGTTATAGATCAAACATTTCTCCTGTACTCATTACCCTAAGCATTCTTTTTTTTGCAGTTAATCTATTTGTAGCTTAGGTGGCACATTTAAATAGTTTTGTGATTGTCCAGCTTCTAGCCTGATTTGAAATGGCCTGTTTACATTATTCTCGATCATTGGTAAAACTGTGCGGTTATGGCACAAACTTGTCAAATTGAAGGATTACCCATTATCATCATTATTAAATGACTACAAATTAATGATTCCTGTTCATGATTGTTCAGGTACAACGACCATGTGCAGTTCTAAAAAGCACACAACTTGATGAGGCAATAATTGATATACATATATTCTATCTTTCAGGAATTAGAATTTGTATAGTTTAAAACCCATTTTTATTTGTTTAGTTAAACACGTGTTGTGTGTATTAGAGTCTTTATTGCAACCAGCATGAGCACACCATTGTAATGCGCATTCATACGCAAGTTTCACGATATCCAGCATTTTAATTCTTCTTGAACATTCTCTACTCGTGTCAAGAGGCACATCAGATTGGCACAGTAGGCTACGTGCGGTGCGAAAGAAGTTCAACATACATACAACAGACGCTACTGTGCTGAGTCGTGCTATCCTGATTATATATAACCGTTGGGCTTTACTTTAGACCATTCAGGTGACTGGCTGAAGCTATCGGGTCCCTCATTACGGAATCTCGCGTGGTATTTTGACCGTGCTTGGTTCGTTGGAATACCGTAGACCAGCGGTCCCCAACCTTTTTGGCACCAGGGGCCGGTTTCGTGGAAGACAATTTTTTCACGGATCGGAGGGGGGGGGCGTTCATCATTGGGTCTTTCCCCCGTTGCAAAGAAGCTCTCCAGCGACGTTTGTTTTTTACTAATGTTGGCTAGGGGTTAGCAGCTTGTGGGCTTACCAAAACTGTGACTGAGGCAAGTGTGCGGTGCGGGGAAGAGGCGCGGACGGAAGTGGTCAATAATAAAACAACGGGGGCGGGCCACGCGCGGACTCACCGCTCTCACCTCCTGCCGCTGTGCGGCCCGGTTCCTAACAGGCCACGGACCGGTACGGGTCCACGGCCCGGGGGTTGGGGACCCCTGCCGTAGACAACTACCCCCACTTATATTTACTGCCCTGGTTTTTCCAAAGGGTTATATGTTTTAGTGTTTTGCTCCAAAGGAAGCAGTACTGATGAAACTAAATGTAAACAGCTTCCTTGACCTGAGAAATGTTTATCTTACGAGTGGACTACAGTCCCCGACTCGGAGCAGGTGCTGACGTGCTCGTCACAACATGAACATACATAAACAGTATCTACATATAATGTTTGAAAAAATATGCAATATACAAATGTTACACATGGATTTAATTTCACTAGACACCTAAATTATGACAGTTGTGATGTGGCTAAATGTGCAACTATTAATCACAATGCCAAAATGTACTTAACAGGTGAATGTTGCCTCTGCTGTAATCCCTAAAATACAACTGTTGTTCTCTACCTTGAGTGGCACATGTTGAATGTAGTGTAATGTTCATCTTCTTGGTTCTTTCGGTAAAGTCACGTAGAAGGAAAATAATAAAATAATAAAAATAAAACATAATAAAATAATTCTCACGACGTTTCGGCTACAATGCCTCACCTGAGGACGGCTGATTGCGTTGTAGCCAAAACGTCGTGAGAATTATTTTATTATGTTTTATTTTTAATATTTTATTATTTTCCTTCTACGTGACTTTACCGAAAGAACCAAGAAGATGAATCCCTGCAGTCACGAAAGCTTTAAATAGAAAAATAGTGTAATGTTTTTAGCCTCCACACCCACAGGGTGGCAATTGTCAGCGTGCCGTCGGTCATGCACCTCCTCGTTTCTCTGCTCGACCCTAAAAAAGGGTACTTGGTGTCAAAGTTATTTTCTCTGTTGTTACCGGCACCACATTTGACTGTGGAATACTGCAGTTGAGCCATTTTTAAACTAGCGACGGGAATCGAATGGAGCTAACAGCCCGTGTCGCCAAGTTACGGTTATGTCTTCACAATTATGTTAAGTTGGCAATACTGAATAGTTTGCATTCGATCGCAAGAGACCTTATAAAATATAATTTTCACCAAACAAGTAAGAAACTTGACTTGGTCAGGTGAACGTTGCCTCTGCTGTTCTTTATGAACAAAATTTTTTATTGTGATGTCAATTATGTCAGAGTCGATGAAGTACAGCAAGTGGCACCGACTACTGAAGTGTATTTAGTCATTTGCGTCTTACTAACTACAACACTAAGGGAGATGTGTGAAACACAATGTAGTTCGAATAAATGTGGCAGGAAAAAAGACCGCAAAGGTTTGCGATGCAGCTGACATGGGCTACACGTTTACTGCTGGGCCACTTTCACAGGTTCAACAGTCCAAAAGTTAGAACTCTTTTGCCACCCAGTATTGATTGGGAGACTTTATTGTAAAACTCTAAATTTGTATTCGAATATTGATATTATTGGCTCAGTAATTATATCAGTTTTTATTCAGTATATTCTAAGGGTTTTTTTTTCTGTCATATACTGATTTGATCCAGCGTAAAAACATGTTTCAAATGAGTAATTTGACTACTTGCGCATTGTCAACAGATGGAAATCAAAATTTACTTTTTAGCGTTTCAATAAAAAATGTGCATAACAACTGTTCGGAATGCTCAAACGGTGTGTGTGTGTGTCTCTGTGTATTGAACAGCCTCACCTTTCCAAAACTACTCGAGCAGTGCGCACAAGGTCAGCTTTTTATGTCATTTTACTGGCGTTAAACTATAACGCATCATTTGCAAGATGTCAGCGTTCAAATTCCGTATAGTGCAGTCAACACTCTGTATTTTACGTCATACTGCCAATAAACCAGAACACGTAATTTGCAAGATGTCAGCGTTGCTGTTCCAATACCTGTCCCGTGCGGGAAATGATTGAGAGTGAAGCTCGTCGGCTGGGGGCCAGGGAATCCCAGGGGATTTTGCATCTTTGAAAGTAGCTCGAGTTTGTGTTTCCTTTCAAAGGTATTATTTCGTGGTGCCACGGTGGTGTGATGTTAACTACCTCGCCTTGTATACAGGAGGTCTTGGGTTCGATCCCGACCCTGACGCCTGCTGCTGTATATTTGGAGTTCGCATGTTCTCCCAGTGGTCGCGCGGATTTTTCTCCGGGTCCTCCGGTTTTTCCCTCCACATTTAGAATCAATGTGCGTTTCGAATATTTGGGCTGCTATATATACATTTCCATGTGACAGGCCATTTCGTTGAGCAATCATTTGTGAAAGCCAGGTCGCTTCTGAAATAGAGTGATATTGCTCAGTGGGCCTTACCTGGTAAAATAAAAAAAACAGTTTAGTTCAGTTTATAGTTTTGACGACAATTGCTGACCCTGACCTGCGGTGGATAACATACCTATTAACAGAATGCATCGTATACTTGCTTAATAAAAGTGCGATAAAAAATGTTTTACATGTCGGCCTTTCCTGATTTGACCATTGGACGAAGTAGCTCAAGTTGCTCATGTAATCTAAATCACTTCAGATCTGTCGTCCAGGCCCATTCATTGGTGTCGTTTGCAAATGACAATACAGCTACACCTTAAATAATTTCTTAATTCCATCCCTCTTTCACAAAGCAGTGCAATTTTAATGCAAAATACAAATATACAAATATAATTTACGGATGACATGATGTAAACAAAACGCCGTGGTAAAGTAGAGGTTTAGAATCACCGAGTTGAGTTGTCAATCGATGTTCAGTCACCGCGTTGATGGATGGCATTAGACAGAGTGGGCCACGTGATGTCTGCAACCTTCACTCCAGCCCATCACTGATGTCGTGAGTCAAAGCAAAGTTGGGCAAAACAGCGTACGGCAACAGAGGCCTTGGTCTGTCTGTATTGCAGTTCAACAAATCTCGTTGCAAGTTACTTGTCGGTGTTTTGACACGGAAGCGGACTGGCTTCTCAACAAGGCGATGCACAAGTAATACGACGTGGCGGGTGTCGCTTTGACTTTGCGGTGATCTGGACGTGCAGGCTGGGCCAGTAACGTGGTGCTGACGGGGCCCAACCACGAGAAGCAACACCCACGCGTCAAGCAGCTCAAGGAGCTGATACGCCTCGTCAACCCCAGCGCCGCACTCATCCAGGCAGAGAACGGCAATGTCAGCAGGTACCGAGAAGGTCTCTTTAGTAGGGGAGTTTTAATTTACAGCTCGTTGACTAAAGGGTGAACGTTCTTCTCAACTGAAAGGTCGTTTTGTGTTTTTTTGACGGAATTCGGCCATCTTTGTTTCTTGCTGGTTTTGCTCCAGATGACAATTGTTGTTGTTCGTTAGCTTTTCCCTTACTTTGGTGGGGAGGGTACGGTTGTGTTCTGGGGGTTTTTGGAGATGTTCCTGTAGTACAGTTCGTACACACGAAGGGTTTGCCGCTTGCGTTTCTAGTTTTGGCACCGGTATTTTTTCCAATCGCTTGTGTTTATAGCGGTGGGTGAGATTCAGCACGGGTATTTAGATTTGACCCTCCTCTTTCCTCCTTTATTTACACGTTTAGTTGAAATATTTTCATTATGTTTGTCATATGCCCTAGAGAAGCTCGGCTATTGTCTGTGATTGCATCTGCCTTTTCTAAAAATACTAAACATTAATGGATGATTAACGCCCAACGCAATGTTTTTATGTTTTCCTTTCAGCATCGGCTTTGAAGTGATTGTCGAGGCCGAACTGCAAATGGCAATGACTCATTTTATAATAGTCTGAATTAGGGTCAACCCAATAAAGTTTAAACCTTTTAAGCAGTAACCACTTTTTTAAATTGAAGCCATTGCTGAAGATTCTATAGCAGTTGCGGTTGTTTGCCGGTCAGCGCAGTTGAACTTGTGTGTGACGTACTTTGGTGACAGCCCTGTGTTTTGCTACTTCACATGTTGCTAAGCTGGATTGTTTGGGCACAGAGGAGTTCATTATCATGCATTTTAACATTTAATAATGGCAATTGCACCCACAAGTAGGCAATGCAAGCCTGATGCCACAGCAGAAGTGGCTAATAAACAGCCTGATCCCATGGGACAGTTTTGTTATTATGAAACAAAAATTGTTCATGTTAATTCTGCCTGCATGGCCCCCGGCATGAACACAACATGTAATACGGGAAGTAACAGAAGGACCATTGCCCAAAATGTCGCCGATTTTATATATGCTTTAATCCTTTCAGGCTGATTTGCTCACAAGCGTGTGTGTTTAAATTGTTGTTGTTGTGTGTGCTTTTGTGCACCACTGCCAATGCAGCAGCATCACCAAATTATGTTTTTCCTTTGAGGTTGTGCAATGGTATATGACTGCATTTCTGAAGAAGTCAAAAAAATGCTTCTTCCAAATTTGGGTACAGAATGTCATTTGTATTATTATTTATTATTTAGCAACCTTTACCAATCATTATGTAGTTATGGTGGTATTATTCCTGGTTCTAACTGTTTGATCAGCAGGTCACGTATGATGGATTTTCTCACCTGTGCCAGCATGAAAGAGTAGGCCAAATACCGTCTAGTGGAGGCCCTTCAGCCATCAGTGGCGTGCACATGGCAGGGCTGCATCGTTGCCTTTTATATTTGCAATGCAGCTATTGTTTCGCCTCTCCTATTTCTATCAAACCAAAAACCCCAAATACACTGGTTGATTTCTCTGGGTGTAACTACATGTACAAACTATATATATACATATTCTTTGGGTCTTTCGGTGAAGTCACGTAGATAGGTAAAATATTTTTACAAAAATGTACGACGTTTCGATCGCTTGTGTTGCCATCGAAACGTCCTAGTTTTTTGTAACATTTTTGAACCTATCTACGTGACTTTACCGAAAGACCCAAAGAATATGAATTCCTGCAGTCACGAAAGCTTTAAGTCAATATATATATACACACCTTGACCTGTATAGGGTGTGTAAAAGTACCGGATAAAAGTTGTTGATGGTGTGCCCACCTGTGTACTCTTAGGTTTTTTCGGTAAAGTCACGTAGGTTAAAATAAATAATGAAAGTAAAAATAATAGAAATAATAATAGAAATAAAATTATAAATCACGACGTTTCGGAGGCAACACAAGTCTCCGTCATCAGGTGGGACCGTCACAGCTAGATTTACTGTATCAAGTGAGGCAAAATTCCAAGAGACAAGCTCTTAAATAAAAGTTAAGGGGGGAGGAGGGGGGAGGGGCTTATCTGAATGTGGTAGCCAATGAATGGGACGTGTTGGGGGAGGGGGTGGGCGGGGCTAAACGAGAACAATAGGCGCAACATGTTGTTTTACCCGGTGTTGGTTGACAATCCAAATACAAAAAGGAGAGTACTGTTAAACGCTGGGGATGTCAACACTCGGTAAAGTAGAATAGTACCTGTCAAATAAGATGGTCCAAATATGTGTAGTTAAATCTCTTTTACATGGTTTTTCCATGGTTAATAACACCTGTGTGTTGGCAGGGATTCACACATCGCCTCTTGTTTGTGAACAGGAACGAGGACATTGAGATGATTTTGTCTGAGAACAGCTTCAATGATGCGGCCATGGTTCGTGCTCGTCACTTGCTCACTCCGGGCTGGTGAGTTACAATCGATTGTCTGCTCACCATAGATGAGTGTCAAAACAATTCATTCCTAGACAGGTGCATGTTATCATTCAGAAGCCAGCACGTCCCCCGTGGCTGCTCTCGTATAATTCAACAAATTATTTGGCGCCTTTTTTAGCACTACTTTGTGTGTGTGTTTTTTTTAAGTGCACTTGTTGAGCACAGGCGCCAAAACCCCAAAGGGCTGGCAACAACAGCGTTGAGTGTGTAATAGACATGAGTTGATGACATTTCTTGAATTGACAATTGGGGAATTGGCAAAAAGAGACGAATGGGAGAAAATGTATGTATATATGTATGTTGAACTTCTTTCACACCGTACATTGCCAACCGTGCTAATTGGAGGTGCAGGGGAAGGACAATAAACTAAACACAAAAAGCAGCTCTAAATAAATGAGTTTTCATTCTAGATTTAAAAGTGCATAGCCCCCAGTGGCTTCCTAATGTCGTCAGGAAGAGCGTTCCAGACGGCCGCAGAAGCGCGTCCAAAAGCTCGCGATGCGGTGGCCGTCTTTGCTCGATGGCCAGCCAAAAACCGCTGCTGTGAGGAACACCGGAGTTTACGTGATGGTTTATGCTCCTTGACGAGATCAGCAAGCTATTGTGGATCATTTGCGGCAAGCACGTTGTGTGTAATGAGTGTGACCTTATCACGTATTTGTTCGGTAACTTCAAGCCAATGCGGCTCAGCGAGCACTGGACGGACTGGATCAGATCTTGAAATATCCGTCACGACACGTACCAGAGACATTTGTACAGGCTGCAGCTAGATAAAAATCTCTAGAGTCGGGCAGTGCGAGGCAGGAAGCAGAGAGAGACGAGCGTTTGCGATCCGCACGTATGGTGAGTGCATTCGTAAGCAAGCACGTGAGAGTTCCCCGGTGGCTTGAGCGAGTTCGTAAAACATTAACCATGACAGCAACCGCATTAAATGTATGATTAACAAACCTCTTGTCGCATTCCTCTCCTTTGGAAAAATGGGCACGTGAGTGTACGCTGACTTTACATGTGTTTTTTAAAATGAGTTTGCGCAAGACGTATCACTGGCAGGCATACGCATGTATGGATTTGCATGTACGTAATATGACCTCTAAAGATTAGAGCCTGCTAAGAGATGATGAACAGAATTACAGCATTCATGGCTTTTATGGAGAAGCAGAAATGTAAGTCGGAAAACTCTAAAACAGATGAGAAGAGGAGTTGAGTTTTTACGTCTCTGCGAGGAGGGAGAAGGTGTACCTGCGACCTGCTGTTACGGGGTCGCGTGTAATCAGTGCGACTTCATACCACGATAATCGCTATAAGTTGAATTGTCACATTTGCTCTGAATCTGGGTCTCCCATGAAAAACAGGATTTTAGTTTCGGTGGGCTGTCCCTGTCAGCATGCACATCCATACCGTTTAAATAATAAAACCAATTGAAGTAACTTTCAAATATAATTAGGTTCAATTATTTGACTTCATTTTAAAATCAACGTGTCCCGTTTTACTTTTGGGATCCAGGTCTGCCTTGAATAAAAGCCTCCTAGTTCCAATGGGTTACAAAATTTCAACTCGTGGATGTCTATGGAAAACTAAATCTCAGCAAATTCATCATAGGCGATGTTTTAGACAATTGCCCTTTTTTGTAGCATACAAATGATCACATTGACGAATGCGAGTTCTTTCGTTAACTATGCTTGTGCGGCACTGTCAATGCAGCATCAACGGATACATTTGTTCAATTGTGGAGAACTCAGCATTTTTGCCTTTTATTATCAGATTTTTTTTACTCTGCAAGTGCAGTTACACGGCAGTGCAACAACATTAACCGTTCCATTATTCTTGCATGTAAAACCTAGCTTTATTAGGTCACTTATAATGCGATATAAAGACTTCATACAGCGTCTATAGAAGTTTTGTTTCAACTGCCAGCTTGACGGTTGTAATGAGGTACTCGGTTCATACATTCCCTATACGGAGTATTTATACGCACTGTGTCTGTTACAGTTCTGACTGTTTACTTTTTGTTTCCTCCGTCGGCAGGGCAAGTGGCATGTTTAGCTCGGGTGCGGCGTGCCCTGCCATGCAGCAGATCTCTGTTCGCTTCAACCGTCCCCTGGAGAAACCACTGTTCATCGGTCAATGCAAAGGTGTGCACCGCTTACTTTTAAAACTATTTTTTATTTTACCAGGTAAGGGCCCCACCACTGTGATGTGCAAGATGTTTTTCGGAAGCGACCTGGCCATCACAAATGATAGCTCAGCAAAGTGGCTCATCGTCACGCGAAATGTATAGCAGTCAAATGTGGAGGGAAAAAGCGGGGGACCCAGAGAAAAACCCACGCGACCACGGGGAGAACATGCAAACTCCAAATATACAGCAGGCGCGAGGGTCGGGATCGAACCCACGACCTCCTATATACCAGGTGAGGTAGTTAACATCTGGCCACCACGGCACCACTGCTTACGTGGCGAGCCAAGCTGTTAAACGGTGACTTTGCGAGGTGGTGCTTGTGTGTGCGCTGTTAACCGGACATGCAGTCGCGCAATGGTTAACGTGCACCGCAATTATGAACCCAGCCACCTCACTTGGCCCTGCGCTAATGTGGGCGGAGAGTTCTATGTGAACCAGGTACTGGGCCCCCCCCCCCACCTACAGCAACCCGTACTGTGAGACCAGCGTGGTGAAGTATGGTGAAGCAACCCCTGTGACTGACACAGCACGAGGAGGCCTTCATCCAGCAGTAGAGTAACAAAGAGGACTGGAAATTATTACGAATATGTATTCTTACTCGCAGGCGGGAGGGCAGCCCCACATCTTTACGAAGTAAATAAAAATTTGATGCAGGTGTTTTACAGCGCACTCTGACATCCATAAAAAAAATTACCTCTGTAAAAACCTCAACCTATGGTGTTCATTCTGGGGAATGGGGTTGTGCAAAACGGAGCCATTTATGAGGGGTCATTGCTGCTCTTGTTGACTGAAAAGTCAACGCAACGCTTTCTTGATGGTTAAGTATATTTAAGAGTGGTCATTGTCAGAGTACTGAGATATAAAAAGCTCAATTCTTTACCCATCACCAATGCTGCGTAGTTTTGTTTCTCAGAGCAAATGCGAACCTCTTTAAGGTGACATTCGTATGAATTTAAATTTTAGCGCCACTCTAATGTGGCCGTGTGCAGCAAATGTTTTATTCATGTGTGTAGTGCACAAAGTGCATTCGTAGTGTGAACAGGTCTATTCTGCATGTCTTCAATAGCCCTGAAAGGCATGCTGTCTTCAAGTCCTTTTTGTGGGAACATCTACAGCATACAAGGCCGGCTGAAGTTTTCAGGTAATACTTTCGTTCTCTCGCTCCTTATGTTCACGCTAACATTTTTTGGCAAAATGACATTTAACATCTTGTGCAACTGCACAATGCCTTCTGGACTAGATGAGTTTGCTTTTAGAATACTAAAAACATTCAATCTCGTTTTGAGGCCTGTCTCAACATTTGCAGTGCCCACAGTGTGAATGTTGCAACTCCACAAAGCAGTTGGTTGTAAAATATAGTTGGCAATTATGCAGACATCCACGTGAGTTCAAATGGTGAGAATGAAACCACATTATTGCTCATTAAAACCTGTGTTAGAGCCTCATACAAAGGCCTTTCCCGCAAAAAGCCAAGGCATCCGTCAACTCGCTTTTATCTTGAGTCTTGCTTGACTCTCCTCGGTTTGTACGCAGAGAATGGCATCCTTCATCCTGCTGCATTGTACTTCGGCCTTGCCTGATCCTCCTCGGTTTGTCAATCCCAGACTCTCCCAAGATGGTGGAGGTGAGCCACATCACCCTGGCCAACAATTCGCTGACGCTGACGGCGACGCAGGAAGGCCCCGTCCCACGGCCCCCACCCACCCCGAGGGGCAGCGGTGGCCTCGTGGGCGGCGACGGGCAGTCTGCCGATGGCACAGCAATGCACCCGGAAGGACGGTACCACCTGGTGTTCACGGGCTGCGGATTGAGAGAGGAATACCTGAAGGACTGGCTCCGGCGCTCGGCCAAGCAGGTGCCACACCGAGCGGCGCGTCCCTCGCCAGTGCCGCCGTGAAGCCGTCGGCGTAACCGTTTTGTTTCGACGAGCGTTGGACCGTGTAATAAATGGTGACACGTTGGGCCAAAGGATTTTGCTGTTCAGCATGGAGGGGTAAAAGTGGTGGGGACTCTTTTATGAAGTACCGCTTGTAATTCTCCACATTTCCACGGGGATAATTCGCTTGTTCTGTGCTGGCGGGATTGAATGTGCCCGTGTGGTTCTTGTACATCGATCGCAAATGGTCTCGCGCTACGGATATAAAATAACCCTTCGCGCAGCACATCTTTTATGGAGATGAGACTTGAACAGATTAATTCACAACTGTTCACAGTAACCACTGGGGTATTTTACAATAGCCCAGCGTGTCGCACAAGCTTGGTTTGAAAAGCACACAACGATATGCACGTGCCATTGGGGAGGGATGTGTGTGTGTGTGGTGGCAAGGGGAGGAGGCGGTGGCGCAGTGGTTAGCGTGGCACAGCGCTCAATGAGAATCCCCCGGCTACCCGAGTACCGATTCCCGCTCACGGCCAACACCAGTGACGATTATCTGAACTGGTCCCGGGCCTCACCTGGGTCAACTCGGCCGCAAATGAGTACCTGGTGCGATGTCTAAACATTGCCAATAGGGAGACAAAGACGGCCGGGCATGGTGCTGGCCCCCCACCTCCTCCTGTGCCCGTGCCGGCCTTCATAGGTGCTCGCTCACAGCACTTGCCCCAAAATTGTGTTAAGGCTATACAGGGGATTTTAGTCTTTGATGGTGGGGTGGAAGCTACCCCACTAATGCTGCTTGCATAATGTGACAACTGCTACTACTATTTGGGGATATGGTTTACTCTATATTAACATGTTGATTAAGATATTAAACATGAAAGGCTTGTATTCTTGACATGAAAAGCAATGCATGCTTTAACCAAACAAACTACGCTTTTGTAAACTTTAGATAACTCAAATCGAGAGATTGCCGTTGACGTTTGATCAATTGTCTCGACTGTTTGCACTTTGTTACCAGATAACAAAAACCAAAATTCTAAAGACAAAAGAATCGCTGACCCAGAAGGAGATGATGAGCATTCACGTGAGTTTCTATGAACAGCATTGCCACCCAAGGCATAACACTACTTACTTCCAGACTCAACCAATCGCTACTCCACACTGTGATCATGCACAGCAGATGAATGTCATAATGTTTACCGTCACATTTTATTTGGGATGCCAACGTTAATGCAGCCAGCAGCGCAGACAACCGCGTTGCGTGTTATTGATACAACAGTGGCATTGTGGCACAGCGTGGAGGAGCTGAGATGTTCAACTTTGCTCCTGTCCAAAATTACAGTTTTATAGTTAACGGCCTCAATTGCTAAGGCGCCATGGCTAATTACAGTTTTTAATTTCAAGGAAGCATGTTCTGCCCAAGGGTTATTTATGCACAGAGATATTTTTGGTCTGAATATTTCTAAAGCATATAATTAATTCCACCAATAATAATAACTACGCCACGCAGATACGGGGCAGTTGAGTCACCGGGCTGTCAGACTGCAGGCCATTGAGCCAATTTTCACGCTGTTGACTTTTCTGTTTCCTGTCACTAACATTTGACCTCTGTGAGCAATTCATAAATCGCTAAGTGGATGTTAAAGACCATGTTATGTTAATTACACACGTAGGCTGTTTTGTGAAAGATTAATATCCCAATCCCAAAATATGAAAATTACCTTCAGCAAAATAGTAATAAAATATTGCCTTTTTAAGTTATTACATTCCGCTCTTGTGTATATAAGATTATCACTCTAAATAGGGTTTCACCTGCTTAAATACAGGACCTTTGTGTATGTGGTGATTTTACACACCAGCACTGTGTCTACATGCACAATATGTACGTGTAAAACTGTACACGAAAGGCAAAAAAGAACAAATAACCATGCAAATGTGCGTATGTATGCACTTCTTTCGCACTGTACGTAGCCAAACGAGCTAATCGGAGGTGTATATTAAGATAACGAACAAAACTGAACCACACTGCAGCAGACTGCAAGTGGGGAGTGCTAATCCATTGAAACTTCATTCTGGCCATGTCTGGTACTATATTTCGCAGGCCACAAGACACCTGGAGCCCTTGCCGCCAGGCTACTTTTACAATGGAATGCAATTCATTAACTTCTTTGGAGAGAAAAGCAATCAACACCCTTGTATCCTTTTGAGCATTCGTTTTACACGTCTGATGTTGGGGACGGGGGGGGGTGTAAAAAAAAACAGCTTCCGGGATATTGTTAGCTGATGTCTGTACGTGTGTGTGTCTGTCAGAATGCTTTACGGTTGTGCAGCGATGTGTTCATCTGGCTATTTGTAAGCTGTTCAATTTTCAGGTTTATTATTGAGAACTCAAGAGACCAGGATAGAGTCTTGTTTTGGAAGCGTAACCTGGGTCACCAAAAATATTGCAAAAATCAAAACACGTACAACAATAAAGTAGAGCGACAGAGCAAGAAATATTGTCGATGTGTATAATCATACAGAGTTACTGGTGACAGCAAGAGCTTTAATATTCAGTGTAATGTGAGAATTCAAGATTTGAAGCTTTCATGACTGCAAGGTTTTTTCGGTAAAGTCACGTAGGTAAAAAAAGAAAAATAAGTAATAAAAATAATAGAAATAATATTATTACCGAAAAAACCTAAGAGAATAATGTGAGAATATCTCCATCATGTATGAAATGAAGCATACGGAAACATTAGCAACAGGAAAATTAATAGAATGCTTAATTAACCATCCCCACCTTGACTCCAGTTACATTCGGCATTTCCCTTGTCCTGCTTGCTCGACTTAAATGATCGTGGGCCATACACGCGAGTTAACCGTGTAAACATTCAAAACCTTTACACCAAATTGCCTCTTGTGAGTGTACAAGAGTGAGAATGTTTTGAATTTGCATAAGGCGGTAGTGACTGCAAAGACAAAGATTCACCATATAGCATTTGTCTCGCTGGTGTTTATGTTTACACAACACACCAGATACTTATTTAGGGCTGAGTCGACCTAGGGAAGGCCCAGGACCAGTTCAAATATTCTTTGCTGTTATTGCTCGCAAGCGGGAATTAAACTTGGGTCTCTGAGTTCGTAGCGCAGCAGTTCGCCAACTGCTGCATTACCGCTCCCCGCACACACACACACAAGGTTGGATAAGTGGACGTGCAATAGTACTGATGTGTAAACGTGTGTTGTTTTCCTCGACAGTTTTGTCTCCTGTTAATGCAGTGATGGAAACTTTCATAGACGAGCACCTGGAGAGGCTGAATGCGGAAATAAACAAGTACAATGCGCAGCTGCAGAGAGTCACTCACCATGATCTCTTCGAAGCGTGAAGGGATTCCACTTCCGTGCGAGCGCTCGCGCACAGACAACGAGGATCCTGTCCGAGGATATTGCGGCGTCTTGATTGTTCACACCTTGTTCGATTTGACACGGAATCTCTTTTGTTCAATGTTATTCCAGATAAGGTCATTCTTAATGGACAACTTTCAATCTTTTACATTGTAACTCGGCAATAATCGCTATTTTCAGTAAGTGATGCTTTGCCCTTGGATTTTTTTGCTGCCAAATGCAAATTTGTTATAAAGTACACCGCACATCCTTGCTACAAACGTAAAATTTCCCAAAATCGGGAGGTTTTTGGGAACCATTTTGTTTTCAACAGAAAAAAAAATCCAGCACTGTAAACAGTGTGTGCAGTGATTTGCACAGATGTATTGTTCATTCTTACTGAGATGGGATTTTTATTTTCATTTTATCTTTTCCTTTCACAAAAGCACTCACCCCATTGGGAAAATGTTGCAGTTTCATATGCACATTAACGTAATTACTGTGGTTACGGCCATCATTTGTCTCCCCCTATAAAATTATCACATGTACACGTTGATTGTGTTATGCCTTCAAAAGTACATTCGTTGACGTTAACCAATCGCAACGCGAGCATATTTGGGTGTTTGTGCCATTCTTATGGCGCGAGGCTATAATTACGAAGGCTATCCTCTGAACTGACGATTATAGTCTGCGTTTAGTTTTACAGGAGGAGGCAACGTTGCTCAGTAGCTTCACCCTCAGGTTGTTTGCAAATAATTATCAATTTGGCAAAATGTGTACGCTGACGCCACCAAACTCGACTTGACTTTTTTTTAATAACAACTGCGGCAACTTTCAAGCCCATTGAGAAGCGGACGCCGCATATATATATTTTATTAATACAGCATCAGTATTAACCAGGGCAGCCGCTGCGCTTCGAACCGCCAACCTTTGCTACAAGTTTGCAAACTGCTCGGCTATGTCACCGCCTCCACATACACACACACACACACGTGTGTACGTGAAATTGAAGAGTAAGCCGGCATTGCTAGTTGCCCGTGAGTTAAATGTTGAGTTCAAACTGCACCGAGGTGAACCCAGCTGCATTATTTCAAAAGTAAAATCCACTTGAGTTTTGTCATAATACATGGGTTAATTGTACTTTAGCTACTTTGCATGCAGGTTAAGCAAACAACGGCACAATGGGCCATGAATCTATTAAACTAAACGTTTTATTTTGCCAGACAAAGGCCCACTGAGCTATACAGCTCTTTTTCAGAAGCGACCTGGCCGCAAATTACACCTCAACGAAGTGGCTTATCGTGTGGAATTTTATAGTAGTAAAATATACTCTAAACGCATGTTCCTAAATGTGGAGGGGAAAACCGGAGGACCCGGAGAAAAATCCACGCGACCACAAGGAGAATATGCAAACTCCAAATATACAGACGTCAGGGTCGGGCTCAAACCCACGACCTGCATATCAGGCGAGGGAGTTAACATCTCGCCACTTTAGCTACTTTGCATACAGGTTATCACAATGGGCTATCAATATATACGATTCCCATATTTTAACAAATGTAGACGTCATCATAAGCTCATATAGAAATATAAATTTATATTTACGCAAGTAAGCCTGCCGTGAGGCAGTAAACTAAAGAGCACACTTGTGGAATATTACACGTGTAAATAGTTATACAGCATTATAAATTATACCGAGAGCAAATTTATTATTAGCACACCAGCAATGCATGCCAGATAGCAATGTGGAACTCGGTACAGTCGTACTAGGTACTCTACATTGAATTCAAATGTTTAGACGATCTATCTAGAACGGCGTTTAATCGGATTTAAATTTACAAAGACCCATTTCTGTAACATACAATAGAACTGCGTTTTAGGAGGCTGCCGTTTCATTTTACAACGCCGTTTGGAAGGTAGAACGTTCATTCGTTGGCCTGACGTTTGTTGGAGGTGCAAACTCCACGCGGTGTTCACCGATTCCCTCCTTCAAACCACTGTCAGTGTGCTTGGAAGCCTTTCTCGCACTTCTGAAAATGCTGCGGTGGGGGGGGGGAGGGCATTGCTACCGTGTCGCAAACTTTCCCATATCCTGAGTGAAATGCGTGCACGTTTTGCTTTCTCTAGTGTCGCAGCAGTAGACAGCTGTGAAGCAGTGTGGGGTTCCCTTGAGGTTCCCCAGGTGAGTTCTAAGGTAGCACGTGACGCCGAATCCTAGCCACGGCATATGGTGCGTACGCTTACACTAATAGGCACATGCTCTTAGATCAATATGTGGGTATTTAGTTGTGTGGCTGTAATTGCTAAGTTTCCAAGGCCAATAATTTTCTGTATTGATATAGGCAAAACTGATTTTGTCGGTGGAAAAAAAAATGTATTTTAATAAGTTATCTCGAAATGGTGTTTAATGATGCAGGCGATATTCAAAAATGATAGGCTTGGTCCTGTTAAATACTGGACCCTGCAGAGGGACATGTGGCATTTGTGTCTATCCTATCATAGCCCCACACCCAGCCTCGTGTTGAGAATAAATGGTGCTGCTGCTGCTGCACTCAACTAGATGAGCGTATTTAACCTACTACTGAATAATATTATGCAGATTTTCCTTTTAAAGTGCTATTACTGAACAGGCAGGTACGCACACAAAGCAATTCTGCGATGTGAATGGCGGTTAAGTAAATAAAAATACGAGCGCAATTTCGCCTTACGACGACCGCGACGGCTACTGTGGTGACTTTCGATGTACCTGAATGGTGAAATGGACGACGCGTTAAGTGTCCGTAAGAAGAACAGCCATAATTTACACTGCAAGTGCCATCGCAACGGATGGGCCAAAAAAAATGCTCGTGGTATAATTTTTCGTTCGCAAACGCAGCGCTAAAAAAGAATGGAAAGTTTTGGAAAATCGGCGACAAGAATCTATCCCATTGCTGCACAGATGCTCAATTTGTGATGCTCACGTTATTCTGCAGTCAGATGCCGACTGGCTGCTGTTAAAATGGAAGGATATGCATAACATCAGTCGTAAATACACTATAAATAAAGACTGTGAACATTTAAAAGGGCAGCTTTTACTGATCGAGTCAAAATATGAAGCGCATGCGTGGACTTTAGCAATAACCTTGCGTCCAGGTCAGATACAACCTTCATTATATGTGTGTTTGAAAGGAACTAGACAGCAGACGATTGATCAATGTAACCATCAGACTGTTTATATACACGCGCTAGGCTGGGAACAAGTACATACCTGGGAGGCTGGCGGCTATGGAATGTGAATGCAAGAGGCCCATTTAAGTGATATATTGAATGGCAAAGTGGGGCGTTCATATAGGTAGGATACTCGGATATAGAGACCCTACGAAATTATTTAAATGTTTTGTAAAACGGAAAATCATTGGCCGTATTAAAGTACATTCTCCTTTGAACGATGTGCCAAAGTATCTTCTTTACGCAGCGTATCTGTTATAAACTGACTGCAAAAAAATTGTATAACACTGGTCACTAAAATGTGAATTAAAAAAAGTCAACTGCGTACGAGTTTAATACATTTGGCGTTGTGCCGCGCAGTTAAGTACATTGTACGGATCATCTCTGATGAACGAAAACGGTACCAAAAATGATGTAAGCCTTATGAATCCAGTACTGCATGCATACAGCAGCTTACATTTAAGCCATGGACAGGAAGCGATGGTTATATAAGCAGTGGTGTTGCCTTATGAAGAATGGTCAAAACTACTATTTCTGCGAAAGTGCATTTTTGGCCTCTGGCTCATATCTCATTTGCGGGATTTATGAATGTCTTCAAAATTAGTCTAAACAATTGCCTATGATCTTCGTTTAACGCACTGCATATTTCTGTAAACGTTATCGTTAAATACGAAGTCCTTAATTTTATTGGAAGTTATCTACGCATAACTTATTTATGGTCATCCATAGATTTTAGTAGGTTTATAATTCCACAAGCATGGCACGTGAAGATGTCCATATTTTAATCCTCAGACCATGACCCAACTCCATGTCCATGTCGGTGATGGAAATGCTCGACAAAATATTTTAAGAGCACCTGAATTTTTTATTAGCAATACTTCTAAACGGAGCGGCAAATTGTCCATTTCAAACATGCCTTAGAATTGTTTAATAATTTCTAGAAGCTATTGGAATAATATGGATGGGATGTAAAATAAGCTGAGATTAAGACTGTCACCCGATTGTAGCCACATCATTGATTGGGCCAGTTTTTTTTATTGCTAAACATAGGGATGGTTAGTTGAGGTTTTGTAGATATACTTGCAAAATACTAATTATGCAATTATTGAAATTTAACATTGCCCAACTTTAATTCGTTTAAGTTTTAAATAACATTCTCAAAATACTGTACCTTTATATCCCTCGAGCGATGACTTATTAGTGAACTTTGTTCCCTTGCCAGTAGTGATGGAAAACGTGCAGTCTTTTATTGAGAGATAACCTTTGTTCCTGAACCTGATCTTGTAGCTCTGCAATGCTCCCCGCTTCCATCGGCACAACGAACCTCGGGTAGAGGGGGGCCATCTCCTAACACTTGAAACGGTGTGTACCGTACGTTCCAGAGAAGAGTGTACAAAAAAAACACTCATTTGATGTTGCCGTCACGACTTTTCGACAGTGGCCGGCATCGATTGCGTCGGGCATCGGTTCTTCCCTCGCCACGAGATCACTCGATGACATGGCTGGCTCGACACGAAGCAATGCTGTGAATTCATCTTTGTGTTTTGTGTCGGGACAAGGATGGGGTTCTCTTGAGACCCGGTTGCAACAGTCATGACGTTTGCTTTTAGCCAGTTCTAATTGCACGCATGCTGTGTGGCAGCGAAGGTTTTCGAAGACTGAAAACGATTGCTATATTTTTTTGTTTGCACTGGAGAAAAAACAAATAACATTGCAACCTCATGTAATGGGCTCTTCCATTTATTTTTGGTACCTGAATATATTTTACACACTTTTGTAAAAAAAAAATCTCAAGTATTGAATACCTATTATTTCAAGAAACAGATACGCACATTTTGGTAAAGAATTGTAAACGTTTAGAGCAAAACTATAAATGTGACAAATACAAACGATATAAAGCGGCTACTATGGCTTAAATGCAACTGTTCTGTGTTGTGATTTGTGTTGATGCTTAGTATTTTTACCAATTACCTTCATAACTGTTCTTTCATGTGCCTGCTCTTATTCCAGTTGTTCAAGTGCACGTGAAATAGGAAGTGAATAGGTAAACACACTCGTCTGTATACCACGTTGTTTATTGTATACTCGAATTCAAACAGTGGATGTTTCCATGAACATTTTCAATCCCGTACAGCACCTAACTTGCAAGTCATGTTACAAAACAACAAAAATATACATAAATTAACAGTACGAAAAATGAAGTTCATCTTTAACACTCAGGAAGGCAATGCGAGACGACTTGTCGACGGAAATTGTGGCAGAACTCGATGTTTCCAAAACTAAAGAAGAGTGGCAACTGGCTTTTCGTCACGGAAACACGGGGCAGAGGACACGTCACTCCTCTGCCCCGTGTCCGATGGGTGCTGGTTGAGGCAGTAGACATTTCATTTAATGTTACGTACACACACAATAATTACTTTCATTAAAATTAACAACGGTGTCACTTCAAAATGAGAGCATTGTTTTTTTTCCTTCTCGTACGCGCAAGTGCTCGTCACTTCATTTTTTGTTTGTGCGGTGATGAATACGGGGCACGCTCCAGCATTCCGTGAATAGAGAGTATTTGGTGGCGCATACAACCACCGCATCCTTTGACAACCTTTTGCTACACTGCCCCCGCTGCTCGAGGATTCACACGTGACGTCCACGCGTGAACGTTCTCTAACATTACATGTGCCAGTGTTTTTAGGTTTTTTGTTTTTTTTGGCCAAAATCAAGAAAAAAAACAAGTTAACTTAGAGAAGTTGGCTTTCATCAGCCACTTCAGCACCGACGGCAAGATCGCCGTGATTCTCTCTTGGGGTTGCGGCGATTCGACGCAAGTCAGGGATGCGATCCAATTCCACCGTCTCAGATGGTATCGGTTGTTCCTCTCTTTACGATTGGCTTGGACAGTTCTGGTTTCCTCCCATTAGCTGAAATGAGTGCGTATAATTTTTGCATGAATCAGAAAACATTGATTCTCGACGTTTGAGCCGCAAGAATCTATTTACCTATGAATCGAAATGCATCATTACACCTGGAGTATCTTCCTTAAGTATCCAAGCATTCACGGTTATAGGTAGATGCCATCGCGTGCCCTACAGGTAAGACACCTGCGAAACACGGATCACGACGATTCGAAGATCTGCACTGCTCCGGTGCTGAATCTGCTTTCAAGCTGTTGCTCTGCTCGTCTTAAGTGCGATGAATGGGGGGAGAAAAAATGCAACCGGCAGCAAATTATTCATGTATGCTTACAGTATATATTGTTTAACACGAAGGAATGTAGTTTTAAAACATCGTTGATAAGTGGCAAAACTAAGATGTCATGTAAACCAATCCGCCATGCCTGCCTTTATAAATCATGACTAATGCCATTACGCCTCGCAGCCCGATCTATTCTTCACAGCGCCCTTCGCCATGCTCCACTCCCTTCTGATGGACTCCGCTCCGCGTCTTGACGCTGCCATAAATCCTCTTAGAACAAGCACGCTTCTTCAGGGCACGAGAGGTGAAAGTTAAAGGGGCGGCCACGCAACGTACTGCTCCCGCTGCTGCTGGTGGCAGGGCCTCTCCACTCCACTCGTGCTGGAGAGCTCCCTTTGAGAGTGTGTTTTCGCCTATTCTTCCACACTGGCCAGAATTCTTGGAAGATGTGAGAGTAGCCTCGCACTTCACACCCCCCCCCCGCCGCGCACCTTGACGATGCTCTACCCAAATATACACTGCCGGGTGGATAGAGGCGTGAGGATTGAAAACATTTGGCCATCGTTTCAACTGCAGTGGGCAGGAGATCGAACCGGCGACCTCTGCATTGCACCTCTCGGCGTGTGAGTGGCACAAAGCTCGATACAAATCTGGTGATCACGCGCCTTCCCGCCCTACCCAAATATCCTTTATTGTTCTCAATGCATAGGTCCAACTCCCCCTCCGCTACCCATAACATTTTTTAAATTCGGTTAAATATTTCGTAGCCAAATTTCAGTCGTTGGCGCTGGCCGAGGTCATGTGCCCCCCACCACCTGTTGCGTCACTCGTGCCTCGTGGTGCCAGCGTGCACACGCGGCCCTCCCACAACGGGGGCTTCTCTGCTGGGACGAGGTGTTTTGTATCGAGCTGGGCCCCGGTGTTTATTCCGGCTGAGGCTCACAGACACGAGGACTCTACCCCCCCCCCCCCCGCGGTGTCACGGGCTGTGTTACCCCACGTGGGTTTCGCCGCTCCGTGAGCGGCACGAGAGGGAGGCAAGGAGCCACACCCTGGCTCAACGTCCTCTCTCGTGGACGAGAGGTGATGATTGCGAGCAACTTGTTGACTTCAAGAAGGTATTTGATGCTGTGGCCCATGACGCACTTGAAGTCATTGAGGTGGTCAAGTCTGAGCACCTGTCCATGAAAGGGTATCTCAGATTGTTACATTTTTAGAACCACCATTTAGTGTCTATATCACTTATCTCTGATACTTTTCAAAGTATAGCCAAATGTTTTCCAACTCGATATTACGTACAGGGCAAAATATTGTATTTAATGGCCTATTGATTTACTGAGCTGCAAAAATATATTAGGTTTGACTGGTTTACACAAGATTGTTTTTGCAACAAGCCTAAAATTGATATTCTATTTCCTCTTTCCTATAAACACGTTTTATAAAAATGGATCATACCTACATGTATCTGTATCCCGACCCTCAACATTACATTGACAATCTTGTTAAAAAGTGCAGACTTGATCTTGGGTTCAATAGAATCAAGTGCTTTGCCTTTCCTTCACACGTGGCGTCAACTGTTCAAATAATTTTACTCACAATTGAGTATGCAACTATTGCCTATAAAACACCTTCCAATGTACTAACTCACCTGGTTCCTGTCTATAAAAGTGCAGCAAGATGTGTCCTCGAATAGCCATTTAGAGAACACCCTTGCAACACGTGAGATACACTTTTTCATGGAAATTCATCGAATTCCACTGGTTAAGTTTTCATCCATAAAGGTTCACGGAGCAAAGTGCCTCCATATCTCTGCACGTAACCTGATTTAGCTATCTTGCTCCCGTGCTTTCAAGTCAGTGACGTCTCTCTGCGAACACCACATTTGTCAAATCTGTCCTGGGGCCCCAGAGCTGACCGCGCATCGTCCGAGTGCAATCAATTAGATCCCAAAATGAGACTGAACCAGTTCGTGTCTTTGACAGTAAAACGTTAACACAAGGTGAAACAAATATATCGTAATTTTCGTTACGATATACCTTCTTTCTGGGCACTTAATATTACAACAATTTTATGCCTTTTGACATTTCATACCTTTTTTTATTTAACTTTCATTATTGTATTATAACGTCTAGTATTTACGTCTTAAACAGCACAGCATGATTTACTTGATTAACGACTCTCGATTTTGTAAATTGTAAATAGAGCAAATTTTTTTCGTTGCTATCTGGTACGAGATCTAACTCAGAATTTAAATGGGATTCTCAAAAGTGTATTCCCGGTGAAAGTACAAGGGTGGTCCAAGTCATTCCTGGACTTTTGTTCACCAAAAAGAGTTTTAAACTCCTGGATCGTGGCGGCCCGGCTATTTCTTCCTTATCCACGCTGCGGCACGTTTCCCACCCCGTGCACAAACGCCTAGATGCACAATGCCGCAACAGAAGAAGAGTCTCTCTCTCTGCTCCAACCACGTCGGGACACAGGTCTTCACTTCGTCATCTCATTGTAATGCCACCCATGTGCTCCTTCAGAGGGAGGACCAAACAGCAGATGGTCATCATTGGGAGCCAAACATTGCTAACAAACAAAAAAACATCGTCCCGCAACGAGACGTGGGTCGACCACCGCACTCAAATACATTCTGGGATTGAATGGAATTTGCACCGATGTCGTTTCACCGGAGGACGCAGCGTAGGGTGGAGGGGTTCCATGTCACGCGACGCGACCTAGGCCCTTGAGAAGCACGCAGTCTAGTTGTTTGTAAGAAATACTGGCAGGCGGTGAGCACAGAGCGGAGTTGGTTCAAAAGAAGGGAGCATGGCGGCAGCCACCGAAGGATACTGGGCTCAATGTAAGTGCTAACGTCTCGTCTCTTTACTATTTAAAATATGAACTTAAACTGACCTTTGTCGTGCTACATAAGTTCCAGCCTCGTTTCCTATTAGCCAGCTATGAAAACTTATATACTCTCTAGAATAGCAAATATATAACATCATTCAGGTTTTTTTTTACTGACCACTCTAGCTTTTGGAATCCCGTACATTCAATTCTTAGTGCAAAAAGGTATACTTCTGTTAAAAACTGTTCACATGTAGCTGAAGTCGACTTTTGGGCGATACTGCAAGATCATCGGGAAGGACTGTAAGAAGACAAACAAACATTGGGGTTAAAATATAGAACATGCAAAGCAATGGCGAGGTTACTTCATGAATTAATTAAATGCAGGAAAAATATGAGCTTTGCCTTCATCACAAATACCAGCTGTTGGTATACGATGGTATTGAATACACACGCGGCTTATGTTGTTAACCATGCTTGTTTTGGCTAATTGTGCTGCAATGAATACTCAATCTAGACTAATGAAAATATCCAACGCTGGTCATATGTCTGTATGATAAATACGGTACGACTATGAAAAAAAAACGTACAAAAAATTACATTCTTCACCGTAACACATTATCAATTACGAATTACAAAGATGCACAATTGATCCGTCATTCTCTCCGACATCTCTATGAAAAATCCAGAACACCTTTATACAACCATTATTGTACCGCATTCTAACTTTATTCGAGTAACGACGGCGTATTCGTCCCTTCCAGAATAAAGTTTGGGTATGAATCGCAATCGAGGCTGTCGAGAAGTCACCTGGTTTGCGAGAAGCGCGATTACATTTCAAACAGTGACGGCGCTGCGAAGCAAAACGTGGCGTTCATCACGTCGCGGCGTGGGCAGTGCCGCTACTCACGTCGCCTTCTTTAATTCTCCACCGGGTTCTGTAGATGAACTCCATAGTGTGGTCTTTGCCCATGATCTCTCCGTTGCACAGGACGTCCAGCTAAGGCACGCGCACACACGTCACCCACCGTTCTCGCTCCGTTCAATCCGGCGGTGTAAAGAGGCCCGTACTTGTGGCCTGGTGTGAGCGCCGCGTTGCGTTTCGTTTGAGTGCGGTGTCACTTGCCTCGTAATTGCTGGGAAGTTTCAGTTTGAAACTCAGGAACTTTTTGATGGTCCCCACAGTCACCCGCTTGGAGCATTTTATGAAGCGCTTCATCAGGCTCTATGCACACAAACGACAGTGGCGGCCATTAGGAGAATACTGGAGATTTCACAAACTGTCAACAGCAAATGCCAAATCTCAAATGTGCTCGGACAGTACTCCTGAAACAGTGGTTTGCGTCTTAATGTCTCTCTCTTCTTGGTTCTTTCGGTAAAGTCACGTAGAAGGGAAGTAATAAAATAATAAAAATAAAACATAATAAAATTCAAATAATTTAAATAAAATATAATAAAATAATTTTACTATGTTTTCTTTTTATTATTTTATTACTTCCCTTCTACGTGACTTTACCAAAAGAACCAAGAAGATGAATCCCTGCAGTCACGAAAGCTTTAAATCAAAATGTAATGTCTCTCTCGTCGATGAGGTCACTGGGTTTACCCATTTATACTGCTCAGTGGGCAGAAGCAGGGAGATTTTTCGTAAACTCGATGAAGATTCCAAGCAAACAAATTGCGAATGATACATTGAGGCTTACGAAACAAACGCAATTGCAAAACTGGCATAAAAAAATAAGAAACATTGCAAACGAAGGCCGAAAATAAAGAAGTGCATTCTCAACTCAATTTGGAACCCCATTTGGGGGGGGGGGGGGGGGGGAGTCAATTGTTCCGTGCCTAAGTTAGACTTCAATTAAAACAGAAGTTACTCCAACAACAACAAAAGCAAATGGGAAAACCGAGAAGACAAGATAATTCCTTCTAGATTTGAAGCTTTCGTTACTGCAAGGATTCATACTCTTTGTTTTTTTCGGTAAAGTCACGTAGGTAAAACGATTAATAAAATAAAATAAACGAAAACTAAATTAAATCACGACGTTTCGGAGGCAACACAAGCCTCCCTCAAAATAACTTTGCTGTGCCTTTTTACACCTGACGAGGGAGGCTTGTGTTGCCTCCGAAACGTCGTGATTTAATTTAGTTGTTTTCATTTATTTTATTTTATTAATTGTTTTACCTACGTGACTTTACCGAAAAAAACCAAAGAGTAAGATAATTCCTCTCAAAGCTGGGGGCTGCGGTGGGTGGCGTCACCTCGACAGCAGTGTCGCCCCCTTGCCCGTTGCTGCGTAGGCAGTCGAGGAAAATGGCGATCTGCGGGTCGCTCCGGTGGAAGTCTCCGTTTCCACACGGACTGTCGTCCTCCAGCTTCAGCCTCTTGGGCCTGTTCTCTTCATCTGCAAGGGCGGCACAGAGCGGGACCTGTTACAGCGAAGAACCTGAAACACCGCCGGCTCACTCGTTTCATTCGACCATCACCACCACCAGCATTCACTTGCTGCTCGGCGCAACTGAGTTTACACCAGATGAGCCAATCGTCCCGGAGGGTGAACCCGTTGAAAGGGGCGGCGTACAAAAACTAATGGGCGGCATGACGGAGCACCGCGTCGACCAAACTTTAAACGAGAGTAAAACGCAAAACGGTACGAGCAGTGATTTGGCCTGCTCGTGCAAATCCGCTCGATCTCCCGCTGTGTATGTCGAAGAAAGGCTGCGACGCACATTCGTTAACATTACTTACTTTTGCTCCAACATTGTTTGACTTCATCGTACGAAGCGCCGTGGTGGAAATGGTTTGCACAGAGGCGGCTCTAGACACTTCCCAGGCGGTGGTGGGGGAAGGGGGGTGGCGGTCCCAAAATTTCAGGCTTTTTAAATGGGGCCCACATTGATAAAATAAAAACAATCAACGTATTTACTGTTTCATCATCATCATTGGACCTCCTTTGCCAGTACCAAAATATAATAATAGGGTTTTCCCCCTTTTTTCTAGCAACAAAACTGAAACCTTTTTACAAGGATTCATGTTTGCATTAACCACAATACCTGCAGTCAAATGCAAACAAAAAACACACTGATAATATATGCATTGTCCTTGAAACTGATTGGTCCTCACCAAGGGACGGCTTTCTTTTGAGCCTCGACCCAATTGGTGCTCGACCAGAGGACGCCAAAAGGCGTACAGCTCAAAGACAATGCAATATCAAAGTAATGAGGGCTTTTTTGTTTGCATTTGACTGCAGGTATTGTGGTTAATGCAAACATGAATCCTTGTAAAAAGGTTTCAGTTTTGTTGCCAAAAAAGGGGGAAACCCCTATTATTGTATTTACTGATTTTTACGGTAAATGTCAATGAAACACATTTTAAGGGTCTCAGGAGTGGGGGGGGGGGGCATCATCTCCATCGCCCCCCAAAGCTGCCACTGTTTTCACCTGCTGCAGCTAGGGTCTTCACCCCATGCCTTCACAGAGAGGTCACCCCACTGTTAACATTGGCCACTTAGGTGTCTCAGGAATGTCAATATTCACTTAAAAGTGCCCACTGCTCAGCCATTAAAAGCACGACGATAATCTCGCCGTATTTGTATTTTTTCCTTCATTTCGAAAAGAGAAATGGTGGTGATTGCAGGAATATTTACCGTTCCGGTACTCTTGATTTCTCTGCGCGTTCCAAAAGTCACGTTCTCGCTTTTCTTCACCTGAAAAAGAAATATAAGTTATGGATCACACGTATATTTAAACTAATTTACTCAACTCCACGTAACTTATCGCTTTCAGAAAATACTGGACATTTGAAATGACACGTGGGTATATTGAGATGATTTTCAACTTACACTCTCTCAGGCCAGGGATAAGTTTGAAGATGATTTCCTCCAAAGTCTTGTCCTGCCTGAAGTCAATCAAACGAAGAACTTTTAAATAAACAGCATCCCACCACATGCTGGTACAGCAACTGAGCCTTGCTTGTCTGTGACATTCCGTCCATTTTTATTGTGTGAGCACATTTATTTTACTCATGGGTCGTAACTGTGGTTAGCACACCGCACTACGAATCCAGACCACCGCTAACATTAGTGACGATTTATATCAGTACCAGCTAGTGACGATTGATATCTGTACCAGTCCTGCGGCCCCTCACAACCCTTTAGCAGCAAGCACAGCGAAGTATGGTCACACAACACCCACGGTGGCGTAGGGACACCTTTATGAAAGCAGTGGAGTTACGGCGCGCGGGAGTATTATTTATCACATTTCAATTCTGACGGCCCTCTTTGAAGGTTCGCTGTGAATGCAAACAATCTAGTAATCATCAACTGAGGGAAACCTAAAAAAATTAGCCGGCTTATCGATCAGTAACCGTCAAAAGGCAAACACCGCTCCTGAACGAAATATGACGGGCACGGTCTAAAATCATCCCGAGGCAGGCAGGCAGGCAGGCGTGTGACGGCGTGTGACGGCACGCCTCTCGGCTGGAGACGGAACGACGCCAACGCGGCACCAAGCTGGAGCGGCTCCACCAAGGCGAGAGGCACGCAAACGCGGACGTGCGTTTTCTGACCTCAACATTTCCAGAGGGTTGGTCTCGTGCACCTGGATGCCACACTTGGGGCACTCGTTGCTCTCTTCAAAGTGCTGCACAATGCAGCTCTTGCAGACTGGGGACGAGACCGCGAGAGGGGGGCATCGTTATTTGCCATAAGCACACGCGCTTTGGTCGCGGGGGGGGGGGGGGTAGGGAGCTGTTGCGCAGTGGTTAGCTGCGTTACCGACCTGGCGAACTTGGGTTCGATTCCCAGCGAGCGGTGTATAAACAACAGGAATGGGGAGATCGAGGTGCCGGCCAAACCGCCCTTTTGTGCGGCCGTACAGACCTTAATGGGTTCTCGCTAACAGCGCTTGACCAAACCAACGAATGACTAAAATGCTCGGTGGTTAGCTGCGCTACCTCCAGGTTGTCGTCGACTCGACCAAGACCGACCAAAGTGACACAAGTAAGTGAATGCTGAGTGAGCGAACACGGGCTGGCAGTCGGTCCCTCCCAGTCATTGCGTGACCATTCCCGGCGGAGTCGTGGTGGGGAGACGCGGTGGGGAGATGCGGTGGGGAGACGCGGTGGGGAGACGCGGTGGGGCCGCTGCCGGCCTTGGTCACGCGGCACTCACAGGTGTGCAGACACTCGGTGACGGCCGTCGGCTTGATGAGGTATCCGCGGCACAGGGAGCACGTCACGAACGGGTTCAGGTCCCGGGCGCGCGCTCGCCGCACCGTCGCCGTCGCCATCGCCATCGCCACCGCCACCATGCAATGCCGGAGCCCAGGTGTCGTGGGAGTCTTATAAAATAAATAAATGTGTTGCCAGTGGTGACGACAGCAACAACGAATTAAAGAGGGGGTGACGAGGAAATTATCTTTTTTTCCACGCACTTCCTTGAGATATCTGCTCCCCCGTTCAATACTTAGCTGTTGCTGATTTTGGGAAATCTCATTTTCACCTCTGCAGGAGACCAGAGGGACAGCTGGATGCCAAAACCTGTGGGACAATGGAGAGAAGTGCAGGTTGGTTAACGCGGTTAATTTGCGGACGAGTTACCTGTAAGCACTGTGGAAAGCATCGCAAGTCAGATGTCCGCTTTTTTTGTTTGTTGCACATTTCTTCTAATCCACTTAAACGTTAACCCAGCAGTGTTCATTTTTCATAAGTAACAATTTAATTTCCAGTAAAATGAATTTCCTGGGGTCTCTGTAAAAGAACGTTCTTACGTAATTATAAATATCCGCTTGCTGGTTCAGCACTCGGTGGGTACCGTGACATGGCACTGGCTCCACCGTGCAACAACAAAGTTTTGCCAAAGACCTCCAACTCTACGCCCATGCCAATTTCTTCAGTAATACCGAATGCAATTTTTTTTTTCACAATGGTTCTTTACCGAAGCTCACCAGCAGCATTTTTGGAGAACTTCCACATTGTGTAGAAGTGCTTTAACGACACTTGGTGTTATTTCATTAATAAATCGGCACGTAAATTTCCCACAGCAGAGGCAGCTCCGAGTATGGAATATTTTTTGTTACGTTTATGTATGAATGAGGAAATTGCCACTTTTTGATCCAATCGTTGGAAATTCATTCAGTGGAAAAAGTGACGCCTGCAAGCTGCTCAAAGTTCAGTCCGAATCGTTTAAGCGTAAAACGTCAATATTCTCACATCGGCGCACGTCCGGCACAATTAGGGGAGCGTGTGGGCGGGCGGGCGGTCAGGTGGTGTGGAGGAAAAGTGACATAGCTCGCTCGCCAATGCGTTTCCGTGTTGTTCGGCGAGATGTCTTGACGGATTGCTCCGCGTGTTGGGAGCTGCTCGACGAAATCTAATCGTAGAGGTTCCCAGCGCGCGCAGCGAAACGTCGGGCATCATGCCGAACGACGCGCGGTCCGACCCGACATCGCGTACGGAGATCCGTACGGCACGAGCACGAATGAAACAGGATTTCTCCACAACTCTGGCTGTCGCCTGATGAGTCTGGTTGTAATTACTGACGAAACGTCACGGTACTCGAGTTGGAAATGTTGCGGGTTTACTCTCCAACACACAAGCGGTGTGCTGACCAAGTAACGAATTGGCACGTTTTGTTTAAGTGCAAAAACCTTACTAATTGGCTGTGTCGGGTGGTGGCAGGTTTAACGACACATTTATATTTCTACGATCTGACCCCAAAAAAATCTATATTGTGGATACTGGTCGCAAAAGCCCTACTACGTGTTAAACTCACCAAAGACTGCACTGTGCAGAGCAGCATGATTACTAGCACCAATGCTGATGAGTCACACCGAAGCAAGCGGATGACTTGCGTCAGCCGTACCAGTCACTTTTCCAGGACACTTATTAAGGATAACGTCCAAAAGCCAGTTCGGAGAGCCACTTAACGATGCTGTGGCAGCGTCCTGAATATTACGTGAGATCACGTGATATGAGCCCTATCTGATACTTCTTCTTAGTTCTTTCGGTAAAGGCACGTAGAATGGAAATAATAACATAATAAAATAAAACACTATAAGAAATTAATATAATATAAATATATATTTATATAATTATATATGTCATGGCATCATTGCCAGGTCCGTGATTTCTTTCCCAAGAAGGCAGTCGTACCCACGTGATGATGATAAAGTCACCCATCGCCAAGTATTCCCCCCCCCCCTGCCGTCCTTAAGAGTGGGAAAGTGGCGTACATTAAGATTCGATCCGCTGTAATTGATCCTAAAACATCTCTCGAGAGTGGTAGTGTCAAAGATCACACTTGTGCCCCGTTTTTGGAGCCCCAAGTTCAGCCACAAGAATTCCGAGCATCAGAAACATTCACTATTTTTAACCCGAGGAGTGACATTTTATTTTTAAGCCGCCTCTGCAACGCGTTTCATTTGTTGTGTTTTACGAGTTCAAATCCCGAAGCTGTATTTTGTTTTAATATGATAAGAATACGCCCGTGATTCGCTTGTTGTTGTTTATTACAGTTGTTTTATTATGGCATACTGTATACTATTTGGGGTGGAGTGGTGGCGCAGTGGTGAGCACACTCGGCTATGAACCCGGCTACCCGAGTTCGATTTATGGCAACAGCTGACATCAGTGGCAAGTATAGTCTGAACAGAAGCCTGCCTCTGCACTCCCGTCACCAATCAGCACTGCATGGTGATAGTAAAACAACCCCTGAAATCGAGATGTTGTCGAGTGACCCTCATCCAGCAGTGGATTGACAAGGGGCTGTCAATTGTTCAATATTAACAAAAACATATTGTGACCTTTAAAAGGATGGATGTACAAATAGGTGACGTTTCGTGCAATGGCTCTTCATCGCGGATATACCAATGTATTCTCGGGGTATACGAATCCGTTTTACAATTTATAACTCCACAACTCTCTCATCTTTTCCATAACGCGTCTTGAGTTTTCCATTAGCCGCGAGATAAATTTAAATCGTTATCTGTGGCTCAAGAGAATACTTGCTGGCAGTGACTTCGAAATTCCCCAAGACATAACTGCACTTTTTGATGTAAAGCTTTCGTGACTGCAGGGATTCATCTTCTTGGTTCTTTCGGTAAAGTCACGTAGAAGGGAAGTAATAAAATAATCCAAATAAAACATAATAAAATAATTCTCACGACGTTTCGGCCACAACGCAAGCAGCCATCCTCAGGTGAAGTCTTTCAGACGCTGTCTCCCCGACAGACCTGGTCTTCACCTGAGGACGGCTGCTTGCGTTGTGGCCGAAACGTCGTGAGAATTATTTTATTATGTTTTATTTTAATTATTTTATTACTTCCCTTCGACGTGACTTTACTTGCTCCTCCTGCCCTGTAGCTCACTCCGAGGTTGGCACGGAGATGGAAGGACACACACGCGATCATTAATTCCTTCAAACAGTATTACCCACTATCATCACCCAGAAATGTCTGTCCGTCCCGCGCGTGACGTCACTCCACATGAGGCCCACCCCCCCGCCCCGCGTGACGTCACTTCCACGAGGACCACACCCCCCTCATTAATATTCATGAGCAGGTGGATTTTTACACTAACGCAGAGGAAGGTCGAGCTGAATTAAATAATTTATTACGCAAAGTCGCTTCAAATATGACGTTACTTTACAGAGAGTGATGGTAAGAAATAAATCTACGCAGCAGTGCTACATCCGTGCGTGACGTCACTGCAAAAGAGCCCCCCCCCCCTCATTAATATTCATGGCCGCATGTAAATTTACAAAAACGCACAAGGCCGCGCACTCCAAATGCCGCACCCCTTCCCTCATTAATAATCATGAGCGGGTGACGTCACTCCACATGCTGCAGCCCTCCCCAATAACCATTAGCGGGTGACGTCACTCCACATGGGGCAACCCCCCCTCCCCTCATTAATAATCATGAGCGGGTGACGTCACTCCACATGCAGCACCCCTCTCCTCATTAATAATCATGAGCGGGTGACGTCACTCCACATGCAGCACCCCTCCCCAATAACCATTAGCGGGATACGTCACTCCACATGGGGCAACCCCCGACCTCATTAATAATCATGAGCGGGTGACGTCACTCCACATGCTGCAGCCCTCCCCAATAACCATTAGCGGGTGACGTCACTCCACATGGGGCAAACCCCCCCCGACCTCATTAATAATCATGAGCTGAACAATTTTTCTATTCAATATTTCAGATTTACTACAATATACACCCGTCGTCCTTGGACGGGCAAAAAAAGCTCGCAAAGTACACCAGGCAAGACGTCGTCTGCCATTCTTACTTTCGTGTCTCTCTGGCCGTCGGATTTCTCCGGCGGTGAAAGCAATGAATTTGTGTTCATCCAGCGACTTCCAAACTTGGGCTTGAACGCCTCAATAACGAACCGGCTCAATCCGTGTGTCTGCGACGGGAGGGATGGGACTCTGGTGAGAATATGATCCGATACGAACGACACTGCGAGTGTAAAGTCGTGCTGCTATTCATTCGGGACTCACCCTGTACTCTATTATAGACAGCCGGGGAAGTAAAGAATGTATGTTTACAAAAGGTGTTTGTGGCCGATCCGAATGGTATATCTTAGTCTTTACTGCACCGTGTAACATCCGTACAGCCGCGGGGCATTCCTGAAATAAGAGTCAAGTAGTAGGAACCTCCTGGTTCCACCAGCCCACAGGGGATTATTGTGTCCGTCCGTCCGTCGTGCAGGGAAGGGCTGGGTGGGGAGTGAGGGGCTGGGTGGGGAGGGGCTGGTCACCCCGTGGTGCCCTTATAAAACTCAACGTTTAACCTACTCACGCCGGCTTGTGCCCGCCCTCACAGTCGGGCATATGTGCGGAATACACCACGCCGCCGTTGACCCTGCAGGCCATTGACCGAGCAACCCAACGTTACTGCCAGCTCCCTCCGCAGGACAATGTGTTTGGGCCCATCCTGGTGAAGCGAATGCTCCAAAATTAAATCGAAATCTCGTGAGAAGAAGGCGGCGAGACATGGTCCAGGTGTGTTCGATGCCCCAATGTCACACTCTGTTCAGCCGCGGTGCCAGAGGGCTTCTCCAGGTCAGAGTTCACGTGGTGGGAAGGACACCCCGCGTGCACGGCGTGGCTTGGCGTCAGTCTCTCTCCGCTGCTGTACTACCCCACGAACTGCCATGAACCGCAGAAGAAGAGGAACATGAAGGCAGCACTCTTTCGTGTTCACGCCATCCCTTTAACACTGCTGTTAAAGTGTCTGTGAGTATATCATATACAGCCTTTAGAAGCACCGCGCACCAACTGTGCATCGGCAGTAACAGCAGAAACAGCGGGACTAAGCAATAACAGTTGCAACAGCAACAGTAGCAACACAGCAGCAGCAGCATTAGCAGCAAACAACAACAGCAACAGTAGCAACAACAGCAGCAGTAGCAGCAGTAAACAACAACAGCGGCACTAGCAACAGCAGTTGCAACAACAACAGCAGCAAACAACAGCAGTAGCAGCAGTAGTAGCAGCAGCAGTAGTAGCAGCAGTAGTAGCAGCAGTAGTAGTAGCAGCAGTAGCAGCAGCAGCAATAGTAGTAGCTGCAGTAGCAGCAGTAGTAGTAGCAGCAGTAGTAGCAGCAGCAGTAGTAGGAGCAGTAGCAGAGTAGCAGCAGCAGTAAACAACAGCAGCAGTAGCAGCAGCAAACAACAACAGCAGCAGTAGCAGTAAACAACAGTAGCAGCAGTAGCAGCAGTAAACAACAACAACAGCAGCAGTAGTAGCAGCAGTAGCTGTCACGCTGGCCCTGCCCGAACCCTGTAACCTGCGTGTGTGTGTACACGTGTGTCTGTGTACACTGTGTGTACACTGTGTGTGTACACGTGTGTCTGTGTGTACACTGTGTGTGTACACGTGTCTGTGTGTACACTGTGTGTGTACACGTGTGTCTGTGTACACTGTGTGTACACTGTGTGTGTACACGTGTATCTGTGTGTACACTGTGTGTGTACACGTGTCTGTGTGTACACTGTGTGTGTACACGTGTGTCTGTGTGTGTCTGTGTACACTAGTGTCTGTGTGTGTCTGTGCTGCTGTTGTTGTTGTGTTGCACACGGAAGCGTTGAACTGCGGCCTAGATGCGAAACGCGCGTCTAGGAGGAACAGAACACGCGGTCCGCCGTCCGTGTGTACACGTGTGTCTGTGTGTGTGCACGTGTGTGTGTGTGTACACGTGTGTCTGTGTGCACGTGTGTGTGTACACGTGTGTCTGTGTGTGCACGTGTGTGTGTGTGCACGTGTGTGTGTGTACACGTGTGTCTGTGTGTGTGTACACGTGTGTCTGTGTGTGCACGTGTTACTGTACGTGCGCACGTGTGTGTACTAACACACACGTGCGCACGTACAGTAGTAACACGTGTGTGTGCACGTGTGTGTGTACTAACACACACGTGCGCACGTACAGTAACACGTGTGTGTGCACGTGTGTGTAGTAACACACACGTGCGCACGTACAGTAACACGTGTGTGTGCACGTGTGTGTGTACTAACACACACGTGCGCACGTACAGTAACACGTGTGTGTGTGCACGTGCGTGTGTACTAACACACACGTGCGCACGTACAGTAACACGTGTGTGTGTGCACGTGCGTGTGTACCAACACGCACGTGCGCACGTACAGTAACACGTGTGCGCACATCCTTATCCGCTTGCGTCATGCGTGCCCCACGTCACCCCCCACCACCGCCGCCGCGTTCCAACGCGCACAACAAAATGTTGTAGCGCTGGCGGCTGCCAAAGCCGCGTTCGTGCAACCCCGAGATGAGATGGGAGAGAGACACAGCGAGGGGGTCAAACAGATCCACTCCGTGCGAACACGGACGATGGTCGACACGGGGGGGACGGGGGACGGGGACGTCCATCCATCGGTCTCCAGTTGAACACAACAACAACAACACCACCAACAACAACACCAACAACAACACGCATGGCGAGAGTAGAGAGGAGCTGATAAGGCGACGCGTACACAACAACAACAACACCCACCACGACTCGTCGCTCGCTCCCTGCAGGAGAGAGGGGGGAGATGAGTGTGGGGTGGAAGGAAGGAGGAGGAGGGGGGTAAGGAAGAGAGGCGACTTCCACCAAAAGCTGCTTCCAACCTCCACCAAATCTACGCGTGACACTTACCCCGGGGGCAGCTAAAAGTGTGGCTGGCGGTGGTGGTGGTTGGTGGTACTGGAGTAGTAGCAGAAGAATCAGCCTCCCTCCCTCCCTGCCTCTCTCCCTGCCCCTCTCCCTGTCTCTCTCCCTTGTCGGTGACGGTCAATGTTGGATGGCGCCGATGTGGATGTTTGACGTGAACGCCGCACGCGTCACGCTTCGTGCTCTTCCTCCTCCTCCTCTTCCTCCTCCTCCTCCTGGCCCCGTGTGGCAGCTTGGAGCCAGAGGGGCTCCCCCCCCCCACCACCACCACCACTCGCTACGACCACTCACACTCACACACACCCACTCGCTACCACCACTTACACACTCACACACCCACTCACACACCCACTCACACACTCGCTCTGACGCCACTCGTGGGCTCGCACGTGAACTGCAACTCGGGGGGGGGGGTGGGGGATGTGTGGGGACATCGACACGAAGCGGTCACTCACTACTCACACTCATTACTCACTCACGACTCACTACTCACACTTACTCACTACTACTCACACTCACTCATTACTCACTCACTACTACTTACTACTACTCACTACACTCACTCACTACTCACACTCATTACTCACTCACGACTCACTACTCACACTTACTCACCACTACTCACACTCACTCATTACTCACTCACTACTACTTACTACTACTCACTACACTCACTCACTACTCACACTCATTACTCACTCACTACTACTTACTACTACTTACTACTACTCACTACACTCACTCACTACTCACTCACACTCAGTACTCACACTCACTACTCACACTCACTACTCACACTCACTACTCACACTCGCTCACACTCACTACTACTACTCACTACTCACTAAACTCACTCACTCACTACTCACTCACACTCAGTACTTACACTCACACTCACGGCTCACACTCACTCACTACTACTCACACTTATTACTCACACTTATTACTCACACTCACTCACTACTCACACTCACTACTCACGACTCACACTCACTCACTACTCATACTCACTCCTACTCACATTCACTCACTACTCACTCACTACTCACACATACACGGCTCACACTCACTACTCACACTCACTACTACTACTCACTCACACTCACTACTCACACTCACTCACTACTCACTCACTACTCACACTCACTACTCACACTCACTACTCACACTCACTCACTACTCACTCACACTCACTACTCACACTCACTCACTACTCACTCACTACTCACACATACACGGCTCACACTCAATACTCACACTCACTGCTCACTCACTCACTACTCACTCACTACTCACACTCACTCACTACTCACTCAACTACTCACTCACACTCACTCACTACTCACGACTCACGCACTACTCACTCACACTCACTCACACTCACTCAACTACTCACTCACACTCACTCAACTACTCACTCACACTCAGTACTCACACTCACTACTCACTACTCAGTCACACTCACTACTCAAACTCACTCACTACTCAAACTCACTCACTACTCACACTCATTACACTCACTCACTACTACTACTCACTCAACTACTCACTCACACTCACTCACTACTACTACTCACTCACTACTTACTCATACTCACTCACTACTACTACTCACTACTACTACTCACTACTCACTCACACTCACCACTCACTACTCACACTCACTCACTACTCACTCACTACTCACACTCACACACGACGCATTCGCTCACACACACGGTTCACACTCACGAATCACACGGTTCACACTCACTCACACACAGCTCACACTTATTGACGGCTCACACACGGCTCACACACTCACTCACTACTCACACTCACTACTACTCACTTACTACTCACTCACTCACTACTCACACACACACGGCTCACACTCACACACGGCTCACACTCACTCACACGGCTCACACTCACACACGGCTCACACTCACTCACTCACACAGCTCACACTCACACACGGCTCACACTCACTCACTCACTACTCATACTCACTCACTACTCACACTCACACACGGCTCACTCTGGCTCATGCATAGACACAAACGCATGCGCGCTCGCACTTATGCCACTCACACATACAAAAGACAAACATCCCCCGTGTAGCCTTAACACACGTTTGGGGCAAGTGCTGTTAGCAAGTAGCACCTATGAAGGCAGACACGGCACACCAAAGAGGTGGGTGGTCAGCACCACGCCCGGCCGCCTTTGTCTCCCCAGTGACGTTGTTTACACACCGCACCAGGTACTCATTTGAGGCTGATTCGACCTAGGGGAGGAGGCCCAGGACCCCACTTAAACTCAAAAATATGCACACACGCACACACTCATGAACAAATGCATTCCCACTCTCACTAAAACCACGCTCTCCGACTCACACCCAAACATTTGCTCTCACTCTCTCGTTCACAAACACACCATCTCACTCTCACGCCGACTCAAAAAAACCCCCACACTCATCTCACTCCCTCTCACACGCGCTCTCAATCAAACACGTTCACACTCACAAATAACATACACTCTCGTCAAACGTTCACTGACACTCTCTCAAACACATTCCAACACCCCCCGTACTCCATCAGCCCATCTCAATGCAGCGTTGTGTCCGCGTGTGTCCCCCCCCCCCCTCCGGCCAAACGAGCTACTTGAATGGGCATGCGGGGTTTTACGCATAACCGCATCTTCGCCTGGCGGAGGAGCTCACCGATGGAACGATGTCCAGGTCTCTGAAGGATCTGTGAGCTCACAGAATCCAGTTCGGTTAAACCCAGGATGAATGAATCATGGGTAGTCCAGCCCAAGTATGGCACGTCAACGCACGTGTCCCTATAAAGTCTAAAGGTGTCCATGATTTGCATTCAGGGAATAGAGGGCAAGACTGTGGTTGGGAACTGGTGCTTCGTGTGGAGAAACAGACCAGGTAGTTTCCACGCGGCAATGTACAGGCCATGAAAAGAACGCCAGTTGACTGATTCAAAAAGCTCTGATGCCAAACCAGAGCTGACCATGAGCACCTGGCCTCAGGTCTGGGAACTCCTCCACGCTCTGCTAGGGATAGGGAAATCATCGTTACATCGGCGGTACGTTTTGATGTTTTGGTTCTGATGAATCGATCTTTTTCACATCGATCTTGAGCCCTCCGATAGCATCGGTAACGTACATAGGGGTTTTTATTTCGTTGTTGAGTTTTTTACATTGGGATAAAAAAAAGGCAAATTTAACTAAATATCCCGCTGATTGTTGGCCACCTAAACTGATCCCTCTCCAAACGTCGTTGGCAAGTACAGTGCATGCTTAATACATGCTTAATAATACAGGTATAGGTTGTTTTTGTGTTAGATCGCGTCAATGTAAATGTGTTGTTAAAAATGTGTCGTTAAACCCGCCACCACCCGATAGAGTCAATCAGTAAGGTTTGTCACGTAAACAGAACATTCCAATTCGTTACTAGTACAGCACACCGGTGTGTTGGAGAGAAAATCCACAATGTGGATTGGCTGTGTGGGTTTAATGACACATTTATATTTACGCGATCTAACCCAAAAAACTAAATTATGAATGATATTGGTCGCGCAAGTCTACGTGTTACACATTACATGCTGTTCATAGGTTCAAAGACCACGTTCTGGAAGCCAGACGTACATTTTCTGTTGAATGAGTGTGGACCCTGTACCAATTGCCTTGTGCCTCTTGGTTTTCTGATATTTTTTGCTATTCATTATTTCCTTTGATAATGAACATTGCCTTTGAATGCTTACATCGCAATTTTTTTGGTAAATAGTTCATTTAAAAATATAAAAGCATCGACGTTTCATTCCGATGTTTCAGTGCACACCGATATTTTCGTGAGCAAATAAAATCGAGTGTTTGTGACATATTTAGATGTTTCATTCGATGTCCCTACCTCTGCACAACCGCACAACATGTAGTCAGAGAGAGAGTCGAGCGGGTGGAGTTATTCTATGACAAAGTGCCCAGGGAGGTGTTGTTTTCTGGTGGGGCTGGCGGTGAGGATTGAACTCTTTCGTGACACGCTCCAGGTTCAGCAGCAGTCTCCATTTCATTCTCAGAACGAGCTGAAATTACCAGGTCATCAGCATATAGTTTTTAGACATCATTAGCTAAAACACGTGCTCTTACACGCGCTCCTCCCGTCGTTCCATGTTGTACATAACATGCCCAGTGTTACACACATGGCATGAAACGCAATTATAGCTGTTTCGGTTATGATCATTCGCTTGTGTTATTCTAATGCGTTGTACTGCTTTTAGAATTACCGCATTATAATAATAATGAAGACCTCATTGAGTCGTATATGTTTTTCAGAGGACCTCCGTGTTGAGATGTATCACCAATTGCTTTAGTTTTTTTACAGCGTGATTTGGATGTGGGAAGAGACTGTAGTACTTTGAGAAGACTCACCACGCATGGGTGGGTATAACGTACAAGGACTGCACATATTGGTTCACAAACCCTGCTTGCTGGATTGGCATCTTCTGGCTACATTGCAGCCCAGAATGTTGAGAGTTTTACGAATTTTTGTGGTCGATAAACCAGCATACAGCTATGAATTTAGCAACATTTATACGAGCTTAATATTCAAATGACATTTGCAAGCGTGCTTATAGTGCAGTCATCTGTAGATTGTATGCAGCACTCTGATATATTAGTTACATAAGTAGCAGCTCCTAATGTGGTCTTATTTTTACATTTATCAGGGCTTAATTTCATTCTGAATATTTTCCATGTCGCTGATAGACCGGAAAAGGCAATGAGTATCAGCCACAACCATCGTGGCAGTATACTTGACGTGGTGTGCCGGTGGTGAAAGAAATTCCGGGTCAACGACCCTGACAGATCCGGCTAAAATCAAGCCCCAAATCATTTGGAAGAGATAACGCTCGAATGTGGATATATACGGCAGCAGTAAAGCCATAGTACAACGCATGCAGTCTCAATAAATGTGGGTTGTGGTACGGGCAGACAATGCAGCTGCTGTACTGATAGGCCTGAGGAGGTAAACTCTCCAAGCCGTATTGAAGTATGCAATTTAGAAGCAGGGATAAGCCTTTTTTGCGACCCATTCAAGATAACACTAAATTGTCCTTACAGCATTCGTTAAACATTGCAAAAGAGAAAAAAACATCCAGAACCATCCGCCGTGATACATTCGACCAACATGCCTCCATCGGGCAGTTATGAATATATCTCAACTATAAGAAAAGGAAGAGGATCGCCAACTTTCAAACATATGGATAGCGTTGATATCAAACCCACTACAACTTCCCCACCCGAT